CCACTGATTTTCGATATGTCTACCCCGTTGCACGCCGTGACACTTCCAACACCACACTGGCAATGAAACATTTCGTTGATGACTTGGAGAAAATTAGAATCTTTTACAGTGATAATGCCCCAGAAATTGTAGCAGCTATGAGAGCTATGAAGATCAGGCATCAAATCAGTAAAGATTACATTTCGACATCCAATGCCATTGCCGAACGAGCCGTGCGGTCCACATTGGAAGGAACGCGTGCCAATTTGCTTCAAGCAGGACTTCACCATGGATATTGGCCCTACGCTGCCAGACATTGGTGCATCATGCATGACACGGCACCAGATGGGACTGGAAAGGACACACCATGGAAACTGAGGTTTGGAACAGACTTCGAAGGACCACTTATCCCGTTTGGATGTAAGGTGGACTATTGGACTGGACCTAGGAAGAAGCCAAAGAAACAGATGAAGTTCGAACCGACCACTGAACCTGGTATCTTCCTAGGATATGTCATCCATCCAGGCTTCCATTGGAGAAAAGAATTTGCAGTAGCTTCTCTAAAGCAAATCAATGATGCAGATTTTGACCAATCCGTCACAGTATTGAGGGTGTTAAAGGTTTCAGTACCCGAGAGGATTGAATTTCCTTGTCGCAAACGTGCCGATGCCATCCGAGACGGTAGCTTGAAACCAAACCAGCTGTGTGATGAGCAGGATGCATTACCGCCACCGGAAGAGCAAGATGCTCAGCCTGTGCGGGAGCCAGGCCCAGTCAAGAGATCAATTACTGACATTGAAGCTGGACAGCCTGTACAACAATCCAGTGCATCCGCAGTTTATCACCAGGGATGGTTGGAATTTTTCAAGCATGTTGACCACAAGGAAGCATGGTACGAATACGCCAATTGCAAGGTGAATGTTCGGATCATCGACAATCAGTGTATAGGTCCATCTCCTGACTTTGATGTAACCGATTTTCCATTTCGAACAACATGCATTAAAGATGATGAATCATGGCATGTCCACGAAGAAAACCTGAAGATTGATCCTCCGGTCGAAGACCTTGAAAAGGACATTGAGGTTCATGAAGTAATTGTCACAATATTTTCAAAAGAGCCGATCGACCTGAGGAACCGTGTGGACGAACCCATCAGAGGAGCTGTACCTGATGCCGAAGTCGAGGTAATCAATCCGATCACAGGGGAACTCGAAAGAATCAGAACTAATGACCCCTCATTCTATGACGCAGGTGGATTTAAAGCAAGAAAGTACAAGAATTCAAGCAAACCAAAGGACATCCCTCCGTTTGTTTGGCAAGCAATGTCTCAAAAAGAAAGAAGAGCATCAATTGCAGACGAGCAACGGAAATTAGCCCTGGAAGAAAAGGAAAAGAAACGCGCCAGAAGAGTGAAAGCTGTACCCATGATCGGAACTCTCAAGGAATCACCAAATGAATTGGATGAAAGTTTATCCTACGAATTCATCCCAGCTATGCCCGTTTGCCAGATGAACCCTCAAAAGCATCGAGTTAAGTGTATTAGGCTTGGAATCCAATCTGGGGAGAAAGCCGTTAACACTTTGGTAGCTAGGCCAGTGGGGAAAAAGGAAATTAGAGCCAATCCCAAAGCCCAGCAAGCCTTAGATGTAGAATGGGACAAACTGGTAAAGAAGAAGGCCTGGCAATATGAAACAGTGGCCGAATGGAAGGTCATTGCCGACAAGGCCAAGAAGACTGGGAAGAAGGTCCATGTAGGAAAGGTCTTTGAGATTTGCGTTGAAAAGGGAAGTGAATTACCCGAGGGAGATAAACTCCGAAAATTCAAAGGAAGAACAGTATTTCAAGGCAACAATGTAAAGGACGAAAGTGCCGATGTTGCCCTGTTCTCGGAATTAGGGTCTTCGCCTGCCACCATGGAAGCTGGCAAAGCAGTAGATGCCTACGGAGCTCAACCGGGATTCATAACCCAACAAAATGATGGAGTACAAGCTTACACTCAAGCCTTATGGAAGGGCGTGGAGACGTGGGTGGAACTGCCACCCGATCGATGGCCCAAAGAGTGGCATGGGAAGTTCATTAGACCAGTTGTATTGCTTCGCATCGCTCTTTACGGTCACCCCGACTCGGGGGGGCTCTGGGAACAGTACTGTGAAGCCATGTTGAAACTAGTGGGCTTTATCATGCCAGACCCGGAAGGGTGGCCTTCGGTGTTTTTCCATCCAGAGCTCAAATTGTTGCTTGTCGTGTATGTTGACGATTTTAAGATGTCCGGTCCCAAAGAAAACATGTCAAAGGGATGGAGTTTAATTGCATCGAAGATTGACATGGACACTCCCGGGGAAGTCAATAGATATCTTGGATGCGACCATGTAGCTCAACACAACGTAAAGCTCAAGGTCGAGGATCACCCTTATGCTCATGTCTTTGACAAGTCACTGGCCGATCCGGCCGCGCCTGCCGCCGCCGCGTGCCACAGGACTCAGGATTTCTGGGAGCTCGACACCGTCAACGATGTCTACATGAGACACCATGTGCAGCCAAGGAAGAAACTATTTTTGCCCGATGAAGAAGTGGTTAAGTCATGCCAACTAGCCCCATTTAGATTCACGAATGCAATCCCATGTAACAACAATGGAAATGAAGTTGAGCAATGGGACACTATTGGTCTTGGATCCAACGTGAACAAAGGGGGTAGTCTTAATGATTCATGGGTTGGCACGACATACTTCTTCCCAACATCATGCAAAGATCCAAAGGCTGCCATGGCCACCATCAAGAGGGACAAGTCCGGAGCCAAAAAGAAAGCTAGAGCGGAAGGTTTTTCCTATATGGACCAACTATATGAGAACCAACCCTGCATGCAAAAGCCTGTGACTACATTCACATATGATATGGAACCTTTCCTCAAATCATGTGTTGAACGTTACATTTCACTTGCTGGCAGGGATGCCAAGCCTTTGAAACAAGTTTCCACACCATTTCATGAAGAAAGAATTGCACGGCCCATTGCCGATGAGAAGGAAACCAAAGGCATATTGGCTCCAATAGCCGCAAGGGTCCTTATGAAAGTGCTATTTGCAGCCAGGATGGCACGATTCGACTTGCTGCGCGCCGTCCAAGGCCTAGCAGCTCGTGTGACAAAATGGAGTGCAGAATGCGATAAGGCACTGCGCAGACTTATTTGTTACATGAATTCCACCCTGGATCACAAGCAAAGGGCTTTCATAGGGGACAAGGTCAGTGAATGTAGGCTTTGGCTGTTTGCTGACGCAGACCATGCAGGGGAGTACGACAATCGATCCACCAGTGGTTGTTTGTTAGTTCTAGTTGGACCCAACACTTACTTCCCGCTCACAGCATTCAGTAAGAAACAAACTGCCGTTGCAATGTCAAGCACCGAAAGTGAAGTTGTCAGTGCAAACGTATCCCTCAGAGCTGTCGGTCTACCTTCCTCCGGTTTGTGGGCATACCTCCAGAACGCGGGGGGGAGAGAGCACCGAAAGACAGCATACCGGGAGGTTTGCCAAGGCATGACATTGAAACCCAAAAAGAATCCAATGGGGAATACTGGCAATTCATGAGAAGTAGAAGATTGCTCGTCCGAGTCCACACAAAACCAAGGTCACATTTGTTCACACCCGTTGACATGTCCAAGTCACCCAGTAACCTTAAGCGTATCGGATGTGCTCGAACCACCGTGATGCTAAAGGACGGAATGGTTGACTTCATGCAGGACAATTGGAAGGTCAAAGTTGACTACCCGATCAACGGGGAGTGGACTGGCAAGACTTTCTTCAGGGTCTATGGTCCCTATGAGTCCGACTACAACATCGAATCGGTTGAAATCCGTGAAGCCATCACCGACTACGAGTTCGTAGGACGTGAGAAAGAGGGAGAATGTATGATATCAATGTTTTCCCCACGGTCAATAAAAGGTGTTTTTGTAGAGGACAATCAGGCCACCATTAGAATCCTTGAGAACGGAAAATCACCCACTTTCCGACATACAGACAAAACACAGCGTGTTAACCTGTCTTGGCTGGAGGAACAGTTTAAAAGAAGGAAGGTGGTATAAGCTAGTCCATGGTCCAAGCATGCTCCAAGCTGCAGACATTCTCACGAAACCATTTGTTAATGCAGAGAAATGGAAACTAGCTGTCAAACTTCTTGCATTGACCCCCACCAAGAAGGTTACCCCACAGAAAGCTTTGGCGTCGGCGTTGGAGGCCATCACACCTCCAATCATTGCTGCACCAAGCACGGGGGGACCCGCTGCCAAGTCTGATACCAAGAGACTGATCGTTGAAGTTTGCTGTCATCCCGAGTCCAAACTCAGCCAAACCAACCGAAAGTGGTCTGAAGGTTGTGAGGTACTACAGTTCACTGAAGAATTTGATCTTAACGAAGTCGAAAACCAAATGAGGATTGCAGAGTACGTCAACTCTTTCAAAGGTGATGTGAAACCATTTATATGGATCAGCCTACCGTGCACGGGGGGTACACCATGGACGTATATCAACATGAAAAACCCCAGTGCACGTGAAAAGGTGTTGAAACATGTCAGAGAGTTTGACCGACTTTGGATATCCTTGAAATCGTTTCTTCGGATGTTGAACTGTGAAGTACATATTGCACTCGAGTGGCCACGAAAATGTCGATATTGGAAATTGACTAAAGTTGCAAGGCTGTTGAACTTTTATGGGATGATTGCATATCATTTTGATGGATGTGCTCTTGGAATGGTAAATCAAGACAATGATCCTTTGAAGAAACCTTGGACAGTGGCCACAAACCATGTTGGAGTCGGTAAAGCATTATCGAAGTTCCAATGCACATGCAACAGGCGTCATGCTCCAGGTAGAGGTATTGCACTCAAGAAAACGGAGGAGTACACTTTCCGCATGACAGACGCCATACATAAAGCTCTTACCCGACAGCATCCCGCTCTCAAGCTAACTTGCTGTGCACTCATCGCGCCCTTTTGTTCTCCCGTCTTCGTCATGTTGACTCGTGCAATCCAAATGGCCAAGGCCTGTGCGGTTGCCGGGAGGCCCGCCATCCTCGAGCGCATCACCCAATGGGAAGGTGTGGTCAATACCCTGAAGGCAGCCATTGCGGTGGCGACCTGGGACGACCCACAGGTGCTCTTGCGAGAGATGGAAGGATGCCGCCTACCCCTGGCGAATATCGTCGAGCCGATGCTGGGTGGTGGCAATGCTGAAGGGGCATACGACACGCTCGCGGAGGTCTACAAGAACACGCCCGATGGGTTTTTGGCAATGTGCCCCTACCCGCCGGGAGGCGATGTCGACCTGCTGATCGTATCAGACTCATCACTTGCTCTGGTACCTGACCCCAACGCAGGGAAGGCTTCGTGTTTTTCCGGAGGCGATCTTCTGAAGCCCTGGGGAGACATCCGTGGCATATATACCAAAATGTTGTGGGGCAAAGGTTTGAACCATATGGTCCAGTATATCCCCGAGGCCATCGATGACATCGAGTCCACCAATCGTGCACATGGTCGCCCGGTTTTGCCGGTGTTGGTCATCGTGGGGTGGGCCGGCAATGATGTGTTTGGCGAAGGGGGTTACAGAGGTGTCCATTGGATCCACAGGGCTGCCTACAACAAGCCTGCTGCCGACCGGGAGGTCACGGCCAACTGGTGTGAGCGGCAAAAGGCAAGGGTCGAGTGGTCCGTCAACGAACTGGGCCAGCTCAAACGTGATGAGCCCCGGATCCTGGACATCGTGGTCGTTGGGAACGCTGACGCGGAAATCTTTGCTCTCCCATCGGCCTACAATGAGACCATGCGTGTCCACATCAGGGCACTGCGAGAGGACCATGGTATTCAAACTCTGGACACCACCTTGATGCTTGCCAGAACTGTGAGATATGACAAGGTGCATTTGGAAGACGACGTCATCAACCGGAAGTATGTCACCAACTTCCTCCAGGCCGTCGCTGATTGCCACCTTGCCTACCTCAAGCTCATCAGCGTCGACGATCACTTGAGGACACTCCCAAGAATCGACGATCTCCAGGAGCAGAAGAACTACCCGAACCTCACCATCCTCAAGGCCGCATACCAGCTTGAAATCGATTCGAATGTATCCTCCCCAAAAGATCTTCCTCAGCGACCTGATCCTGAGAAGCTCATGTTGGAGGCAGACGTCGAGATTTTCAACTGGGTGCTTCAAGCTGAGGAGAGCGCCACAGCCTCTGCCGACCGGGAGGTCGAGTCCTGGATGCGAGACATTCCTGAAGAGGACCAGGCATTGGAACCCATGCACAATGACAACGCTGATTCGGACGATGAGGCTGTCAAAGTTCAGGCCCTCACTATGGATGATCGAATTTTGGCGAGGCGAAAAGGCCTGTCAGAGGAGCACGACCAAGAATGGCAAGATGCCACCTATGCGGCCGAGGATGAAGACGAGGATTTCAAAGGGTGGGACCTCATCGAGGATGACAAACGCCCGCCGGGAGTCGTGGCCAGTGACCCAGTACATGAAGAGGAAAAGGAGCTGGACCTTGACGACCTCGAGACGGTGGCTTCGGTGGAGATTGTCGATGAAGAGGAGTTCCACGACGCTGAGGAGGGGCAGGCCGAGCCGATCGATGATGATGACGATGATGACATGGCCGTGATCGACAAGGTCTCTTCTATGCAGGCCTCGAAGTCTGATGCACGGGGGGACCCGGAGCCCATGGATGTTGATGATCAGGGCAACAAGATGGTCCAGAGTACGGCATCAGCAAAGACGTGGAAGACTGAGATGGCTCAGAGCACCTCATCTGCAAAGACATGGCGAACGGACACAACTGCAGCTGCGTCGGCGGGAGCCACGCCTCCTGACCCGACTTCCAAGCTCAAGCCCAAGAAGAAGGCCATGCCAAAGAGACTGAAGGTTGTGGATGAGGGACATGGGCCAAGTGCTGAGCAGTTTGACATGTCGAAATTTGCCACAGCACAGGATCTGGTTTGGATTGAGCCGGACAACATGGCAGGAGTTCCTGTGCGCAAGGTGGACTACGGAAGGCTTGGATCAATTTCCCATGCTATGTCCGACTACCTCCGTGGCCATCGAATGTTTCACAGGAGGCCATCACCTGAGATTCGGAGGACTGATTTGTCAATGGACTTCAAGGCATTGGTGAGGCATCTCCAAGGAGATTTTGCGCACCTTCGAGAAGAAGAAGTTTTGAGGGTCGTGCGCAACTCTCCGATGCGTCGCTTCAGAGTCCAGGTGAACGGCTTGTCGTCCGGAAAGCTCAGGTGGACGCCAGTGAGGATCAGGGCCATTCAGGGTCATCGGCCTTTCTCGTGGAGCAAGGGGGGATGTCAAGCATGATCAAAACGATGTTCACTTTTGATGAGAACTTCGACCAGACCAAGATTGACGACCCATCGGTCCACCCCGCTTTCTCCGCGATGCCGGAAGGCTCGCCTGTGTGGCACAAGTTTCCCAGGGTGGTGTATCACACCTGTGACCAAGCCGCCTTCAATTCCATCATCAAGCACGGCCTCATCCCTGGCGGATTCCCGTACAAAACGGGCAGAGCCCACAACTTTTTCAACTCCACTCCGCCCTGGAAAGCGGAAATGAAAAAGTTGCAAGGTACGCGGGCCGGGAGGCCAATCGCCATCGCGTTCGACATGGAGCTCATGATGCAAATGGGCTACAAACTTTTCGCGACTGACGAGGCCATCCTGTCGCCAGACTGGATCTCGAACCAGCCGATGATCAACGCCTTTGATATGCGTTCGGGCGAATTTTTCTATATCAACAGGGCTTATGTCAACCATCGGAAGGCTTACCAGGAAGTCCTCAAGGAGGCCAAGGCCGAGTTTGATCCGACGGATGTTCTCATGAGCCGCATGGAGATGTTGATGGAAAATGCCCAGTTGAACTTTGAAGGCATCAAAGAGCGCATTGAGTTTGGCAAGCTCCTCCCCTTTTCCAGGCGTGAAGACATTGAGGTCGAAAAGAGCACTGCCACCCGGGAGGGTGAGCCGGCATCAGGTTCTCAGCTGGTGTCCGGCTACACCGTTGGAAAGATGGCCGCCATGACAAGCACGGATGCATGTGGCTTCCAACGTCGTGGACGGAATGGACCCGGTGGTGGAAATTGGAGCCGAGGGCAAGGTCGACACGGATTTGAGTTGCAATTCAAGGACATCTCCTACAACCAGATCCAAGACACGCCTCAGGTACGCTGTAGCCATCCGATCTGCGGATATCTGATGATGGATGGGCATTTGAAATGCCCGCGCTGCTTCCGGCAGATGGAACCCGTGACCGATGCCAACATCGCCACGGAAGTTGCCCGCCGGGAGGCGATGGCCCGTACCAGAGGAGTGCCCTTTTCCATGGACAAGGTGATCTTCAACCACCCGCGAAGAGGCAGAGTAGCCAGGCAGCCGGAGAAGGGATCATCGTCTTCTTCGACAGCCGTCCGGACCAGAAGCACCTATGGCAACTTGAGAGACATGGCCAAAAACTACGTCAGATCTTTCAAGAAAAGGGGCTTCAAGGACCTTGTTGACCGACTCGTCCGCGACCCGTTCTTTCAGTTCAATGCGGCGAATCAAAACTTGGTGCCAGAGGCCTTGCTCTTCATTGAGCGTTTGGCTGGCTGCGTGAGCCCGACCATTGAGCGCACCAAAGCTCAGGTTCTTGGTGAAAAGCTTGAGATGGCCACCAAGTTGATCTTTGTGCCATCGTCGGAGCGGGAGCCCGACCAACCCTTGGATCTTCACACCGAGGTGTTTGTGTCGCATCGGGGCGTCTTTCTCGACATTGGCCAATTCGCAGTCTATGTGGCGAAGTTCATCAAGCCAAGGCAAAGGCCTCTACCCATTGTTTATGGATGGGGCAACCGTGACTTTGTGCCTGATGCTTCGGATGCCAAGGAGATCGCGAAGGAATTGGTGGAGTTCAGCAAGCTGCAATGGTCGAACTTTGCCTCCCAACAGACGCACAAGGAATCTGAAACCACCGGCGACGACCGGGAGGTCAGTCTTCCTCATGCAAGTGCAGCCATCAGCCGACCTGAACATGAACGACCCCATCACGAGCAATTTGAGCCAAATCTTGGCAAGCCTGCTCGCGGCGGTCCTTACGGCCAGGGCGGTGGTGGAAAAGGTCATCACAAAGGTGGAGGACAGACCAAAGGAAAGGGACAGCAGAAGGGGAAGGGCAAGCAAGGCCGAAGCCCACCGGGAGGTGTGGCCTACGGTGACTTTGAAGGAGATTCCTACTGGGTTCAGGGCTACCGCTACACGTGGTACTGGAATCAACAGCGAGGCTGGTACTGGCGCTGGACCTGAACTATGGGATGACTCGCATTGACACTTAGGTCATATCTTTCCTTTTTCAAATTTGCTTGCCGGGAGGCATGCCTGTCTATGACAAACTTGGCAGGCATTGCACCCATTGAACAAACCAAAGCTTTGACGCACATTATGCATATCCCATTCAAATGAACTTCAATGCATCAATTTCCGCACAGTTTGAACGAATTAAATTTCACTTCAATAACTTCTCAAGCCGATTGATTGGATGTTCAAGGCAAGAGCTCAGATTAATTCGCACCATTTTCATGGCTGAACAGTTTTTCCTGCCATGGGGCCTTTCAGGTGACATCAAAAGGAATGGTAATGTTCCTACACTCATTTGAAGGTGCCTGGCGGGAGCCACGGCCATGCTGTGTGCATCATCGTGCCTATCTCCGGCAAAAAGAGCATACGACTTGACGCTGTCAACACCGTTGCAAGCCTTGACATCCAATGCATCCGAGCCTCATTGCATTCGACATGAGTTCAACCATTGTACATTCAACTGAACTTAGGTCCTTCGGCGGCAGCTTACGGCAGGCGATTTTCCACCACAGTTGCCAAGCAACTGGGGTGAACGGGGGGTGTTGTTACGGGATTGTAATGACTACAGTCCCATACCTCCCTGTAACTTAGGCCTGTAGTAAGCATGTAAATATAACCGCTACCTTATGGCTCAAGACAAAAAGTGTGTACTTGCTTACTGGCTGTTCGTGGCTGTGTTGCCTATAAATATAGTTTATAATCCCATTATATAACTGTAGATTGATCCCATTAACTGTAGATATATCACCAACAAAAACCATAGTTATTGGAGTTATGTGAACCCCAACTGAACGCTATCGTAAACGGGGGCACCACCTTGTAAGGATTTCAAAGATTAGGATGAAAAAATTCAATGTTTGACCCATAGCCATACTGGTAATCAAACATGGCTGGAAAATCGAGGATTTTTCCAGCTATATATGAAGCTCTCAGATAGGGGATTTCCATGGATTGGCCATGTTGGATCAACAGGTAGTTTATCCACCTAGTGTTGCCATGACTGATATCTTGGAACCCTAACGACCAGAAATATTCAGTGGCGTTTTTTTTTTTTACTAATTGTGTTTCCCTATTCTGGTTGCTGTAGCGCATCCCCTCAGACAAATGAGGTAAACAGTCCATCCCAGTCCACATCCGTTGATCCTAGGAGATAATCCCTTCGGAAAATCGGCACTTCCCAATCCTATTTAAAAACCAAAAAGGTGAATCCCGTTCATGGTTCCCATTCTAATTGCTTAAACCCCATAAAAATCAATAAAAATGGCCTTGTTAACCATTGTAAAGTCCATTAAAAATGGGATTGTTAAGCCATAAAAATGGGAAAATCCATGGTTAAGTCCTTCCCATATTTTTTCCCATTGTCAACCTATAACTCACCATCATCCCCTAGGTAAACCCTGACACGTTGGGCCTCGCGGTGCCGCAGGAGGCGTCGAGTCTCAACAACGGCAGGTCACCGAAGTGGCACGGCGCAAGGCGCTGCGCGAGTATCTCAGAGACTTGGCGTATCTATGGTGGATCTATCTGGGTAAATTATAACGACCTCACTGCGACCTCACTGGAAATCATAGTTAGTAAGAGGAATCATCCCCAAATGGCCTTAATTCAGGTTAGTGAAATATTATAATTTACCCAGATGGGTATCCATATGAGCGCAAATCACCATTGAAATAGTGGATTTTCCCATGAAAAATAGTGATTTTCCCATGAACATATCTATGGGTATCATAGATACTTGATGGATATTCTACCATGATTTTGATGGTTAATGATGGTTAATATACTGTTAATGATGGTTAATATATGGTTATTACATGGTTATAGCCCACTGTCACATTTCATGCATGCGACCGAGCAAGGACTCTTGCAGTATTGCGAAATGAAAAATGAAAAAAATACATGGTTATTATATGGTTAATGATGGTTAATGATGGCAAATCACCATTGAAATAGTGGATTTTCCCATGAAAAATGGTGGATCTTTCCATAGTTTTTTGTATGTTTACCAGAGGGTAAAATGATGGATTTTCACACATATGAGCTATGGTCAATACTCATGGTTAATAACCATTAAAAACGGGGCTAGTCATCCAATGGTTCCACTCGGGATTTATCATAACCATTATTTTTGGATCCTTATTATGGATGGGATGACCATCAACCATATAGTGAGTATTGACCATGGCTCATATGACTTACTGACGCTTAGTAGGGAATTTCGTGGCATATTTGATTAGGAAAAATGGTGATTTGAAGTGATTCAATGTGGTGGTTTGGAACATGACGTTTATTTTTCCATTCAGTTGGGAATTTCATCATTCCAACTGACGAAGTCATATTTTTCAGAGGGGTAGATATACCACCAACCAGATATGAACAGTGTTCAAAATCCCTCTGTTATTCCATTATACTGGTTGGTTGATAGGGATTCCCCTATTGGATTATTGCAATCCCCAATATATTGGAGAGTAAAATCCCTATAATCATCAACCAACCAGGGTTTTGAACACTGATCATATGGCGAATTGATGTTTTTTTTGATCGTATTTATGATGAAGGGATTTACAGTGGTGATTTTTGATGGAATTTTTCATGGGAGCTTTAATGCGATTTATAGTGGTGATTGTTGGGATTGATCATGGGATTGATAATGACATATTTTATCGAGTTTATACGGGGACCTTTAATGGGATTTTGAATGAAATTGGGAGTTGTTTTCAAACCGGATTTTTCATTGGTCAGTCAGTTTATGGGATTGTTGATGGGATTTATAATGAGATATGTTATATTGTTATGGGATTTTCAATTTACCCTCTGGTAATCAAACATTGATTAATGAAATTTATAATTGTTCCTTTAAATTAGTTTATTTCAGGTTATTTATAGTTACATTTATAGTTGGATTTTAACTGGGGATTTTAACTGGAGATGTATATATAATGGGATTTTGAATGGTGATTTGCAATGTGTTATTTCATGGGATGTTTGGTGGGATTTAGTTTATTAATTTAAGAGATTCTTACTTGTGATATTTATGATTTATAATTCATGGGATATGTTATGATATTTATAATTGGATTCTTAATGTGATTGTAATGGAACATGTTATGGGATTTGTACCCTCTGGTAAATTAACAGTTGGACCCTGAAAATAGCCAACAGTTTTAATGGTTTCACTAATCTTCCAACCCCGATGACTGCCAGGGTCGAACTGTTAATTTACCAGAGGGTAAAATGGAGGTACTGCACCATATAAGGCCATATTTTGTGGGGATATTCCCTTAAGCCTTACATGGGCCTTATATAGGCCTTATATATGGTAGGTACCTCCAGTTTAGGTTCCTGAAATGGCTATTGATTGATACCCTCAATCGTAATCAATTACGGCGAGCTGGAAAATCCATAAAAAACCTGGACGTGTGGGAGATCTCTCCGTATGAAAACTAGTCATGGGAGATCTCTCCGTATGAAAAAACAACTGAGTTGAAGATCTACCATTTGATACCTTAAGTTGTTCCAAAATAAAAGTTTAGAATATGTAATCAATGGTCAATCAATGTTTGATTACCAAAGGATACACATGAAAAACAACTTCTCGCAGTGTTTGCGAGACACTCCTGCTCGTTGATGATTAGTTGTCCAAAATTAGACTTGGATGACGCTCAGGAAAGACAAAAAACAATCAGGTTTCCTCCAACAATTTAACACCATACAAAAAAAAATGGCCTCAAAAACCGGCTTAAGCAGGGCTGTCCTGTGTGCTGTGGTCCTTATCGCCAAAAGGAGAGGCCTGCAAACCGCGCCCAAAAGCTTTGACTCTTGGACCGTGGTTAGGGGGGTTGCAACAGGATGTCCAAGTGGTTTTGTCCGAAAATAGGGTATACCTCCAATTATAGCCATTTAATAGGGATAATGATCATTCAGCATTGGGTTTAGGGGTACACGATTTTCAGACAAACCCAAGTGGATATTCGGGAAGTGCCAGTTGAGAATACCAAAAAATCCAGTTATTAGGAGCGAAGACCGTCAGTACCGGTATCTCAAAACTCTCACCTGGGGTTTGGGCATCACATCCCCAAGCAACTGGCCTGATGCGGGGATTTTTGTTTTGATGTTGTCTTAATTCACATGGGTGAAATAATAGTTTGAAATAGCATGATTTGCACAGGTTGGAAAGTACCATGAAGACTAGCGTAACGAAGAAACCGGTATGTCAAGACTACTAGAAGATACATAACGAGGGAAGACACATAGGAAGAAGTGACCTGGACAAGTCCTCAATCCGATTGGTGATTTGGAACATGACTTTTATTTTTCTATCAGGGAAACAGGGGTTACAAAAAACAACTGGTTGGTGGTTTGAAACATGACTGGATTATGACTTTCCATATAATGGGAATAATAATACCAACCGACGAACTCATATTTTTCAGAGGGGTAGGTATACCACCAACCAGTCAATTGTTTCTCAAATACTATGCATGATGCATGTGTTTTTTTCCCCCAAGGACATACTCACTGGACCTGGAGTAACAATGAGTAACATACTACTTGTAGGTAAAGTTTGAGTTGGAAACCCATGTGCTGAAGACTAGAAAATTGGTTCATGACTCCAACAACTATGGTTCACGATTATTATATATAGTTATATAATGGGAACGGTTATAGCCCAACTTATAGCGTAGGGGGCCTCAGCTTGTTGTGTATAAACTGGTTGGTGGTTTGGAACATGAATTTTATTTTCCATAATATATGGGATCATCCTTCCCATTGACGAAGTCCATCATTTTTCAAGATGGTTATTGCACCACCAACCAGTAAATGCTAGGCTATGCAAATACTGTTCTAAAGCACCGTAATCAGTTCAGGCTAATCTAAATTCTGAGAGAAAACACAGCCTGGACCATTGTGGATGCAGGCGGTTTGGCTTTTAGTTCCCTATCTGATTCAGAAATCGGGAGGTGACCCACAGCTGCAGATTTCATGTGCAACTTGTTGGTCATTTTTCTGGAAACTTGGAATATCTTGAAATGCTCATTTTTATTTACACACTACTAACAATCATTAACCACTATTAACCACCATTAACCACTATTAACCATCATATTTACACAGAGTATCACAGAATATGCCATCACTATAGGTCCTATAGGTGCCATATGGCCAAAACCATGGCGTTTTTTTTTTACCGAGAGAAAATTCAGGGCTTGTCGAATCAATCCATGAATAGCAATAGGATTGAAACATATACGCGTTCCCATTTATGGCACTAATCTACATTTTTTATATTTTTTATCGGGTTTTTGACTGAAAACAGAGTCAAATGGTTTTTTTCATCATTGTCCCTATTATCTATTGCAATTCTTTGGGTATACCCTCTGGTAAACTAACATAACTATGGAAAGATCCACAATTTTTAATGGGAAAACTCACTATAAATGGGCCATTTATACCATGGCTATTTTGACATAACCAGAGGGTACATCATTTTCAGACATGCCCAAATCATTGTTGGTTACATCCCAATGATGTTCCTGTCTGACATATCCATTTTTTCCATATCCCCACTATTAATCAGCTAAATGCTTCAAAACATCAATAGAGATTCGTGGGGCTTTCCTGAAATTTTTTGGTACCCCAAGCTCGCTGGATGGTTTCTCATGGAAACATCCGATCTATAAATTGAGGATTTGGCGGTACCCTCTGGTAATTTAACATAGCTATTGAAAATGGTGATTTATAGTGGATTTACCCATTGAAAACGGTGATTTTCCATAGTTTTTTGTATGTTTACCAGAGGGTATACCCATGACTTCGGAAACCTCCAAGCTGCGCCAAGCTATGGCAAACTATCCCTCCTGCAGGGTCTGCATGGTCGCAGCGAAGCCAGAGATCAGCGATGCGCAGATGAGAAGACCATGGGCCACTTGGCATAGTGCCACAGGATAGCTATTTTATGAGGAAAAAAAACTGTTTTTTCATGTGATTTCATTGGGATGCAGATAGCTAAGTTGGTTTATAACTTTATTAACTAGGGTTTACGGTTTATGATGGTTTATGGTAGATATATCATGATATATCGAACTAGTTGATGGAGTTCATAAACAAACAAGCATAACTGGGGTCCCACCTTGTGCCTTTATGGATTTAATCGTGGGTATTTACATAGATAGTGGGTTTCAGCATAGAAACATAGAGGTTCAACCATGGGTTTGATGGATGTATTAACATATAACTTGGAATGGAACCAACAGTATGGGCCTCTTTTTGGGGTATGTGACGGTATGTGGGTGTGTCTGAAAACAACGTACCGGATATATTAAATATATATATATAATATATATATATATACTAAAATATATAATGGCAAACTGAATGGGGGACTTGATGGTGAATTAGTGAATTCAGAGGTACCCAACTTTTCAGTCGGGACGATACAAAAGTTTGTACCCACCGCTTCACTCTTCAACCTACGCTTGGGTGTGTCTGAAAATGATGTATACCATTTCAAATGGCAGTTCAAATAGGGAAAACTATGTCAAACCGCAGGGTATTGGTCTTTTTCCCCTAAATTTCAGACAAATTCCCACATCCCATCAATGCCAGAAGATGTGTCAGAGATTTTTTCCCCACGCCTCCGTCAGTGGGAATTCAGGACCATTTTCAATGGAGCTACCATATGAGTTACCCACAAAATGAGCTAAAGACTAAAGTATACCTTCAAATTTGTGTTAAATGTTGTGCTAAATTTGTGCTAAAACCTTCACGACCTTACTAGGAGTGGACTTGGGATGTGAAAAATTGTGTCAAAACCTTCACAACCGATAGGGGACCACCCACTTACCGATACCCTATTTTTACCCATAGCATGGAAGTACAAACCTTCACAACCGATAGGTCCGATAGGGGACCACCCACTTTGGCCATGTCCATTGCGAGTAGTAAGTAATTTTGTCCGCCACTCATAAAAAGGCCATATTTGGTGGGGATATTCCCTTACTTACCCTCCGGTAAACATACAAAAAACCATGGACAATCACCATTTTTTATGAATAAATCCACAAAAAAAAAATGGCAATTTTCAATGGCTTTTTGTATGTTTACCCTTAGGCCTTTCTTATCTCCAATAAGTTGGTTCCTGAAATGACACAGGAAAACTCCATGGAGTCGTTGTCCTACAACCCATTAGCGGCGCGACTCCGTAGCCGAGTGATTTGGTGAAAAAAGTTCCGATGGATCTGATGGGGGGAAATTTCAAAAGTTGGAGAGATACCCGGCCTGGTAAACATATAAAAAGCTATAGAAAATGGTCATTTATAGTGGATTTATCCATAAAAAATTGTGATTTTCCATGGTTTTTTGTATGTTTACCAGAGGGTATTTTGCCGGGACGGTCACTCCAGTGGGATGTACCCAGATCCCATAAGGAATCCCACTCTGGGATGGATTACCAGCATGGACCAGAATGGGATTCCATAATGTACCAGTTTCCATATTTATACTTTTATACCTACTTGGTGGCGAACTACCCACGCATCGTAAGTGGGTTATAACTCTTAGTTCACCCCAGTGATTGATGTGGATTAACCCTACAAAAATCCCATGTAAATCACTGGGGTGAACTAACCCACAACCACGATTCGTGGGTAGTTCGCCACCAAGTACTTCTTTACCGAAAGATTTTGACCATAAACCATAAACCATATTCGATATAGTTCCATCGAACACCTGAACATTAGGGCTTTTTGTAGTGCAGCGGCCCTTGCGGACGCTTTCTTCAATGGGTCATTGGGTGGGAATCGATTTGATCATCAGCTCCTTGGCTAGAGAATCCCCGAAACAATGAAGGCTTTCATGGGAAAATCATTACCCTCTGGTAATTTAACGTAGCTATTGAAAATGGCCATTAATAGTGGATTTTCCCATTAAAAATGGTGATTTTCCATAGCTATGTTAGTTTACCAGAGGGTACTATAAATGGTATATTTTCCAATTGCCATGTTTCGGAGGGCATTGCCAAGGGCACGTCTTAAGTTCAAGGTTTCAAACGATGCTACGTGTTGTTTTTTTCGATCCGAATTGGGTACCCCTTAAAATCAATTGATCCACTGCCAAAGATCGGTAAACTACATCTCTTAATTTCTGATACCTGATACATCCTGATACCTATATATACCTATAGGGGTTTCAATAGTCATGGGAGTACCCCAACATAGATGCTTTATTTCATGGAAAATCCTATCTATGGCATCTATGGCTTCTTGAGAAACCTTCCATATCAGCTTCTTGGACGGCCCCCCTGGACGGTGGTGGTGTTGTCCTATAGGTGATGTATCAATGTTGCAATAAATCCCAGCAATGCCAGGTTTTTTTTCAGCTCAGACTACATACAGCACTTGGTGGCTCATCCCACTTAGTAAGTGGGTTATAATCCCAGTTATAAATGGGATAAGTAGGGTTAATCCACTTATAACTGGGGTTATAACCCACTTACTAAGTGGGATGAGCCACCAAGTAGAGGTTTATCCAGTTTACTGCAATCTGAAACTTCATTGATCACTTTAGCTTGGCTTTAGTATTGAGATTCATCAGCCATTTGATGATATCCCCAGTCTTGTTAGAACATCATGAGATTTTTTCAGGGGTTATCGATGAGTTCATGTGTTGATGGATCACACATGAGAGGGTATACCAATAATCATTGAATGGAGATTTGACTCAATAGAATTGTATAAAATTGGTATCAAACCACCCACAAAAAACATTACATGATCATGGTCTACATGGTTGAATAGAGATTCAACCTCCAATAACGGGGATAGTGAGGCTTCCTGGACATCAAATTTCGTAATCCCATCAACCTCAAGGTGAGTCCTGGGAGAAAACCACTGATTTGATAAATGGTGATAACCTTTTAACCAAAACCATTCCAAAAAAAACATGGGTAGGCAACTTGGAATTTAACTAGCATAGCCCCAGGAGACCAAAGCCGTAATATCCAACTGTTGTTTCGAAGATATCCCACAACATATCACATCTCTGTCCTCCTGGTTTTCCTAACTGCCTGAAAATAACCCATGTTTAGTAGAAACTAGTCTTCCAACTCCTATCTGCCACAGGATGGGCCCCCCAGTCGATAGCGTTCAGTTGCCTAAAAAAAGTGGCGAAAAAACTATGTTTTACGTAGATAGAACGAACTAGTTAATGTGGGTTTTGTTATGGTTTATAGACCAACAAACATCACTGGGTCGAACTGTGAATCTGGTTGGTGGTTTCAAACATTTTGTTTGTCCATAATAATTTAATATATGGGATAATCCTTCCCATTGACGAGCTCATATTTTTCAAGATGGTTAAACAGGGGTTGGTAAATGTCCTGTTTTGGGGATTTTGAACATCACTTTCAAGTATTTGTTGGTGATTATATCCCCAATAGTTGGGTGATGTTCAATTAGGACATTTACCAACCCCTGTTAAAACATGTTAAAACCACCAACCAGTAATTTACTGCAGGGTAACTGTCCTGGATCGCTGCTTCCAACGCAGCCCTGGGCCGTTGACCGCGGCTGGGCTGTGAGCATTCCCGGCTTTCAGGCGACACCGGGGGATGATTTCCACAGGGATTTGATGGTGACTTTATGGAGTGGGATGATCAATGGGATTTACCTTGATTTGCTGAAGATTTCTTATTTTCCCACTGTGAAATCCACTACTTGGGAAATATATATCGGATATATCGAATATGTTCTGCGTTTTTGTCGTTCCTTAAGCAAATTCAGGTTGTTTATGGTTGTTGAACGGGGATCGAATGATTACAATGGGGTATGATATGATATGTTATGTTCAACAATCATCAAACATGTTTTTTGGGGATCATGGCCAGATTTCTCATTGTGAGGGCCATGGTCAAAACGACGCCCTTCTTTCGGGATGGAGACAAAGGACCAGCACCGATGCAGCCAAGCGTAGTCAGGATCAAAGATCCAAAGCCTGTCATCAAGAGGGGCGAGACGAAGTAGTTGAAGTCCTGACGGGAGAAATGTCTGACTCAAATCCCTGGAAACTTCCGAGGCGGAGGCTGTATCCACTGTATCTGGTCCAAGCGTCACAGCCGGAGTGACCTTTCTCCATTTGGTCTTGAAGCGTTTGGTTTTCGAAAATTGACAATACCCTCTGGTAAACATACAAAAAACTATGGAAAATCACTAATTTTAATGGGTAAATCCACTATAAATGGCCACTTTCAATAGCTACGTTAAATTACCAGAGGGTAATTATTGATAATTAAAATATGGTGAGATGGCTCGCCGGGAAATACTCCAACTATTGGATTATTGGATGTTTCAGTGGAAGAATCATCCAGAATAGATGGATCTTCGGCAAGCCATGTTTGATTACCGAAGGGCAAACTCACTGTGCAAAAAAATCCTATGACATGTATACTCTGTGTGCGCGTTATGAAATAATCCAAATCGAGAATGACACATCTTGTACAGGTGGATTATTATTTCTATTTAAGTACATGTCCTTTTTCTGATTGGTGATTTCAAACTTAAATCACTGAAGTATTTGCTGATGTTCCAATTTTACTTGCCTTCTTTATCTTGGTGGGTTTGTCTGAGAATAGGGTACCTCATTTTTTGTTTATCATCAGTTTCCCCATTAAGGTGTCAATTTGGGGGTATACTCACATATACTCCATTTCTGGACTAGCTCATATAAACAAATAGATCTGCAAATCTATTTATACGTTGTTTTGTGTTCCTCCATTTTAGAAAACAACCAGTAAACCAACATCATGGACGGTCCCTATAGGTGATTTTCTTTATTCTCTCCATGTTTTCTTCGCCACACCACCAAACTGAAATACCAATTTGTGTATGTTGACTCCCAGTCAAAATCATCATAATTTCATCCCAATTGCTAGAGACATCACCGTATGATAAATCAGTTTATGAAAACTACACCAGTAGGCAAATCCCCACAAGAAATCATAAGAAACCCCAAATCCACATGTTGATGCTAAAAGTATCTAAAAATCCATTTGTTTTGATGGTAGACAAACATGGTGTTTTATCGAAAAATCCCAGCAAATTGGTGGTATAAATCCAGCATTTTGATGCTAACTGGTTGGTGGTTTGGAACATGACTTTCATTTTTCCCATCATATTGGGAATTTATATGAATTTATAATAATCCCAACTGACGAGTTGTCAACTCATATTTTTCCGGTTGGGCTAGGGCTACAAAACCATGGTAGGTATACCACCAGGCCATGCAGCATCAATTGGCCAGCGAAAAATCCACCAACCAAGTCGTCCAGCGGCTTCAGGCGGCCATGCAGCTCTTCATCCGAGACCTCCGGGGTTCCACGGTGACCCTGGAGGTGGAACAACAGCAACAGGTACGTCAGCTGAAGGACGGGGAGAGCGGCAGAGGCGGTGGGGAAGGGGGATTTTCCCTAAGAATTGGAGATTTCATGAGGATTTCATGAGGATTTTATGTTTTTCTTTGATGTTTTTGGTGGTGATTTGTGGGATAGACAGGGCATTGAATGGTATTTTAGGGATTTTATTGGGATATGATGGCAATAGAATGGGCAGGATTTAACGGGATGTTCATCAAGCTACTCGGATTCTTTGTTTTGGGTGGAAGAATGGATTAATGCGATAGATACATATATGACATGGGCTTCAACAATGATAGGAAATCATGAGTTGATGAACACATCGCGGATGATGTTAAACAAAATGTGTTGTTTCGCATGTTTTTGACGCCCACGATACCAGAAACACATTTTGGATTTGAGCATTGAGCATATCCAACAAGTAGGGAATTTCGATGCAAAGTTGACGAGCATTGAACTCGTTTATCACTGATTTGTGCAGCTTACCCTCTGGTAAACTAACATAACTATGGAAAATCACCATTTTTAATGGGAAAATCCACTATAAATGGCCATTTTCACTAGCTATGTTAGTTTACCAGAGGGTAAAAGCTATGATAAGAGCATTGATTTGTGCCACGGAAAGTCATCGACTTTCCGGTCGGTACTTAGCAAGGCTCAATGGAATGATTATTCAACACATTGTGGAAGAATGGAATATACCCTCTGGTAATTTAACATAGCTATTGAAAATGGCCAGTTATAGTGGATTTTCCCATTGAAAATGGTGATTTTCCATTGCTATGTTAGTTTACCAGAGGGTATAGAATCTGGTTATGACTAACAGTTTGCCATGGTTATTACGATGGCCCTAATCGAAATAGATGGTTCACCGAACTGAAACATGGTGATTTTCATTTATTTTCTGGTTCGCTATGTGAGTCACAACCAGATGGTATATTCCATCTGGAATGCGACGTGTGCCGTTATTTTTTCACGGGTGTCCAGTCAGTTAAGTTTTTGTTGACTTCAGGGACAAATCTGGACGGACATGATGGACATGACCTGAAAATTTGGATTTGAGTATTGTACATCATCCAGATATGGAAAACATGGATATGTGTGTTCATGAAATTAAAACTGAATTGTAAATAATCATGATTGAACATATTCTCAATGATTGTAAATCATCCTAGTCATGAAATTTTGAGATTTGTCATTCATGGAGCATTTGGATGAGTTCCAGCCTCACATCTCTGTTGCAGAGGAGCAATTGGTGGCACTTTCCGATGTTCCAAGCAGCGAGCCAGGGTCCGAGACAGCATCCGGCTGGGCTGTGCTCAATTTTGTATCCAGTTTTTGGAGATTTAACCGGAAATTAATAATAATAATAATAATAATATAATGATAATGATGATGATAGTGATTAATACTGATTATCATCTATTATCAATTATAGACTATTATAGATATACTTAGATATACTATTATCATCTATCATCTAATTATAGTTTTCACATGGCAGTACTAATGATAGATGATAATAATGATAATAATGATAATACTGCGAGCTGCTCTTATCATATCTTATCATCTATCATCCAACATTTAGTAATTAATACTGTTTCATCTACTCAACTGTTGTAGCTTTTTTGGGTGGTTTCAACTTATCCAACTGCAGAATTCACATGATCCACAGGGATCACAGATGTACTCGGGAAATGCATGGTCGGTTTACATTGAACAACATGACCCATACACAAATATGTAAGATGTAACAGCACAATATGTAAGATTATATATTATATATATATTATGTATAAATAGCATATACCCTGGTTGATATGTAAAAGCACACCCTGGTCCTGTTCTTTTTTTAATGCCTACAAGGCTCGAGCCTTGCATCGGATCTCTCCCAAAAAGGGCGTGGCCTTTGGTTGTCGGAAAATACCTGGGATGGCTAGTTTAGTACAACTTAGTCGCAATTTCGATGGGGATATCAAAGGTGGCCAACTTTCTTTGTTTGAAGGTTGCATCAGGTTGCATCAGGTTGCATCATGGTAGTCAAATATAGCTCTGGAAAATGGCCCATCTAGTTCAATGCTTTAATGATGTCCCCTAGAGAGCTGAAACAAATTACCAGAGCGTTCAATAATTCTAAGTATTCTTGCAGAGAGTATCTAAGGTTATCCGGGAGTATCTAATAATTACCAGTTACCAGATAGTAGTGTTCAATAATATGTCCTACAGTTTTTTGCCCGTAACAGTTACAAATCAAATGGGATTATACCTCCTGCAACTAGTTGGTTACCCTCTGGTAAACATACAAAAAACTATGGAAAATCACCATTTTTAATGGGAAAACCAACTATTTGAATGGCCATTTTCAATAGCTTTTTGTATGTTTACCAGAGGGTATATCATTAAATTTCATTAAATCCCATTAAACCCATTAAACTTTCATTAAACCATTCTAACGTAATTGTGTTAGCCACTTGCTGCGCTGATAAGGCTCATAACTTGTCATAACTGTAAGTAGGGCCATGATCGGACTGCCTGAAGGTAGCAAAAGTGCGTGCAGCTTCAAATAGAAATCATCGCGTTTTTTTCGAAACATCATCATATTCATTGAATATACATATTATTACACAACGTATATATACATATATTTATACACGTGTATATCTATATACATATTATGAGTATCTGACAATTTTTTCAGTTTTTGAAAGTAGTAGAGAGCTGCCTTGAACTTAGTACAGTTCAATAAAGAGGTAGCCTTTTTTTGGTCATGCACGCCACCTCCTCCACAAGGTGGTGCTTGGTTTATAGGCACCATTAAAATCCTATACTTAAGATGAAAGTAAATATAGTAGCTATCACATAATTAACCAACTATACGTACATATATAAATATGTGAAATCTGAAATCAATAGATATCGATTTAACATGAAGTATATAGATATATCATGTTATATTATATATACATACATATATATATATGCGATAAAGATCTATATAGCCAAGTTTTTGGAGCAAAGATCACGAAGCTTCACTGCGATGAATCTCCAATGTATTCCAGTGGAATACATTTTTCAATGAGTCGCAATCATCTTTTCAATGGAATCACGAATCCAATGTCTTCCAATGTCCATCCATTTCATCAATTGTGATCCATGTGATCCATGCAACAAGAAGGGGTCTCCCCAGTTTTGTTTCTTCATTTAAGCAACTGCTAAAACACTATAGCTATATCCACCACAATCCAATCAATCCAACAAAGCCATATATCATTAGTATCACTCGCTGGCTAAATACCTAAGTTTGGGTTGCACCAGTACTGTGGATGGAAGAAATCCTGCACCAGTTCGTACATGCTTCATAGTTACCAACTGGTGCAGGATTTTGTCCATCCACAGTATGTACCCATTTTGTCAAACTCTTAATTACTTACAGTATAGTTATTGGATGGAATTATCAACCAACTTACCAATTGTAAGGTAAAGAAACACAGTAACTGATTGCTATAGTCACCTTAGTTACCTATCATAATAGTTACCTATGTAGCCAATTCTAGATAGCTCATGGTTACTTACCTATCATTTTGAAGACCTCCCTTCGCCTTGGTCGCCTTTAGGCAATGCCTCCTCTTTGGTGGTCGTTCCTTAACGGATCTTGAGACCCTCGCTGAATGCCGGGGACCTGGGGACCATACATCCGGGAGGATTATCGAGTTTTACCTCGTTTTTTCGCCGTGTCTTTTTCTGTCGTTGTCCTGGAAACAAAAAAGCGACCTGCTGCCCTTTGCCTACGAATCTCGAGGCGGAGTGGAGGAGGGATCCACTCTCTTCTTGAACTTGGAACTTTGCCACTTGGCGTTTCAGATTTGCTGCTTGGAAGGTTCCATGAAGGCTGACTAAGAATCCCCATATTTCATGGATATTTCATGGGAAAATACAATGGGTTTTTGAAAATAAGGGATCCTCACAAACAACAATTTTAATATAGACCTTTTTTATGATAATCCGTTGGAATTGGGAAATTTGGGGTGCATTATATGTTCAGACATTTTCCGTGATCGGAAAGTTTTCCTCCCGAGAGAAGTTGTGATCCCCTTAAAAGATCTCCTAAGATGGGGATCTAAGATCATTAAACCACTGAAACAAGGTGTACATGACCTCTTTTTCGAACTTCTGTCAACTGTCATATCAGTCATATCCCCAAAACACATTTGGAGGATTCAAACAGCTTAAACATGTCCCTTTCCGGATGGATGGTTACCATCCACAACTCGCAGGCCTAAAAATTGTTGGCCAACATTCATTCATATGGGTTTGTTTGAAAATTTTGAAAATGGGGAGACCCCCCAAATACATCAAAATACCAAGTTTAAACGGGACAGTAATGATAAGCAATGGGTAATTTGGGGGTATTTTTTGTCGGTAATTTTATATACAGTCAAAGCCATATTGAATATTGACATATCATTGTTTTATCACAATCCATGGATTATCAGATTACTGGAAAAAATGTTATGTTAATTACAAGGTGGTGCCCCCTAGATAGCTAAGTTGGTTTATGACTCCAATAACCATGGTTTATAGGTGATATATCTACAGTTTTTAAGTTAATGGGATTACAAATCAACTTATAATTTGGGGGGCACCACCTTGTACATAATGTAATAAGGTAAAATGTTACATATAAATCCACGGATTATCTACCCTTTTTTCTTACATCACATTTCTGGCAAGGCTGTTCCAGTAGAACCTGAAATACGGGGTATCCCCAATCATCCATTTTACCCTCTGGTAAACTAACATAACTATGGAAAATCACCATTTTTCATGGGAAAATCCATTATAAATGGCCATTTTCAATAGCTATTTTGACATAACCAGAGGGTAATTGTATGTTCCACGAAAGAAACCATCCAGTGATTTTTTGGTGCCCCCACAATGGACCCCAGTGCCGAGGTTGACACCCAGTAGAATGGCACCCTCTGGTTATGTCAACAGTTTGCTATTGAAAATTGCCCATTTAGTTCGTTCATTTGCCTACCCATAGGATCCATGTATGGTATATATTCTAACATTTGGTGTATATTGATGGTAAATGTTGCCATATATAGCATACATGGATCCTATGGGCTATTAAAAGTAGTGACTTTCACTAGTTATGTTAGTTTACTCTAGAGGGTAAGTAAGGGAAAAATCATGAAAAATCTGTCAATTTTTCCTGGATGTTGAGAGGCGGTGGTGGCAAGAAGTGTGGGAACCCAGATGCGAACTCCACCGAAAAACATGTGGATATGGAGGGTTTCCATAAATGGAGGTACCCTCTGGTAAACATACAAAAAACTATGGAAAATCACCATTTTTAATGGGTAAACTCACTATAAATGGCAATTTTCAATAGCTATGTTAAATTACCAGAGGCTACCCCCGAATGGTTGGTTTATAAGGGAACATCCAATTAAAACCCTCTGGTTATGACTAACAGTTTGCCATGGAAAATCACCATTTGAACAAAAAGTAAATCATCTATAAATGGGCCATCTTCCATGGCTATGTTAAATAACCAGATGGTAAGGGAACATCCTATTAAAACGGATGATTTGGGGGTGTGGATATTGTCTGAGGGAAATGGAGAAGATACCCTCTGGTAAACGTGTACAGTTTGCGACATAGAACATGGCCATAGAAATACATGGTGGATCTTTCCATACTTATGTTAGCTTACCAGATGGTAGGGTAGGGTGGGGATTTCAGTCGATGCTTAAATTCAATTTGTTCAAAGGTAAAATGGTTGGACATCGCAAAATGGATCTATGCATTTGATATCCATTTATCCTTTAGATTTTTTTCCGCCATAGTCTCCATGTTTAATAGGTAAACCATCTATAAATGGGCCATGTTCCATAGCAAACTGTTAGTTTACCAGAGGGTAATTCATCCTATACCCATTTTCAATTTAGATATTTTGGATCGTTGTTCTCGTTGGCAGCCCCAATCTGATGTTTGGTGCTCACAGCGCCTTTCAGGCGAAAGAAGAAGACCTACACCAAGCCTAAGAAGATCAAGCATAAGAGGAAGAAGGCACAGAACGGAAACTGCGGGTGTGGAGGATGTTTTAATATGGTTTAATATGGTTTAACATAGATAATAATGGGATAAACTGACAATACAACTGGGGAAACTGAAAACCCTGTAGTAATGTTCGCAAATCAGCCATTGTTGATGGTAATGTTAGTAATAGTCATGTCATAAATCATGTTCGTAGTGTCATGAAGCTGTAATGTTAGCAATGTCAGAAAGCAGCCGTATGAATTGATGGTTTACCAACATTCATCGTTTTTTTTGTTTTTTTTTTTTCGTGGGATCAACATGTCACCGAGATGACCCAAGCAACGCTAAACCGTTTGAAGAGATGCCTGGGTTTCGCATCTCTTGGTGGTTTCATTGTTTTGTTTTTTTTTTTCAAGACGTTTTTTACACCGTGAAACCACCAAGATTGGAATTGACATTTAACTATCAGATTGCACTTGCATTTTTTTTACCGCTTTTGATTCGAGCAGTCTGAGAGAGAAATGTGCCTGTTATGAAGATGGACCACCACTAATAAGCCTGGCCTAATATATGCAACTTGACCATGGCGGCATACCCTCTGGTAAACTTTCACATAACTATGGAAAGATCCACCATGCTATTAATGGGAAAATCCACGAACTAAATGGTCATTTTCAATAGCAAACTGTTAGTTTACCAGAGGGTAATATAGAATTTCTACGGGCTACACGGCTACACGAACGGTTCCCCTTCTTGTTGATTACTTCAGGATGTGTGTTGGCTGTGTCACTCGGTTTTGCCGGATTGTGCCAGCAACTTCCAACCAAGACCCGTGACTTGGGGGTTGGACTACGATGCTCTAAATGCAATGACAATGACTACAAGAAGGAATCCCCGATTTTTTCCTACATGGTTTTGGAAACCTATCCAACTGTATAACTATTTGTCATAAGTCCAATTGTTGGCTTAAAGATACACCAGCAGAAACCTATGGTTTGTGGGTTCCTAGATGTTCCTAGTATATGGGGGTTTCTTAAAATGGGGATCCCCAAGTCACCATGACTGTTTAAATACTCAGTCATGGTCTAATTTAGATAATTTGGTGGTACCACCATGAAGGAAACATTTCCGCTCTATCCCCGATGTTGGTGATACTCCCATGATATCCGCATAAAACTTTACCCACATGTGGGTTAGTCATATTTCATGGATAATATGGCTATGTTTAATTTGGGTTTGTGGCTTACCAAATGGATCCACAGATCCTATGGTTTATAAACTAAGTGGTTATATTTGGTGGTTATATTTCCACAGACCTATGTTATTTACTGGTGATATTTCCATGATTTTCCAGTTCGCTGTGGATTATGGTCAATTGATGGTTTACCTTGTTTCATTTCGTGTGGTGATTTTCCAGTTCGCAAACTGCAACAAATTACCAAAGGCTAGATCTTTTTGGATACTCAATGGCCCAGTCGAAATAGTTGATTTACCCATTAAACATGGTGATGTTCCATCGTTTTTTTGTATGTTTACCAGGTAAATCATCATTTTCTTAGTTTTTTCCCATCATTTTCCTAGGTTTTCCTAGTTTTTCGGGTGAATTCCCCCGGCTTTTCGGGCGTTACCTTTGTTCGCAGGTGAAGCTTGCGGTCTTGAAGTTCTACAAGGTGGACTCCAACGATAAGGCGAGGTGTAATTTTTTGCGACGATCGGCGACGTTTTTTCCCCAAAAAAAAACTGGGGAAAAAACACATTTTTTTGGGATAATTTTGGGATAATTAATAGGATAATCATGGGATAATATTTTGATAATCATCTATTTAATGGGATAAGATAACAATATCTGGTTGGATACCCTCTGGTAATTTAACGTAACGAACTGGAAAGATCCACCATGCTATTAATGGGTAAATCCACTATTTCGACTGGGCCATTTTCAATAGCAAACTGTTAGTTTACCAGAGGGTAGTAAAAAAAACTGGTTGGTGGTTTCAAACATTTGTTCAATGTTCCATTTCATATATGATAATATATGGGACAATCCTTTCCATTGACGAACTCATATTTTTCAAGATGGTTAATACCACCAACCAGATATGTACTCGTATATATCATTATATATATATATATTCTATATAATTTATATAATTATATATATATATTATGATATGTGCCATGCTCAAGTTAGTTTGATTTTAGATCCACGGGGGATTGGTCGTCAATGTTCATTGGGGATTGATTTATCCACTATGTTTGGAATCCCACTATGGATGACCATTCAGCACCATCGACCATGGCTCATTTACGAACAACAAGTTCTCGAATGATGTATATGAAAAGTCATAGTTGTGCTTGATAATCCCTTCCCCCTAATGCCCTAATACTAAACCCTCCCCAAATAATAAACACCTCAGGTAGTTTCTATTTTTGGGTGGTATTTATTATTAAGGTGTGAAGCTTCCCCCTATTACTAAATTTAAAACCCTAATATAAAAACTATGTTTTTCCATTTCAAAATCGATTAGATGTCCTTTTAAAATCTAATTTACATATTGCCAAAAATTGGATTTCGAAGCTTCTCCCTAGTACTAAATTAAAAACTCCAATATAAACACCTATTTTTTTTCTATTTCAAAAACGATTAGATTTCCTTTTAACATCTAATTAAAACCAAAAATTGGATTTTGATATATTTCGATGCTTCTCCCTAATACTAAATTTTAAACCCTAATATAGAAAACTATGTTTTTCTATCTCAAAATCGATTAGATATGCTTTTAATATCTAATTAGAATATTACCAAAAATTGGATTTTGAAGCTTTCCCCTAGTATTCAATTAAAAACCTTAGTATCAAATACTTTTGTTTCGGCATTAACAGACGGACCCTAATAAAAAACCACCCTGGGGTTGACTAGTTTTATTTTTAGGGGGTGAAACCCTGAAATGGTAGCTTCATTTTTAAATTGTTTTCTAAAGGGGATCAATTAAGAATCAAATTGGCCAACCTCAAATTTTCCAAAATTGGAGATGGACCCTAGTTTTTATTATTTGGGGGGGGTAAGTAAGTAATAGGGGGAAGGGATTAATCTGGCCCAAAATACCAATGAATGTAATGGTGGAACATCATCGAAGTGACTTTTCATATCTTCCATGTCCAGGGCATACACTTCTGTGCCGCTCACAAGGTGGAGTTGCAGGTTCTTTCTAAGATTTCTAAGGGACTATGGTCCCGACATAAGGCCACCAACCCCGAGCCCGTGAATCTTCGAATGGACTGCTGAGCTCCATCGAACCACATGTCCCCGCGAAAACTTCGTTTTAGTTTGAGGGGATCAGGAAACCACCAGAAAATATATAGTTACTACAAGGTGGTTCCCCGTAGATAGCGTTCAGTTGGTTTATAACTCCAATAACTATGGTTTTTGTGGGTGATATATCTACAGTTTTCATGGGATTATAAACCAACAAACATAACTTGGGGGGCACCACCTTGTATAGGTCTTCAAATCTCAATTTTACTATCATATTTATAGATAATACTATCTTCATATTTATGATGTTATCATATGTTATCTATACTATAGTTACTATAACTAATAGTTACTATACTATTTGATATAGGTTTTATCATATGTTATCATTATTTTATATACTATCATATTGTTACTATAATTACTATAGGTTTTTCCCATTTTCACTGCGAAAAAAAAACACCCTTTCCGAACGCCCCTTGTTAGCGCGCACCCCTGGAACCCCATGGGGTTCCCGCACCGAACGAACGGCAGTGCAGGTGACCCGATTGAGACGTGAATGCCCTCATGAAACTTGCGGCCCTGGGGTGACTCGGCAAAAAATGGTTGTTCAGTTGCAGGATGGAGCCCCCCAGTTATAAGTTGGTTCATATACCATTATAACAACCATTAACTAGTTATATCTACCATAAACCATAGTTTAACCACTGATAAGGCAACTTAGCTATCTTGGGGGCCCCATCCTGTATTGGTGTCAGAACATTAACCATTAGTGACCATTTAGTGACCTAATGAACCATTAGTCATATTATTGAACATTAATCATATGTCCCAACCTAATGAACCATATTAAACTATATTAAACCATACAGGATGGGGCCCCCAGTCGATAGCGGGATAGCTAAGTTGCCGAACATAAGTGGTTGAATTCTATGGTATATGGTAGATATAAGGAACTAGTTCATGGGGGTTTTGTTATGGTATATAAACCAAGTTATAACTGGGGGGGCCCATCCTGTATTGGTGTTAGAACATTAACCATTAGTGACAATTTAGTGACCTAATGAACCATTAGTCATATTATTGAACATTAATCATGTGTCCCAACCTAATGAACCATATTAAACTATATTAAACCATACATGGTTTGAGATGTTTGGGTTAGTGGAAGGCGAATGTGACGATTGCTGTTTTTCTGAACAGAACGTCAAGAATTTGTGGAATCTATAGGGATAAGGGACAAGGATCCTGGTCTAGTATTGCGCATACGAGGTGAGGCCCATTTGATAGCTAAGTTTATACACATAAGTTGCTTACCTGAGGTTTTTGGGGGATATAACTATACTTTAAATGGTGTTAATAAACAGACTTAGAATTGCGCGGCTCAGAGTGTAGTAAGTAGCCACAGTAATAGTCACAAATCTATTTGGGATAGCGAATTTTCAGTCAACCCTGAGTGATACTTGTCGACCCCCAGTATGTACATTCTACACATTAGCCATGTATGTGGTTCTTTCTGGATTTTGAAATCAATTTTGGAACACTCTTTGGCAATCTAAAATGATTGTCAACTCCATCTTTGGCAGATGATGAATTTTCCACGTATTTTTTTGGGGTCCAGAATTTCTGTCCAGCCTGGACAGCTGGAGAGTATCATGACTCACATTCCCTGTGAGATGGTTTAACTTCAATGCCATTAATTAATAGTAAATTATCCATACGTAGTTATAGGATAAATTGTCATAATATATATATATGTTGCATATATAGATATATAGAGTAAATTATTCTATAATCAATCCCTCTATCATTCCATTGAATCCTGGTTGGTTAAGAACATGATTCCTCTATTAGATTATTATGATCCCTTAATATATTGTTTGGAGTTGTATAATCCCCCAACTAATCTCAATGGGAATTTCAGGATCCTAAAATGGAGGTACTGTACCATATAAGAGCATATTTTCTGGGGATATTCACTTACATAGGCCTTATATAGGCCATATATATGGTAGGTACCTCCATTTTAGGATCCTGGAATTCCCATTGATAATCATCAACCACCAAAGGTTTAGCAGAAAAAGAACTCGGATGACCCGGATCAAAAGCTCCCAACTCCCATTTCTCGGAGGTCTTTATGGCCATGCACTTCAATCGCTACTACTGCCTGGTGAACCCGGAATTTTGGGGATGTTTTTAGCATCCCAAATCGGGAACGTTGGAGGTTGGTGGAGCCCTGGAATTTACCCGGCCTGGTAAACATACAAGAAAACGATGGAAAATCCCCACTTTTCATAGATAATTAAATCAACTATTTCTATGGCCATTATTCAGTAGCTATTTTGACATAATCAGAGGCTATGGCGTTTTTGGAGATGACAACGTCACATGTTTTGCTGCTTGGTCATTCTTTCAGTGGGTCACCCCTCCACTGACTATCCTAAACATCGTCCCATAGTCTGTAGACTTTGTGATGATAACATGGCAGAACTGGGTCAACCAGTACTGAAAAATATGTTGCTATCAATGGTAAAATGTACTAACCAGCTGAAAGTTAGATTGTTTGACAGGCATCTAAGACTCACCATGGTCTACCGCATAGAATGCGAAACTTACGCTGAATTGATCCAGGCAATCGGTAGATGAAATGAAGAAATGACTGGAGAGTACATCCATATTCATCTCAGTATCCATGAAAATCATGAATGGATAGAAACATATATAGTATATAGGAACCATCAAAAGCCTATATAAATCCTTATGTAAATGGCATATTTCATATATTTCATGGTTCCTATCCATGAATCATATCCCAAGATATATCCCGCCTGTGACGTGTCACTGAGGCGGCCGATGCCACCTGACCTACCTCATCAAGAAGGACCCCTTCGTGACCTCACTGGATCGGGAATCCCAAGGCCGAACTTTGAGGTAAGTGAAATATACCCTACTTGGTTGCTCATCCCACTCAGTAAGTGGGTTATAACCCCAGTGATAAGTGAATTAATCCTACTTATATCCCATTTATAACTGGGGTTATAACCCACTTACTAAGTGGGATGAGCCACCAAGTATTGAAATCCCCAATTTATGGTGGTTTAACCTAGGAAAATGATGGGAAAAAACGAAGAAAATGATAGATACCCTCTGGTAAACTAACATAACTATTGAAAATCACCATTTTTTTTAAAGGTAATTCAACTATAAATGGCAATTTTCAATAGCCTCTGGTAAGTGTACCCTCTGGTAATTTAACATAGCCATGGAACATGGCCATAGAAATAGTTGATTTATTTATTGTAAATGGTGATGTTCCATAGTTATGTTAGTTACCAGAGGGTAGTGAAATTGATGTAATTTGCCCATAATTAACCCATAATATGGTAAATTCAATCAATTTGATTCAATTCACAAATATAGTGATGCCTGATAGTGCTCAATTAAGCCATTAACTTGTGAATTGAACTAGTTAGGAACTGCAGTTGATGATAGTTCAGCCATTCATCAATGCGATAACGATTCGTCAGGCTCCAAGCAATCCCTTCCCCGTTGGACCTCCCCAAGAAACTATGGTGGATGTAATGTAGATGGATGAAATTCCATATCGATTCAATATCAATCCATCCATCTACATTACATCCATCTATTATGGAATTTACCAATTACCAATTACCAATAGGATGAATCTGACCATGGAATGGTGGCTGTGTAACCAATAGGGGAATCGGATAAGCCAGGGGATTTCGATGGAATTCAGAAGGCATGATCCATAAACATATCATTGCACTAAAGTTTCACTAAAGCACGCCTCTAGGAGACTGGAAGCATGATCTTCTTGACATGGAGTTCCAATGGGTTTCATTTTGGAGATTCGTGCTGCAGGTTTTGAGATATGGGTTGTCTGACAATGGTGCATTTCAACTCATGACATGGTCATGTTGATAACGCAAAAAAAAACATGATCATCCAGCCGATTTTGGCATACTGCATACTCAACGTAGTGTCATACAAACACACATATAATATAAATTAATATGACATAATTAAATTCCTTCTGGGTAATTCGCAGAGAGCAATGAGAGTGTTTGATCGCCACTTGGCACGTTTTTTTTGGTGGTTTTCCCAAAGCGCGTTCGACCGGGGTCCATTCTGGCGCACGATCAAAGAGAAGTATCGTTGGTCATATCTTGTTTCTAAAGTCCATGGAGAACCATTCTCCTTGGGTCACATCCCATGTTATTGTCTGTGACATTATCCCTTTTCAATGCATATATGTTATATCGGGTTACATCTTGGATGGTGGTTTGATGTATTGTACACATCGGTTCAATCCGATTCTTACTGGTTATGTATCCTATCATAAGGATTGCATCCCCAAAATTCTTTGTAGGGCATGATTGATGATTATTTCATAAACGTATACTCATCGTAACCCAACAAAGATTAGATGGAACTAGGAACACGAGTCATTTCTCATGCTAGAAACAACTCGATGTTTGTGGCCTAAATCTCCATGTTTGGTTGGATTTCTTCGTCTTCAATTTTTCTTAGTGAAATTTCATGAAATGCTTACTGATGCTAAACGTAGGGAATGGATTGGAATGGGGAATGGGATGATTATTGATAGTTAGCCAGTGGGCCAGTGGATCATTCCCGAAAATTCCCTGCGTTTAGCACCAGTAAGAATGTCTATTGCCAATGTATAAATATACTGAACTCATATGAAATCCTATGAATCCGTGAAACTCCCCGACCCGGCCCACCAGGACGGCGCCTAGAGCAGCCGCGAGCTGACGACAAACGACGAGCTGAGTGGCGCGGGTTGGAAAAGTTCGGCGCCGAGCGGCGTGGTTCGGGACGGTTCCTGGCACGACATCGGCATGTTTACCCGCAAGATTGGTGATGGTTCGGATTTCATGGGACTTAGATAACTATATATAGATTGTTATATATTTGTTATATATATATTATATAACTCCAATAATTGATTGATCACGTATATTTTGAACATTTTTGAACTAGGCTTTGTATCGTACACATATAATATATAGATCGAACTTGTTAATGAGGGGGTTTCTGGGGGTTGTAAACTAATAAACATCACAGGGGGTACCCACTTGGTACAATGTTGCTCCAGTCATATCTTTTGGGGGATGCTGTTTTGGAATTTGCATTGATCTGGATGAATTATGTTGTGACCTCTTGTCGTTTTTTGTCACTGGAATGATGTGCATTGGATTCGGGGAACCATCCCCAAAATGGCAGTAGGAAACAGCTATTTTCAGATTAGTGAATTGGCTAATTATTCAGCTATAAACTATATAACATAGCCATGGAAAACTGCACATGTATAGTGGATTTACCCATTGAAAATGGTGATTTTCCATAGTTATGTTAGTTTACCAGAGGGTAATTATTCAGCCAGATTGATATACCCGTTGAGCATTATATCATATTTTATCCCCATTGAGCGGTTGGTGATGTTTGATTGTCAAGGTCGACATTTGTTGGTAGTCCCTTCGTAGAAACTAGTATCCCAAAAGTACTGCGAGACATACCACTATATCCCAAATAAATTCTGGATGTCATATCCCATTCCTCATCATCAATCCACATCTGGTTGGTGGTTTCAAACATTTTTTAATTTCCATAATATATGGGAAAATCCTTCCCATAATATTTTTCAGAGGGGCTGAAACCACCAACCAGTTATATCCTACCATGCATGATATCTAAGGATATCCCCGGATTCGCAATGCCGCCGCCATTTCCGGAACCGCTCTAAACAGCCGTTCCGGCGGCGGCGAGCCAACTTGTTGGCCACGGTGCCCGTTGTGAAAGGCCGGCAGACGTTGGATTTCCGATGGCTGCAATCTGTGATACCCAAAGAATGGTGGTTACCCTCTGGCAATCAAGCATGGCAATGAAAATCCCGTGACAATGGAGGGTAAAAATCGAAAATCATCGAACTGAATGATGGATGTTCAATTGCCACGTTTGATTACCGGAGGGTATTGCAGAAGTACATGAAGGGACACAGTTTGATATAATTTGCAGGAAAACTACACAATACATTTTGAATAATTTTGATATATTGAACTCGTAAAACCCACTATGATTTCCTTGTCGATTGTCTGACCAAATTCAAACAAGTCGTCATCCAAACTGGGAAGAAAATCCACGGCATACCGTTTTACCACCATCCAGCCACATCTGAATGGCTGAGAGTTCTTGATGTTCAGGAGATTTAAGGTTTTACATGGAGGTACATGAAGATTCTGTGGGATGACTTTGGTTTGTTCCTGGTGACTACTTGGCTTGCTTTTTGGTCGAACGATATGCTAAAGTGCACCCATTTAGTTTCCAACCAGAGGACGGTGCGGACCTTTCATCGCTAAAATAACGCCCGAGGGTCGACGCAACTTTCAAGAGCGGTTCGAGAAGCGACAGGAAGAACGGGGCAGTTTGAAGGTGTACCCTCTGGTAATTTAACATAGCTATTGAAAATGGCCATAGAAATAGTGAGTTTTCCCATAAAAAATGGTGATTTTCCATAGTTTTTTGTATGTTTACCAGAGGGTAGCACAGAAGGGTCAAGAAGAACGGGAGAGGTTGGCAGGGCGGCACTTGTCCGAGAGCGCAGACTTCACGATTGAGGTTTGCCAGGATTTCACGTGTGCACGGGCGCGCCCAGTAACTCCTGTTTTCTGGGCATGAGACAAGATTCTGCATCCCTGCTCCCCATCTTTAGGTATCTTTAGTAGGTAAATCACTTGTTAAAGTGCTATGTTTGATGCTACAAATCTTTATGATAATGGTTAATTGGTGGCAACAAAACATCATTTTGATGCTAACAATCCCACATTCAATGGGAATAACAATTCCATCTTTGATGCCATGCCAAAAGTCCAGTTTTGATGCTAGAAATCCATGTATTTTTCCACTGTTTTTCTAGTAATAAATCCATCTTTCATGCCAAATTTCCATAAATTTCCAATTTTTGATGCTAGAAACTCCACCCGTTCTCCATGTTTGATGCCCAGCGTTTTCCACCTTTTGCCGGTGAAAACTCCCGGTGAAAACTCCCGGTTCAGCGTCGGATCAGCGTCAGGCCATGCAGCTCTTCATCCGAGACCTCCGGGGTTCCACGGTGACCCTGGAGGTGGAACAACAGCAACAGGTACGTCAGCTGAAGGACTGGGAGAGCGCAGGGCGGTGGAAGGGGAAGGGGGATTTTCATGGATTTTCCCTAAGAATTGTGGGAGATTTCATGAGGATTTTATGTTTTTCTTTGATGTTTTTGTTTGATTTCATGAGGAAGTGGGGGAAGTCCAACTTATGGGATGTATTAATGGGATGTTGGGATTGGGATTTATCATAATATAAGTACAGCAATTCACATGTTTTTTATAGTAATAGTTTATACATGTTATACTATACAAGGTTGTGCCCCCCAGTGATGTTTGTTGGTTTACAAATAGATAACCATAGTAAGATATAGTAAGTAGTTCGATATATCTACCATAAACCATAGAATTATTGGAGTTATTGGCACCAACTTAGCGATTCCAAACTGGGGCACCACCTTGTGGCATGGTTCATGGATGGTATTTTTCATGGTAACTTTTGGGGTGTTATGGATCCCAACTGGCAGGAAGTGGTATGTAATGGATTGTTCATGGAACGTTAATGAATAACATGAAGTGGTGTATATGAACGTGAATGACTGGTGTATAATGAATATAATGTGGTGTATACCATATAATGGTGTGTATATATATATACTGTATATATACATACATATATATATATATGTATGTACACACCTGGTTGGTGGTTTGGAACATGACTTTTATGTTCCCCAATAGTTGGGATGATGATCCAATCTGACTTCCATATTTTTCAGAGGGTTAGGTATACCACCAACCAGATGGTGTAAAATGATGTCATGGGGTTGTTTCTGTAATGTAATATGTTATGGTAATCCCACTTTTATGAATGGGATAATAGTAGTATATAATATATCAATGGGACGTTAATGGGAAATCAGGGAAATTCCTGGGAAGTGAGACAAGTCGCACTTGTTCTGGTATGTCATGGGATGTTCATAGGATGTTAAAGGTGTATAATGTAATGGGATGTACTGGGGTTGTTTTTGTTCGATCTACTGGAGAGGATGACTAAAATCATAGCTATGAACCATGGGCTGGTGATGTCATCCCATTTCAATGATGGCTATTAATGTTATGAGTCAAATAGGAACCACAGGTAGGCTCTAATGTTTTAGTGATGGCTATTAATATGATTGCGTTTTTTTATACTAGTTGGGTAATGATGGCCACAAAAATGATGGCCTTTTAATGATGGCTATGAACCATTAATGTTTCAGTGATGGCTATTAATGATGGCTATTACCCTCTGGTAAACTAACATAACTATGGAAAATCACCATAGAAATAGAGGATTTTCCCATGAAACCTGGTGATTTTCCATAGTTTTTTGTATGTTTACCAGGCCGGGTATACTAGTTGGGTCATGAACCACAGCTGCAGGCCTCACCAGTTGAGGCCTCATCCCTGGCCATTGCGCCGTCGCCAGGAGCAATTGGTGGCACTCTCCGAAGTTCCCAGCAGCGAGTGCCGGGACTCAGATGCGCCTAGGGAGCTGTGATAGCTAAGGTTGTACCCGGCCTGGTAAACATACAAAAAGCTATTGAAAATGGCCATTTGTAGTTGATTTTCCCATTAAAAATGGTGGATCTTTCCATAGTTGTATGTTTACCAGACAGTATCCTTCGAAAAAATATGGTCCGACCAATGGTGGTTTCGCTGGGGTTTCTGCCAATGGACCCCAAAAATCCCATGGGTTTCAGGATGTTTCAAGTTTCAAGAAAGGTCCAATGACGACTTGACCCACAATCGAGAATACCCTCTGGTAAACATACAAAAAACTATGGAAAATCACAATGTTTAATGGGTAAATCCACTATAAATGGCAATGTCAATAGCTATGTTAAATTACCAGAGGATATGTCTTTCAGGAACACTCAACATGAATATATAATCCCATCCCACTAGTATTAAACACCCCATATACAAACGGTTCAGATTATGTGTTGAACCCGTACTAAGTTATGGTTTCTGGGGGTGCTTGATAGAAAGGGGGATGGGACTAAAGAGGGGAGACAACTTCGGAGCCACCATCCGAGTTTCCACACCGGTCTTTGGCGTGGCCTTCAAGTTTCACCCCTCCCGGGGGAAAGTGATGAGTTTCTGCTTATGCCATTATTAACCATTATTTTATGAATCATTATGAACCATTATTAACCATTCTGAAACATTATCAACAATTATTAACCATTACCAAGTGGACTTGAGTCTTGCAAAATCTCAACCAAGCACTGAGAGTTGAGTTTCGGTATATCGCTCAGAGACTCCTTGAGATCAAATCCTGTGCAACAGAGGAAGTTTTCATGGGACAACTATGGGAAAACCATAGGAAAACCATAGGAAAACCATAGGAAAACCATAGGAAAACCATAGGAAAATCATATGTCAATGGATTGGTTTAAGGGAAATTTACAGGAAAGCCCCTTTGTTTCATGGGAAAATCGATGGTTTCCGGTTCAGATTTGCCTAACAAAAGCAATCCATTGACATGTGAATCCATTTGATTGCAGATCTGGGAATTGGAGAAGGGCTACCCATTTTGGCCATATGTTTGGAGCTGAATATTACCCGACACAATTCACATCCAACCAGAGGACATGTTTAAATCTTCAGTGAGTAGCGAAAAGAAATAGAAACTCACGACAGGACCCATACCAGTTGGCATTTGGGCATGAATGAAAGTGTATTGACTACTACCTATGTTTCATATTTGAAGATTAAACGGCTAGGAATATATTGTCCAGTGAAATCTTCCTAAACTTTGCCATGTTAGGAAGCAAATTTGCTAAGTTGGTTTATAACTCCAATAACTAGGGTTCTTATATAATATTTAGTTAAGTCATGGTTTCAAAGACCTGATAAGAAGCGGCACGTAAGGAATTGCGATTTATCAAACAAACCAGGAAAAGACATTTTGGTAAAGGGGCGCAGCAGCAGTCTCCGTAGGACTGACCGACTGACCTGGTCGGGAAGAAGTTTTCAAACGCGCTCCGTGCAGGATGACCCGACCGATTGCGTCCGCCTGGAGTGCCCAATTCTTGTCATCTCGGCGTTCACCGGAATTTTTCCGGCGCTTTCAGGATCTACGATGTTCTGGGGATTCAGGTGCTCGGCAGAATCTCCATTGAGATCCTTAAGGATGCAAAGCATACTACAACCCACAGCTTGGCACACCTGGGAGTAGCACGACATCACTCAGGTCTCCGAGGACGAGGGTCCAGGTTTTTCTGGCAGCTTTTGACCCTAAGCACCTGGATCCAGAACCGTCATATAGATAGTATATCTATAGTTGGGGATATATTCACAAACTTACAAGTGGAACAAGGATTGTATTGGTTATATGAGTCTCATTTGTCTTTAAGTTAAACTCATGGTTACAATGAATCTTAGTTATCAGGTATTGGTTACAATTAACTAAATTAAACCAAGTTATTAGCTAAGTACCAAACAAATTCACTATAATAGATACTATATCCCAGTTTTATAAGCTATAAAGTTGATTGGGATATAAAACTTTAGAACATAATGATCAACCATAGGTTTCACAATTCATATATATAATCATTGTCCCCGTTCAATCCCAGTTTTAGATACTATAATTAACATCCCAGTTTGGTTCCAATTTAGATACTATAATCCAGCTTTTAACCATCTAATAACCATAGATTAACCATTATTAACAGTATGTTAACCATAGATTAACCATAGATTAAACCATATAATAACCATTATTAACAGTACCATTTTCAATGGGTAAATCCACTATAAATGGCCATTTTCAATAGCAAACTGTTAAATTACCAGAGGGTGAATTAACCAAACTCATTACTAACAGATACTAACAGTATGTTAACCATAGATTAACCATAGATTAACCATAGATTAACCATAGATTAAGCATGTAAAAACCATTATTAGCAGTATATTAACATCAATATCATGGTTCTAGAGTTTAACATAGTTAACTATCATTGTTAGCTATCATGGTTAATAGTTTCCCATATCTATGGTTAATAGAGTTAATAGAATTAACCACATATTATGATGTTTGATGAATTGGAGCCAGCCCTGGTCGGTTGGTTCACCCACCGAGGCAATGCCTCATCTTCGCTGGTCGATCCTTGTCGGATCTGGAGACCCTTGCTGAATGCCTGGGACCATGGGACCGATGGGACCGATGGGACCGATGCTGGTGAAAAACTGGTGACTTTCACTTGGAAAACCTGGGAAAACCCAGGAAAATGATGGGAAAACTGGGGAAAACCCAGGAAAATCATGGGAAAACTAGGGCAAACCGGGGAAAATGATGGAAACTGTGGGAAAACCCAGGAAAATGATGGGAAAACTTGGGAAAACCGAGGAAAATGATCGGAAAACCTAGGAAAATGATGGGAACACTTGGGAAAACCGAGGAAAATGATGGGAAAACTTGGGAAAACCTAGGGAAATGATGGGAAAACTTGGGATCCCTAGGAAAATGATGGGAAAACTTGGGAAAACCGAGGAAAATGATGGGAAAACTGGGGAAAACCTAGGAAAATGATGGGAAAACTTGGGAAAACCGAGGAAAATGATGGGAAAACTTGGGAAAACCGAGAAAAATGATGGGAAAACTTAGGAAAACCGAGGAAAATGATGGGAAAACTTGGGAAAACCGAGGAAAATGATGGGAAAACTTGGGAAAACCGAGGAAAATGATGGGAAAACTTGGGAAAACCTAGGAAAATGATGGGAAAACTGGGGAAAACCGAGGAAAATGATGGGAAAACTTGGGAAAACCGAGGAAAATGATAGGAAAACTGGGGAAAACCGAGGAAAATGATGGGAAAACTGGGGAAAACCGGGGAAAATGATGGGAAAACTTGGGAAAACCTAGGAAAATGATGGGAAAACTGGGGAAAACCGAGGAAAATGATGGGAAAACTTGGGAAAACCGATGAAAATGATGGGAAAACTGGGGAAAACCGAGGAAAATGATGGGAAAACTTGGGAAAACCGATGAAAATGATGGGAACAAACGAAGAAACTGATACCCTCTGGTAAACTAACATTTTGCGAACCAGAAAATCACCATTCACAATAGGTAAATCAACTATAAATGATCATGTTCAATGGCTACGTTTAATGAGGGTAAAAGCAGGTTTCCTAAGTCATGGGGGTACCCCTAAATCATCAATGTTCATAAGATCCTCCATTATAAACCATCAATTTGGGAAATGGAAACCCCCAGATGATCAATCTATGGGATGTCATTGTATAATCATCATTGACGCACAGTACTCGTATCAATGGATAAAAACCAACATTAGTAATTTATGATTATAACTTATGACCTGGGTTTGCTGAGTTGCCGCGAATAGTTTTTAGGATTTCAATAGTGATGATAATAGTCATGATGTTTGTTGGTTTAGTTTCGCCAGTTGAATACTGTAGTGATTAATTCTCCGTAAACGTAGAATTCGCCTGAGTATGTGTGTCAACTTAGCTATTGTAAACGCGGGCCTCACACCTTGTATGTTATGTTGTCATTAATATTATGCAATTCTATGCAGTTTTAATGCTTATATATATATATATCGTAGTTATATGTACAATGTGATAATGTATGTAATTATATATGTATATATCTTTGTTTGTATTTGGGATCAAATTTAGATAGTTGGGATACAAACTAGCCAGCAGAACTTGTTTTGTCAGGCTATCTTAGGCTGCAACAAATTGTATTTATACTACAAAAGGTGGGGAACAGCAGGAGGGCATCAGGCCTAGTGAATGCAGGATGGGGCACCTTTTGCGATTGGAATGATCACTTTTCTTGGGCCCACATATAGAAACTGGCTTTCCTTCTGGGTTGACGTGAGCATGAACTTTTTTTCGTGCTCATATCAGCTATGCAGTGGGCATATGATACGACAAAGAAAATAGACAGTGAATGACAGTAATCATGTGGAGGCTTCCTGAAATAGGGATACCCCTAAATCATCGATTTTGACAGGATTTTCCACTATAAACCATCCATTTTGGGGTACCCCCATTTATGGAACCCCCCATGTGCCAATCATGAAACATGTTGACAGACGTCCTGTAGTTCCTGGACATGAGGTGTTGATGGTGATGATGGCGATGAACACCACAATATATATATATGGCACAATGATTGTGATCATGCTAATGCTGTATATTTACAAAAAAAATACGTAACGATCATGAGTAATATAGTAATGATGTATAAATCAATGAACATGATGAGGGAGATAAATGTAATGATATGCCATTAATGATATACCAATATGGCAATGGGTCAAAACCCTGCTACTTAGTGAACCCCAAAACAGCTGGAAGATGGATGTTCATCTCACTGAAAATTGATGATAATAGATTTTGACCCATCCCCATATATTGGGTATAGCAATATCATCCCCATATATTCGGTATAATTATGTTATAATATGTTTTAATATCCATTGAGAACATATTTATTGTTATTTTGTTTACCCTCTGGATATTTAACCCAACCCTGGAACATGGTCCATTTATAGATGGTTTACCTTTTAAAAAATGTGATTTCCCATGGCTATGTTAAATCACCAGATGGTATACATCATTACATTATCATTGCATCACCATGATGACCAGTGAGTGACCAGTGTCCCACCTTCTAGGCGGAGTGGAGGAGGGATCCACTCTCTTCTTGAACTTGGAACTTTGCGACTTGGCCACTGGTTTCGGGGAAGAAGTCCAGGCTATTTGACGAAGACATTTAACAATATTTAACAGGTTGCTATTGAAAATGGCACATGTATATACTTGATTCAATCTGATTAATTATATAACCTATTTAGAATGGTGATTTACCAGTTCGCTATGATTTTATGTTAGTTTACCAGAGGTATTCGTAATGCTGATATGAGCTACAGCTAAAATTTAGCGTAATGGAAAGCAGTATTCGAGACATCTTTATTTTTGGAAATTGAGCTGGGGCTTGGAAAACGGTAATATACTCTTCAAAAATTGATGACTTGGAGCTATATACTAAATATTGACCGTGGCCCATATATATGATAGGTGTATGGCATCAAAAAAAGGGGCACTTCATGGGATTTCATGGGATATTTAATGGGATATAGACAAGAATAATAGACAGATATAATTGGCAATGTGAATAAGACACATGGTATCTCTATTATTTCATGGATATTTAATGGTAATATACTAGGAATCTATATGGTGGATTATTTAATGGTTTCATAATGATGGTAATATCATGTGGACAATCAGGAAATAACCAATAATGTGGATATAACATGGCTCATATATCAAAGTGCTGTTGGTTGGATCCCTATCATAATGGATTTGATCACGTTTCATGGTTTCATAATAGGGATCGGATCCAACCAACAATATGGTCTGTGTAAACAGCTGCGGAGGGATAAATGGACGGGATGAGAATTCAACGTGAATTCACCAATGAAACGAGGGCCATTACCTTGCCCTTGTGGAGGATGTGAAAGTTTGATAAACATGGGTCTGAAATTGATATGAAACTGGTTGGTGGTTTGGAACATGTTATATTTTCCATATATTGGGAATTTCACAATCCCAACTGACGAACTCATATGTTTCAGACAGGTTGAAACCACCAAGCAGGAAAATTATCATCCTACCTATGGGTTGTTGAATGGGGGGAAGCCCTGAATCAACTAACCAGTGGGAATACAGGACATCTATGAGACAGTGGCTTCGCCTGAACATATAGAGATTAACACATTGATGACTTGGTTTTCACAATGGTAACTAGTAATAATGTGGGTCAAACAATGTCATACACCACCCATGACTGGGAATGGTAACCATACCACCTATAAACATGGTGATGACTGGGGGATGGTTTATGGCATCGTTTTACCCACATTAAAATGGGATACCATGGTTGACAACCATTAGTATTGATTAATAATGATGAATATTGATTTACTAGTACTGTTACTACTGGTTAATACTGATTAATAATTGGATGAATATGGATTTACTAGTACTGTTACTACTGGTTAATACTGATTAATAATTGGATGAATATGGATTTACTAGTACTGTCAGTACTGGTTAATACTGATTAATAATTGGATTACTTATTTAATAATTGACAGTTAATACTGATCATTAATATTGGATTCATATTGGCAATACATGGATTTACGCTCCAGTAATCAAACATGGCAACTGACAATTCCCCACTACTTGTTGGATGATTTTCCCACAAAGAAATCGTCCATCTTCATGGGACCACAAAATCTACTCGTCTCATGAAATCTGCAGTTGTGCCATCAAAAATAGCCTGGTGACACTCTGGTAAACATACAAAAAGCTATTGAAAGTGGCCATTGAAATAGTGAGTTTTCCCTTTAAAATGGTGATTTTCCATAGTTTTTTGTATGTTTACCAGAGGGTAATTGATTGCTACAGGGGATAAGAAACTACCTGGATTACTGGGGATTATGATAACCCGTAGGAGTGGAAACCGTTTTCAACCAACTAGTATTTCATGAGATGGGAAAACGAGGTATTTTTAATGGCTCAAATGACTGTAGGAATCAGCGTGGATCATTACTTGCATGTGGCGTCCCAGTTCGTTTTTTCTGCTGAGTTCAGTGGTTCTTCTTGGATGTGCATCCCACTTAGTGGTTTATAATGTTTATAATCCATATGTAACCCGTATGAGCCCATATATCATTGGGGTCATTCCACATATTATGTATATATATATGTATATTAGTGGGGGTTTCTCACCCATTTACTAAACATATTTTTTTCCCCCGCAATTTGTTCATCGAAATGTTTTTTTTTGATTTCAAGCGGATCCCCTGGCAACGAGGTGGTGGTGGAAAGAAGTTCGAGAGCCCGGGGGATTTTCCCAGCTGTGCTCCATTGATGGGGGATCTTCCCAGCTTGCCACGTTTGATTGCAGGAGGGTAATAAAGAGGTTTTAATGGGAAAACCATAGGAAAACCATAGGAAAACCATAGGAAAACCATAGTTCACCTGGTTATTACCCTCTGGTTATGTCAAAATAGCTATTGAAAATGGGCATAGAAATAGTGGATTGTCCCATTGATAGCATGGTGATTTTCCATAGCTATGTTAGTTTACCAGAGGGTAGTGTGTCGTTGTCAAAACCAAATTCACAATTACAAAACCTAGATACATAACTTACAGAACCTTGATTGGAGTGGTTTTCCAGTCCACTTTTTGGGGTACCCTCTGGTACCTTCTGGAAATTTGTTGCAGCTTGCGAAGCCATAGCACATTTAGAATTTAGTTGGATGATTTACCTGTGAAAAATACGGTAATCTCCAATAGTTCTGTTAAATTACCAGAGGGTACACTCTCAGCGCATTCTTTTCGGAGGTAATGTGGGTTTCTCCTCGGAAGGTTTCAAGCTTTTGTAACCGATCAGAAACTGGAAGAGAATGCAAAGGGTCAAGCATGACTTGGGAATCTCTACCCTGGAATTTCACCCGTGATGAGAAACATAGGTTCAGTAGATAGCCAGAGTTGTTTGTTTCCACGCTGATAAAATTCATGAGTTTCCCATATTTTCCCTGTAGATCTCAACAGACAGAAAAAAAAGGCGAAAGAAGAAGACCTACACCAAGCCCAAGAAGATCAAGCACAAGAGGAAGAAGGCACAGAACGGAAACTGCGGGAGGTGTAGAGGATGTTTTAATATGGTTTAATATGCTTTAACATAATAATTGAGAACATCCATTCAGACCATTAGGATCCATTAGGTAGGTACCCGGCCCATATAAAATGAGATAAACATGAGATAATAATACCATCATAAGTTTTACGGTGGATGTTTGGAGTTGTTTGAACCAGATCTTTGGGACCAAAAAATATGGGGGATATGGAAAATTACCATAGAAATAGTTTTATAAATATATATATAAGATATGGCATATGGTAGAATAATCCAGAACATATATATATATGGCTGGATGATTACCCTCGACATGTAAACGTTTACAGTTTGCGACATTGATAGAAAATGGCCCAGTCGAAATAGTGGATGACTAGCCATGAAAAATTAGCATGGTGATTTTCCATCGTTTCTTGTGAACGTTTACCATGTCGGGTAAAGTGTGCGAATGGGTTGGGTACTTCAGTCGAGCTCAACTTCATCCTTTTCGGTTAGCCTCTGGTAAACGTTTACAGTTTGCGAACTGGAAAGATCCACCATGCTATTAATGGGCAAATCCACTATACATGGCAATTTTCAATAGCTATGTTAGTTTACCAGAGGGTACCATCCCTATTGTTCTTGCATGAAGATTCAGACCTTTCAGACACACAACAATACCCCTATGCTGATAGTTTTCCAAATATAGCTTTGATTTTCATGATCTAAAACAAAAAGAGGGTCATAGTCATGATCCATTGAGGCTCCATGGTTAGGATTACATGGTTAGCGACCAGGCTGTTCGAATCCAGGGCTGAATCCAGATGGGAAAATCCTCGCTTCGCAATCCAGGGTGATATTCTAGGATGGGGAAAACAGTCGAGCGAATGCGTTCAGTTGCCGAACAGAAAAGTGGTTGAATTCTATGGTTTATGGTAGATATAACTATAGTTAATGGGAGTTTTGTTGTGATATATAATGGTCTAGCAAACCGTATGTGATTAACAGAGGATAAACCCATATTCATCCCATTATTCATGACTAGTAACAGGGTTGCTCAAACCCATAGATCATTACAGATACATCAGATAAATGATAGCCACATGTGGGTCACTCATTATAGATCATTATAGATTGTACATAAGTACATGATAGCCACAAGGTAGATTATCATTATAGATTATATAGGTAGATTATTATTATAGATTATATATTATAGATAGATAGGCTATGATAAGCTTAATACTTGTTGTTTGTTCCTAAAAAACATCATGCTATATATCGTGTTTTGCTATGATAGGCTATGATAGACTTAACATTTCTCACTTCAACCTCCTTCCTGGAGAAGTTCAGCCTCGATGAAATCCAGGTGAAGCTTGCGGTGTTGAAGTTCTACAAGGTCGACTCAAACGACAAGGTGGGGCCAGGTTAGAGAAGGAGGTTACAAGACGTTGAAAAGAATGGGGGGGGTATCCCAAAAACGGTTGGTTTATACAGGATGGGCCCCCCCAGTTATGAGTTGGTTTATATACCATGACAAAACCCCCATTAGCTAGTTCGTTATATCTACCATAAACCATAGAATTCAACCACTTACTAGTATAAGGCAACTTAGCTATCTTGGGGCCCCCATCCTGTAATGGAAAATCTCATGAAAATGGATGATTTAGGGATACCCCCATTTCAGGAAACCCCCATATATGGTTTTACATTGTTTTATACGGTTGAAGAGGGATAATATATGGTTTTATATGGTTTAATATGTGGGATAATGGGATGTGTTTATGGTAACCTCGACAGAAAAGATTCAATATATCACTAGAAATGAGTGTGATATATTGAAGCTTTTGTCTATCTAACCTTCGAGGTTGATGATTGGTTTGGGGATGATACTACTCTGTATTAATTGGGTTTCATCATCCATGATGGGAAATCCTATGAAAACCAAGCAGCCCAAGCACTGTAATACATAGGACGACGTAAAGCGTCTTCAAAAAGCACTCAGATGATGGTGAAGTAACTGGGAAGTATGCAGATCTACGAGGTGTCCAAAACCATCCCATACCAAGGTTATGAATTACTGATAATTGGAAAACTCGAGCATGTGCGGCAAGTGTTGATTCAAAGGTGTGCAGGAGAAAGAGGTTGTGGGTTCCAAATCAGGAGAGCACATCCCTTTTTGTTTTCCAAGTAAAACTATGGATCTAACATGATTTAACCATGATCTAATCAACAAATATGGGTTTAAGCATCAAAATCATCAACATCTTGGGCGTTTCAGACGTCAACCGATTGTTTTTCAATCGAGATGCCGGAATGTGACTGCAGGTGACTCGATTGAGACGCGAATGTCCTCATGAGACCTGCGGCCCTGGTGTGTCCTGGCAGCTGTGGAATTTCTCGGCATAGCTTCAATAGCTACCCTCTGCTAAATTAACAGTTTGATCCTGGCAGTCATCAGGGTTGGAAGATTCGTTTCCGAATGGCTTATTTTCAGGGTCTATGTTAATTTACCAGATGCTAAATCTGCTAAATCAACAGATTTGTTATGGGCAATGTTCAATAGCAAAAACTGTAGCATTACTGGTGGGTAACCATCAACAACGGCCAAAAGATGGATGGGACAATGGTTGAGATTTTCAGGATTTACTCCAGCAGGGAGATGAAGACCCTTCAGCAGAAGAGTTAGCGATATGACTTTGGGTTGCTTGGCAGTGTCATCATGTCTTCAAGATGTTTATTGATATATATATATATATACATATATATATATATGTATATTGAAAATTATTGAAATATGGTTGTTTCTTTGATATTGGGATATTGGGTCTTTGTCCAGTTTTGGGATTCATATAGTCAAACATAGGTTGGATTCATATAGGGATGGCTGACTCAGAGGGCCGCTTTCCTCGAGATGGATCTGTAGCCTCTGAAAGGCCATAGAAAATGGGTACCCTCTGGTTATGACTAACAGTTTGCCATGGTATAGATGGCCCATAGAAATAGATGATTTGCCCAGCTAGAAACACCCATTTATGGTTGGGATTTTCCATGGCGATGTTAAATAACCAGATGGTACATCATGGTACATGGCCATTCGCTAAGCGCAAAGAAATACGAATATTCAGTTTCATTCATATTTATTCTTTGGTAAACTAACACAGCTATTGAACATGGCCATAGAAATCGTTGATTTACCCACTAAAAATGATGATGTTCTATAGTTATTTGTATGTTTACCAGAGGGTACTAATAAACAAATGCGGGATCTGTGTCAAACCAAGAAGCGCTCCGAGCCCCCTACTGTAAGAGTTGGTTTCATGGAAAATCCAACATTTCTTCATGGATGATGACTACAGGATGGGGCCCTTCAGTTACCCTCTGGTAAACTAACATAACTATGGAAATTGGCCCATTTATAGTTGATCTACCTATTATAAATGGTGGTTTGTTTACCAGAGGGTATGTTTGTTGGTTTATAACCCTATCTAAATATAGTTGTTTGCGTATCATACACCAGCTTGTTATTGAAGTTATAAACCAACTTAGCTAACTAGCTAATTACCCTCATTCTAGGAAACCTTCATATAATTCTAGTGTCGCCAGATTGCATCCAAAGGAGCAATGAAACAGAACAGGAAGGGTGAGGAATCAGAAATCCACCTGTCCGCACCTGTGTAAAATGGTGTACCGTACTATACCCTCCGGTAACTCAACGTAGCTATTCAACATGTATACATACTTCTCAACAATTTGATAAAACATTGTGTTTTTTCCATAGTTTAAGAAGGGCGCAAAGGATTTTTTGCAACACATCAATCCTCCTCACAAAGTAACACACATAAAAATCAAAAACAAGAGAATAGGGAATGTTCAGTATGTGGTGCATTTTCCCTGATGCTAGTGTCAAAATACACTATATACAGGCTATATATACAGTATACATTGGGTCTGGGTCAAAAATTAAGACCTGGTGGACCACAGATTTTAGCCTATTTTTAGTATTACCCTCTGGTTATTTAACATAGCCATGGTATAGATGGCCCATAGAAATAGATGGTTTACCTATTAAAAATGGTGGATCTTTCCAGTGGCTATGTTAAAGAACCAGATGGTAGCCATCTCATTATTGGGCTGCCCCATGAATTGACAATTCCCACCGATCATTCCCATCTTCTCCAAGGTCTTTATGGCCATGCACTTCAACCGCTACTACTGTAGCGGCAGCCAAGATTTGTTGGAAAACTCACCAGCCTTGTTGGTTGGGTTATGAAACAGGGAATCATGATGATTTATGAAGCTACTTTGGTTATTGCGGATTATGACATTGGTTATAAACTAACCCGTTCAGGAAACCGTTTCAACCGACGAATATTTCATGAGATGGGATACAGATTCATTTTTAATGGTTCAAGTGTTTCCCTTTGGCCACCAGATTTCAATGCAGATTTTCATGATCTCTGGTGGAAGATGACAACAAACCTTCATAACTAGGGTGCTAGGGTGCTGTCGGTTATGAATCTTATGTTATGTTATGAATGTCATGTACTGTTATGAATTGTATAATTGTCTTATATTGTTTTGCTTCGATTTGTTGTAATTTATTCAGCTGTTCAACTGGGGCTGTCCTCACAGGTATGCTTGCTACAGACATGTTTGAGACACGTTTTCAGACCCAACGCATTTATGTTGCTACCGGTCAAACAGAAAAACAGCAGAGACTTGCAAGCAAATAGAGGTGAGGGTGAATTTTGGTACTTGAGATTATTAATACACTATCTACGTATTTAATCTATCTATCCATCTATATATCTATCTATCTATCTAACTAACTAACTCTATCTATATATATATGTGAATATATATATATATACATGTATGTATATATATAGATTCACATATATTTCTATTTCGATACTCTATATATATAATTATGTATAGATATATGTATATAAATATATATACATATATATATATATATATATATACACAATGAATATGTGTTTCATAGCCACGACTTGAAGCCCTGATCCTCACAGCCGCTTGTGCACCCGTAGTTTTTCTCAGGGAGCTATGGAAAATGGTGTTGGTGAATAGATGACAAATATAGTCTATATAGTTTTAGTGATAGTTCTAGTTATTCATATATATATATCCATATATATATATATCCATGTATATACTATAGTTTTAGTTAGAGTTAGTTATACGGTAACGACATTGAAATATGTGGAGGGCAGGCCAGTTATAGTTAGCTATGACAATTAGGTACCGAAAACATATTATAAGAATGGATGATAAAACCATAAATCTCGATTGAACCATGGTGATTTTCGCTATGTGGATCATGGTCAGAGTGCAACATCAATGGACAATCTACAACGTGAGATTCCCGTAGAGCTTGTAGGGGATTCCTTCGATGGAAGGTCCTACGGGCAGCCAGGGTCTTGGAAATTCTCAGGTGGCAAATGTCACTTGACCTACCTGATCAAGAAGGACGATGAAACATGGCATAGTGACATTTCCCCAATTGAAGTGTTGAATTCCTAGAGCTTTGGAATCCCTATGAATAGCATTAGGGGGCTGAACATCCGGAAATCCCAGTTTTGATGTGAACTACAGGGATCGAAAAAGGGCTACTTTTGGTTGGTGACTTGGTGACTCCCCAGATGTCATGTTCCCTGTACACTATCAGCCGCTAGGATCCATCAAGGGATAGATACTATGCTTATGGATCAATACTCATAATGGATAAATTCCTGGATAAATCTTAGGATAAATACTATTATCATTAGCTACTGATTTTTGCATGATTATTATCAATACTCATCCCATTATATAAAATTAGTTTTAGCTACTAAATAACATTATCAATACTCATCATATGAGTATCATGATACTTTATTATAATATTTTTAAATAATAGTATCATATCAGTGTCAATACTCATCATATCAGTATATTTGTTATAGCTACTAAATAATATTATAATAAACATATCAGTATCATGATAATAATATTGATAATATCATAGTTGATACTAAATTAGTATCATAGTTTAGTTGAAAATATAGTAAAATAATAATATCATAGTTTAGGCATAGCCTATAACCATTAGGCATAGTTTATTATTTTAGAATCCCCATGATTCAATGTATCTCCGCTGAGCCCAACATCCGAATATCATCCGAATATAATCTCCTTGTGTTGACGTAGATCAATTGGTTAACTACAGTATATGTATGTAGATGTGCGCTTTAAAAAGGGGATATATGATGTATATATATATAACTGGTTAAACATATAGATATACAGATATTCATATATGTAGTTATTCATATACATATATATATACATAAATATAACTGAGAATATAACTGATATAACTCTACTGAATGCGCTTAGTTTTCCAAATGTTGCGATGTCCTTTTTCGCGGGCCTCACCTGTGTAGAACTTTGCCATTTTTCTGTGGCAAAAGCAGTAGATCTACGGATACGGTCAAAAAAAAACAGTAGATCTACTAATATGTTCAGTTACCTTTTGATAATGGATCGAGTAGATCTACTGATTACTTTAGACTATCCATTTATATTTATAGATCCATTGTTAAGTCATAGAATATGTTGTGTTGCATATGTTCAAATGGATCTACTAAACAAAATCTCGGCCGATTCTGAGATTCTGGTTGGAGAAAATTGAAGATGATATATCAAATAAGTTGGGATATCCAATCAACTTAAATACTAATGAATGATTGTTGGGAGACGATTGATACCCTCTGGCAAACTCACATATGGAAAATCACTATGCATGTTTAATGGCTAAATCCAACTATTTCTATGGCTATGTTCAATAGCAAACTGTTAAATGACCAGAGGGAATCCCCCCAAAAAAAATGAAGTTGGACATGGTGATTCCCTCTGGTAATTTAACATAGCTATTGATGACAATACCTGGTGATTATGTGATTTTCAATAGCTACAAGGTGGTGCCCCCCAAGTTATAAGTTGGTTTATAATCCCATTAACTGTAGATATATCACCAACAAAAACCATAGTTATTGGAGTTATGTGAACCCCAACTGAACGCTATCGAACGGGGGCACCACCTTGCATCTGGTTATGACTAACATAGCTAACTAGAAAGATCCGCCATTAAAATAATAGGTAAACCCAGGTAAACCATCTATTTCTATGGGCCATGGATTATGTGATATTATGTGGTTATCCTCTGGCAATATCCCAACATGTGACAGGAATAGAGGCCGAGACATGGTCGGCGAGGGAAAAAAAAACGGGGCGCGGATCTGTGGTGGTGTTCAGGTTGGTGTTCGGGATGGAAGTTAAGGGGTAGCCATTCCCCATAGGTCACCTAGGTCAGCCTCAAAAAAATGAGCCTTTGGTGATTGAATGTTATTTAAGACTTTGCCATGGAATGATATGGAATATGGCCCACTTATAGATGATTTAATATGATGTACCTATAATATATCATGATGTTCCGTTGTAAACACGTAAAACATAGTGATGTTCCAGTTCGCACAGCGTTCAAGAAAACATGGTGAGGCAGCCAGGCTGATGAACTGCTTATCTTTTTTGGGGGGGTTGCTGTAGAGAAAATCTAACATTCTTCACTGCAATTCACTACGGTGATATTATCTGAGGTGCAAAAGAAATATATTCTATAGTTTGCATAAGTGGAATTTCACTGTAGTAATCAACTATATGAGAAATGAATAGTAATTCTTCACGTTATTCATGGTAATTAACAGTTATATCCCCAGTTATTTATGTCACTGTAGTAATTATAGTAATTTGAACTGCCAGTCGTTCTAGGGACTTCGCTTTGATTGTGCACAAGGATCGGCTCTCAATGCCACTCACGTCAACAGTGAAGGTCATCCTTTGCCCTTGATGCAGCTCCTCTGAGTTGGTTTAGATCATTCATCCACTCTAGACTCTAGTTGGAATGTCATCATCCTAATGGTTAATGATGGTTAATCATGGTGAATAATGATGGCGAATAATGATGAATATTTACATGGATACTTTAATCCTTTAGTCTTTTGGTATGAATGAGAATATCTACTAACCACCAGCAATGAATTTGTCATTTTTTGCAGGTATCTGGCTGATTGGCAATGCACTGTAAATGTCTGGAATTGGTGAATTGTGGGTCAAAAACCGGCGCTGGGTTGACCAGATCCCAAAATCACCAGATCCAAAGACTCCGATGTTTGTTTTTCATGGCATTTTGAATGGGGAAATCGTGAAAGACCATATAAAAACAAGTAAAAACACCACTGGGAGTGTTGATGATGTTGATGTCCAGATTTCCAGCCAGCCATGTTTCTTTCTTTGGATTTTTCAGAGGAAAAGATACAGGTTCGAGATGACTGGTTGGTGGTTTCAAACATGAATTTTATTTTCCATAATATATGGGATGTCATCCTTCCCATTGACGAACTCCACCATTTTTCAAGATGGTTAGAACCACCAACCAGATGAACCGATCTTGTTTTCCACGATCTTTAGCCAGCAAATAAAGGGTTTTCCCGCCACAGCCAATAGTTGATATAGTGGCTTGTCCTTCACGAGCGATGGGCTGCACACAGGTACAAGCCATGGGGAGCCATGGGCGGAGCAACAGATGGCTGGCACAGGTGAATTTATGGGATTTCCATCAGGATTTATATGGCTATGAGTCAAAACCCTGGTACCTAGTGAACCCCAAAATAGCTGGTAAATGGATGTTCATCCCATTAAAAATGTATCTATAGGTATTGACCCATACCCATATAAATGCTGATGTGATGGAACTATTTCATGGGATAATCATTAAATCACCATTTAAATCCCCATGAAATCCCATAAATTTACCTGTGCCATATATTTGATGGAGAAATCAAGGATGGAATTGACCCAATCTTCCTTGATTTGCTGATGATGTTTGATTGGGGAATTTACCCGGGGAATCTGGATTCTTCATTTGTTTGGGGTTCCGAAAAAGTAAATGTATATAAGTCATGCAAAAAACACGTATACTCTAAAGATATGTAAACATTGCATACGCATCATACGCATGGCAATGAGTTATTGATGATATGTTTTGTTGGAGTCTCACATCCAGCCAAACTCTACGGGAGATTCTCTGGATCTTGGTGAGTGAGTTACAGTTACTGTGATTTTCATGCTCCAGGCTGATATTTCTCGAGTGAGATGAAAGATATTAGTTATATATAATTATATATACTTATATATAGTTATATGCCTTATTGAACATCAATGGATTTGTTTTTCCGGGAATATCTACAAAATTCTACCATCAAATATAGAGGAGGTTCCTGTAACATGTCCCTTACACTCATCCAGTGAGATGTTGACTTTCACTCTGGTGCTTCAGGTGGCACAGTTTTCCCATTGGTTGGTTGATTAGTAGAGGGGTTTGAAGGTTTACCATTTTAACAACAGGTTTCTATGATGATAGATGGTACACCAAACCGGCCCAAAGCTATATTTACCAAAAGGACATTATTGGGCTCAAGTGCGAATCGTACTCTGATCACCATGTAAGATATGTATATTGAATATGTTGCTGTGACAAGAAAAAACCAGCTGTTAATTAAGATAGATACCCTCTGGTAAACTAACAGTTTTCTATGGAAAATCACAATCCACTATTTCTATCACCATTTTCAATAGCTTTTTGTATGTTTACCAGGCCGGGTAATGGAAAAGCCTCCTGCTACGATCATTTTCTGAAGGGAAACCAGAGGGGTGCTCAACAGGATATACTTCGGGGAGCAGTTGGGGTGACTTTCAGAGAACTATCCTCCTAACCCCTGGGTGTAACCCCTCAACTCTGGACATGGCCCAAAGTGACTTTCATGGATCTGGCTAATTTATAACGACCAAACCCTGTTCTCCCGAACCCTGGAAATCATGGTTAGTAAGGGAAATCACCCCCAAATGGCCCAACTATTCAGGTTGGTGAAATATTATAATTTACCCAGATGGATACAACTATGAGATTCTAAGCTTCATAAGTTGGGATTCTTCATGCCTACAAGTATGGTGAGCTATAAGCCAGCAGAATGATGGTTCCACTATACCTCCAATTAGTCACCTACGTCAACCTGGCTCACTCTGGCTCAAAGGACTGGCACATGAATATGGCTCTTGGTTTTCCATGGAAACATGGGAAAACTGAATGGAATGGGAATCTTGTGCCCAAGTTTTGTACATCGATGTGGGAACCAATGGTTCAAAATGGAGATTTTTGGGACCCTGAAATCCTACAGGTCTTGGGATATTTCAGGGAGGTATCACTGGGTGATGGTTGGCCAAACCCAGAAGCCGAGCCACGAAGAATGGGCTGAGTCCCTGCCCCTGTCTGCGAGTGTTTCGGCAGCTAGATTTGAACGTCTTTTCTGAGTCATCAAAAATACATGATTACTAGATATTACAAATTATTACAAGCTTCACGCTTGGTTTTCCACATGTCTTTGTGAATCATCAATTGTTCCTATGTTTTCCTACCAGGAATCCCCAGGATTTTCCGAATGTGTCCTATTTAAATCCAGCTTCCCCCAAGCTTGGGACCTTCTTCAATGAGTCCTGTAGAATCCTCCAGCCATGGATGTGGCGCTAAAACCGCTGGCTCCGTGGGTCGGGTGGACAAACCAAGAAGGACCGCAGCAAAACTCTGCAGTTCACCATTTTTTGGGTAACCCCAGAAGTACATTAATGGGGAATATGCATACTCATATTAATTATCTAATATATATATTATATCTTCATAGATATACAATACAGATATCTAATCATATATATACATATGTCTAATTGTATATATATACACATACATATACATATATATATATATCCATGTAGATATACTAAACGGGTAATCTACGATTGTATGAGATATAACGAGGTCAACCTGATTCGCTAAGCCGAAGTAAAGGGTTATTGAAAGCCTTCCTTCATTGCGTGAAGCATGTTTGATCAGGTGCCGGTGTTGTGATGATCATAGATTTTATTAAACCATATACATATTAATCAATATGCCATCAATGAACCATGTTTCTGATATGATTTTCCTTGATTACTTGTGTTTTGCGCCATTGAAACAGCGCTGACGACCTGTTCGGATCCAAAAATGTTGGTCACCTTTAGCCGGCAGTCATGAAGTTGATGCCAACGCTCATAGGCGGCCTCCTCCGCCACAGACTTCTTTGGGCTGCATGGCCAAGAGCCCTCCAATGAGCAGGGGCATCTTTTCAAGGCCTTCTTGAGTGATTTGGGGCTCTATGCACCTTCTACTATGGAATGGTGCCATCAGGGAGAGCACACTACTCGGGTACACCCTCGTGGGCAGCGACTTCGTAGAGACTACATTCTCTGCGATGAAGAGGCCTTTCAGTGCCAAGCGTCCTGGGTTGATACCGCACATGATTCAGGCTTTGCCCATGATCACTGGCCCATCAACAAAGAGGTTGCCTGTACCCATAGGATCCATGGTGCTGCCATGTATGGTAACATGGATCCCATCAATATACACCAGTCATGATAGCATATATACCAGCACCATGGATCCTATGGGGTAACCAAGGCTGTGAAACGAACATCCGCCATCAACCAGCAGGGATGTCTCGCGGCCGCTACGTTTGTTAAACCATGATCTTCAATATGAATATATCCTCTGGTAAACATAGAAAAAACGATGGAAAACCACTGAAATCACCATTTTTAATAGGTGAAACACCTCTAAATTGCCATTTTCAATAGCTTATGTTTGTTTACGAGAGACTAATATAACTAACCAATATCCCAATGTCAAGTGATGTCATTCATGTCATTGATGAATTCCCATGATATTCCCATTCAATCACCATTGCTCAACTGATGTTTGCCGTAGTTTTCCCTAGCTTTCCCCTCAGCTTGAGGACGACAAGTCGCGCTAATGTCGCGGTCAGCAGGCGGAAGCTGGATGGGGGTGAATCCGGAGCGTATCGAGATTGGAGCCCCGGAGTTGTGTTTGTTGGTTAATAAACACGATGAATACTAATATAATATAAATACAATAGTTATAAGTATCATTAAGTATCAATTAGCCATAGCTATAGGAGTTATGCAGCAACTTAGCTATCGTTTGGCCCCACGTTGTATGGATAGATATTCATGCAAGTGTACCAATTTTTGCACGGATGACAATAGGATAAACATCACAAGACCAAAAAACTTGGTATAACTAGCGCGGAGAGAAAATATTGAAAAGTAGAATCGTAGTAGAATCCTGTGAAACGACTAAATTTGTTGTTTCAAATATGTTCTATTTGTTCATCCGCATGAAATCTCATGAAATCACATAAGCTGATTGACGTTTGGGCTTATGGGGATATAACACATGAGATATTCTACATTGTTTTACATGTATATATAACCATAGAATTCATGTGATATCAGCGTAGTATTCATGTGATATCAACCATAGTATGTATACCATAGTGTTTTCAGGTGATGTATAAACCAACGGTCCAACATGGATCGTCGCCTCATCTTCTCTCCATGTCAGGCGCTCCAGGCGCTCCCGAGTTGCCGCCTCTGCCGGAAGTCTTGCTACGGCCGCGCTCCGAAGGAGGCTTGTGGGAGCCCCTTTTTGTGGGGAATTTCGGCATGAAAACCATGGTTACCCTCTGGTAACTAACAGTTTGCTATTGAAAATTGCCATCTTATAGATGATTTTACCCATTAAAAATGGTGATTTTCCATAGTTTTTTGTATGTTTACCAGAGAGCAAATCATCATTTTCTTAGTTTTTTCCCTTCATTTTCCTTCCCTTCATTTCCCTGGGGTGCGCATGGGATGTGAATGGGACAACTCGGGGATTGAGTTTGACCATGTTCGAACCATCCTGGGAGACTGGGATTGTTGAAGTGGTTGAAACGATCATAAACTGCTGGTGATTTCACATACAGAAATCATCCCTTGAAATGGGATGATGGTCCCCATGGACCAAGTACTCTATATATACCCTCTGGTTATTTAACATAGCCATGGAAAATCCCTTATGAATGGAGGTTTTAATGGGAAAATCATCTATAAATGGTCCATTTTCCATGGCTATGTTAAATAACCAGAGGGTATATATATATATGGTTGGTGGTTTCAAAGATGTTTTTGTTCCATACATTTGGAATAATAATCCCAAGTGACTAATATTTTTCAGAGGGGTTGAAACCACCAACTGATGATGGTCCCTAGAAATACCAAGTACTCTATATATACCCTCTGGTAAACTAACAGTTCGCTATGCAAAATCATCATGCTATTAATGGGTAAATCAACTATTTCAATGGCCATTTTCAATAGCTTTGTTTGTTTACCAACGGCTATGTTTTTTCCATAATATATGGGATAATCCTTCCCATTAACTGATATTTTTCAATATGGTTAAAACCACCAACCAGATGTATATATATATTCATCGGGGTGTGGTGGCTCAACCACTAAGCAGTTGGGATTAAAGTGACAAAAAAGGAGCCATGGAGCTGGACTTTCCAGATGATACCCCTCTGGTAATTTGCAACAGTTTGCTATTGAAAATGGCTGTTGAGTTCGTTGATTTAGCTATCAAGAATGATAATTTTCGATAGCAAACTGCTTGTTTGCCGGAGGGTAGTAAAATTAGAACCATCCAAACTTGGGATTTTTTCAGTGACACTGTCAGCATGGACTTCGAAAGGCTGCAATCCATGTCGATCATCCCATTCTGCTGATTGTGCTGATTGTGCTGGCTATAGTGAGTAGCTGGCTATCTCACAAAATTGTGTGAGACCCACTGGGTCTGTCTTGAAATGGAGATTTCACCGCCCCCCCCCCGTTTTTGCCCTATTTTGAGAGGGAAAAGTGGAGGATTCAGTGGATTCTTCGGTGTTTTTCTCATGTTTTTCCCAGGGGAAGATCCCCAGAGATTTTCAGGTCCGATCGCTGGTCCTGGAAACCGGGGCCTCAATGACTTTGCCAAGCTTAAGACAGGCGGGACCGGGCGGGTCGCTCCAGGGATAGTCATGCCATGGAAGATGATCATGGGATACAAACATATACAAACCATCAACATCCATCAACAATATGGGGATATGGGTATGGATCAATACCTATTAATACCATTTTTAGGGGAATGAACATCCATTCACCAGCTATTTTGATGTTCACCAGGGGTACAAGGTTTTGACACACTGCCATATATGGGAATATCATCGAAATACAACCAACGATATGGGAATATAATATAATATAATGGGGTATCAGATGATATCATACATCTGGGAATACTACTCTCAGGATATAATGGATATATGAATAGTATTCACATATGTCAAATATCTTGATAGTAATCCATTTTCATGGGAATTTATTTATATAATGTAGTGAACCCAATAGCAAGCCTACGGTTACCATTTGGGAATGGTTTATATAGCCCATTTATGGTGACTTGGGGAATAGTTTGTTATTGGATTTACCACATTCGTGGGTTACAATGGGAACACATATGGCGATTCGGAAAAGAACAGTGTACTTGAAGAGTTTTTCATGCGGTTTTTCGTGGGGTTTCATGGTCCATCGAACTTCTGAAGCCGAGGCTTAGCCATGAAAGCTCTGGTGAAGGGCAGGCGCTGGCAAAGTGCCCTGAAACTCTTCGAGGAGGCGATGCAGAGACGGTCGAGCCTATTTGAAATCTCCAGTTGTGTGGGAAATGTCCTAGATATCAATGGGAGATCTTCAGGATCCAACAGATGGAGGTACGTAAACGTACCATATTTCAGGTGGTGATATTCACTGAAACATAGGCCTAACAAATAGGCCTTATAAATGGTAGGTACCATCCCCAATAGAGGTTTACTGGTTTTCTGGACGATGCATTGCATGAAACCCAAATACATCCAAATATTTATGTATTACAGGGGTTGTAGAACAAATATTGTAATATGTAATACATCCAAATACATCCAAATACATCCCATTTATGTAATATGTAACATGTTACAGGGATTGTTTATTGTTGGGTTTACCACATGAATGGAGAAATATATAGAAATATAGGAAAGAACACATGGGATGGAACGGGCTTCTTGATTTTGGGACAACGCCAATTTAATAGGGAAACTTTGGTGATTGGAAAAAATAACACATACCCATAGGATCCATGTATGCCATATATGGTAACATTTACCATCAATATACACCAAATGATAGCATATATACCAGCACCATGGATCCTATGGGATAAATAAGACTTATTCTGTTGTCAGTTTTGTAAGGATATATACTCACCAGCCTTTCAATAAAATGGAGGGTAAGTATCTAAGACTGGCCATATATGTGGACATTTTAACGGAGAATGTGATGATGAATGGGATGGAATGGAGTCCCAAATTTGGGAAAACCATATATGCCTATCATCAGCAAAGATCGTAGTGTCCTTTTCCACACTTATTGATTGATCAAAAGAGAGTATCAATATATTTTAATAGAGCAGCACTGCAATAGGTGGAAAGTTTAAAACTTTGACAGTTATGATGTTTTTTTTGAGCTAATCCACAACATCTTGGAGAAGATGTTCCACCTTTCTGTTGGGTTCAAAAAATGAAAGCAAAAATGACGTGTGGCCTCCCAACGCTCCTAACCCTTCACTCTCCACTGGGCTGTTGGGTGGGGGGATAAGCCAACAAACATTGGGAAAATATACATAAAAAATGGTTAGATTGATTACATATAACCACAATATCACATAAATACGTTTACAGAAATAATAGTATGGCAACTATTGTGGTTATATGTGGTTAATCTAAATTAGCCAATATAACACCCAACAAGTTTTTATATAAAGTGGGCCGTCTCACCGAGTCTCACCTTCACAATCGTTTCAGAGGGTGTCCTTCTCAGTTATCCTCTAGTCATTTCAAGGTGAGCTATGGAAAATCACAATTTTCAATAGGTAAATTACCATGAATCATCTATATATGGACCATTTTACCCATAGTTATGTTAAATAACCAGTGATCAGAGGGTAATATCTTGTGATTTCAACTGAAGCACTTCATGAGTGATTTGCACACATCACGCCCAACATATTAACAGAAAAAATGTATGGAATCAGGTTGAACCACCCAAATATGTTCTTTACACGTGATTACCAATACCAAGCAACTTAATAAGTATTAGTAAATATTAAATAGTATTTATGTAGTATCCCAAGTAATTTTGATAGTGTGTATATATATACACATGTATGTCTTATTTATCCCAGATATAGTTCGAGTATCGGATTGTCCATTAATATTTATCATTATAGTCAATACTCCACAATATGTCACTACAATTGATTATATGATATACTATGCTAGTCCTGATTTTGTATATACCCCATTCATATGCATCAATATGTAGCATGGGCATTGGATTATGAGCGTTTTTTTTTCTAAATATCAATAATGTTAACATATATACCCTTTGGTTATTTAACATAGCCATGGAACATCATCACTTTTAATAGGTACATCATCTATAAATGGGTCATTTTCCATAGCTATGTTAAATAACCAGAGGGTATATATAATTTTAATAGTCATATCCTCCATGAATCATACTTAGCCTAGTTACAAAGGAGCTTAGCTATCTTTAAATGAGGCCTCACCTTGCAAAACATGATCCCCCATCTTGTCCCACAGCGAATCATTATAATTCAACTATAGTGATATGTGCGATGGTTATATCCCCATGAACTATAGTCCTATAGCCTATAGCCCTCAATATTGTTGGGTATCTCCATTTAATTCAATCCCAGTAAGTGCCACTATAATCCCATGATTATCCCATCATAAACCCAATGAAGATAGTTGGTTACACCCATTCTATCCTCATTATATCACTATGAAATTGATATTAACCATTTGTTCAACCCATTATAAACCCATTTATGAAACCATTTTTCAAACACCAAGGATAATTGATATCAACCATTATAAACCTATTATAAAACACCATGATTCAACACCATGAACAACAAATCAGTTTTTATAAAATCAGTTTATCAACCTATTTTAAACCTAAACACCATTAACCACCAGGATAATTGATATATTAACCATGAACAAAAATCACCAGTGTCATAGAATTGGATGATGGGAAAATTTACAGGAAAGCCTTATATTTGATGGTAAAAACCATGGTTTCCTGTAGATTTTCCCTTAAACCAATCCAATGACAGTGGTTTTTGTTTCCCCATTGGTCTTCCCCTGGCACACGCAGCACGTCGTGGAGGCTCCAGAGGTGGATGCTCGACTCTTTACGCTGGCCCTGGGAGCTTGTAGAGCGGCCAGTTGCTGGGAGCAGGTCGAGTCGGATGCCAAGGGGTTTGGTTAAGGGGATTGATGACCCATGACGGATCCATGGTGCTGGTATATATATGGGAGCCGTCCGTAAAAGCAGGTCACAAATTTATGAATTGATGCGTTTACTTTGCTTTGCGCGATTGCTAAAACCTGCATCGCGATAGGCTGAGCGATTGGTTGGCGATTGGTTATACGGCTACCTACCTACTACTTACTACTACTACTACTACTACTACTACTACTACTACTACTACTTTTACTACTAGTACTGCTAGTACTACTAGTACTACTACTACTACGACGACTACTACGACTACTACGACTACTACGACTACTACGACTACTACTACTACTACTTCTACTACTACTCTACTACTACTACTTTCGAGACCAGAACCATGCCAATAATTGACATGGCCGCGCGGATTCCGCGCAGATGTTTTCAGGTCAGAAGGACATTCAAGCTAGCTCCAATTGAAAACAGGTCAGAAACAGGTCAGAAACAGGTCAGAAACACCAAAAAGGCAGCACTTGCCTAGCATCATCCATCCATCCATCCATCCATCCATCCATCCATCCATCCACCTCAGCTCTTATCATTGCTACTTCTACTATTACTATTACTACTATTACTACTATTACTACTTCTACTACTCCTCCTCCTCCTACTGCTACTACTACTACTACTAGTAGCACTAGTACTAGTATTTGGGGCACTAGTAATGATATTACTTTGACGATCACTAAAATCGTTCCTAGTTTGACTGCCCGTGCTGATTTTTTTGAAGTTGAAGAAGACTCCGGGAAAGGTCAGAAACAGGTCAGAAACAGGTCAGAAACACCAAAAAGGCAGCACTTGCCTAGCATCCATCCATCCATCCATCCATCCATCCATCCATCCATCCATCCATCCACCTCAGCTCTTATCATTGCTACTTCTACTATTACTATTACTACTATTACTACTATTACTACTATTACTACTATTACTACTATTACTACTATTACTACTATTACTACTTCTACTACTACTACTACTACTACTACTACTACTACTGCTGCTACTACTACTACTACTACTCGTACTACTTTTACTACTAGTACTGCTAGTACTACTACTACTACTACTACTACTACTACGACTACTACTACTACGCTACTACTACTACTACGACTACTACTACTACTACTACTACTACTACTACTACTTTCGAGACCAGAACCATGCCAATAATTGACATGGCCGCGCGGATTTCCGCGCGCGCGGAATCCGCGCAGATGTTTTCAGGTCAGAAGGACATTCAAGCTAGCTCCAATTGAAAACAGGTCAGAAACAGGTCAGAAACAGGTCAGAAACACCAAAAAGGCAGCACTTGCCTAGCATCCCATCCATCCATCCATCCATCCATCCATCCACCTCAGCTCTTATCATTGCTACTACTACTACTACTACTACTACTACTACTCCTGCTACTACTACTACTGCTACTACTACTGCTACTACTGCTACTACTACTACTACTCCTACTACTACTCCTACTCCTACTCCTACTCCTACTTCTACTCCTACTCCTACTCCTACTCCAAACGCAACCTCTCTCTCTCTCTCCCTTGCCTATTCCCTCACCCTCCTACCAGAACTCCTACGCCTACTCCTATTCCAATTTCCACTACCACTACTGCTAGTGCTACTGCTACTGCTAGTGCACTGTGAGTTTTCCGGACCGTTTCCGGACCGCACAAGCTTATTTTGCTCCCAAATTTGAAATCGAATGCGTTCACGCATGGATCCTTACTCTCATTACTAGATTTGCTACTACCCCCAGCACTACCACCACACCCGCTGCTACTGCACCACCCTGCACCACCACTACCACCACTACCACTAGTACACCTAGGAATTTCTGCTCTTGCTTTTAAATCCAATTGCGCTCGTGTGAAGGGTCAGAAACGACTCAGAAACCAGTCAGAAACCAGTCAGAAACCCGTCAGAAACCGGCCAAACGCAATCTCTCTCTCTCTCTCTCTCCCTTGCCTATTCCCTCACCCTCCCATCAGAACTCCTACGCCTACTCCTATTGCAATTTCCACTACCACTACTGCTAGTGCTACTGCTACTGCTAGTCCTGCTGGTACTACTGTGAGTTTTCCGGACCGTTTCCGGACCGCGCAAGCTTATTTTGCTTCCAAATTTGAAATCGAATGCGTTCACGCATGGATCCTTACTCCCACTACTAGATTTGCTACTACTCTTAGTACTACCACCACACCCGCTGCTACTGCACCACCACTACCACTAGTACACCTAGGAATTTCTGCTCTTGCTTTTAAATCCAATTGACACGAGTTCCGCTGAAGGGTCAGAAACGAGTCAGAAACGAGTCAGAAACCAGTCAGAAACCCGTCAGAAACCGGTCAAACGCAACCATCTGTTTCCCCCTCCCTCCCTCTCTCTCTCTCTTTCTCTCTTTCCCTCCCTCTCCCTTTCTTCCCTTGCCCTGCTACTAGAACTCCTTCTCCTATTCCTACTCCTACTCCTACTCCTACTCTTACCCCTACTACTACTACTACTACTACTACTACTAGTACTACTAGTACTACTAGTACTACTAGTACTACTAGTACTACTAGTACTACTAGTACTACTAGTACTACTGCTGCTGGTACTACTGTGAGTTTTCCGGACCGTTTCCGGACCGCGCGAGCTTATTTTGTTCCCAAATTTGAAATCGAATGCGTTCACGCATGGATCCTCATTATATAATACATAACTTATATTTTATGTATATGATCTGATCAACGAAGAGCAAACCCTTCCGCGATTGCTCACTGTGGTACCGCGGTTGCTACGCGATTGGCTGAGCGATTGAGGGCTGTCCGGGAAAAGGTATTTTGGACAACCCCCATATGCTAACATGACTGGTGTATATTGATGGGATCCATGTTACCATATATGGCAGCACCATGGATCCTATGGGTGAGGAATATGTCACGCGAACATATATATATATATATACCATCTGGTTATTTAACATAGCCATGGAAAATCCCTTGTAAATGGAGGTTTTAATGGGAAAATCATCTATAAATGGGCCATTTCCCATGGCTATGTTAAATAACCAGAGGGTATATATATATATATATTCATAATTCCGAAAATATCCATTAATCGTGATTAAAATCATAGGATGAAGATGCGAAGTCATGGGATTTCATGGGATTTCTAATGGGATCCAATGGTATATCATGGGATGTGCAGATGGGGGATACGATGGGAATTAATAATGGGAAGTTTTAGGATTTTGTAGGAATACAATCGGATTGAATGATAGTTTACTTATTAGATACAATCAGATTTAATGTTACGAGGATATATCTGGGATTTGATGGAAATGTGATGGGATTTTCCATGGGGTTGAAGGGCGGGTCTAGTGAAGATGTAATCAACCAAGAATTTCTCAGATTGTCTAATTTATAGTTGAATTTCCACATCAAGTGGACGTTCATGATGATTTTCTCCACCATGTGCATATCATATGTCAGCTGGTGACCCTTAAGACCAGCGTGTGACTTCACCAGAGGCAATCTTTAAGTGATTGTGCTCAGTGGAGTGGGTGGGTACATTCTTCTCTAGAAGGGAGTTTGTCCCAAAATTTACTTTTATAGACCACAATGAGGATTTGACAGGGATACAATCGTAATATAATTGCATTAATGCAGGATGGGGCCCCAGTTCGTTAGCTAAGTTGGTGAACATAACTATATGTAATGACAAATTGGTGTATGATTATTTTTATTTATATTGAGATTGGGTTCTAAACCAACTTATAACGGTGGGGCACCATCCTGTGTGGATGTATGGGTATAACATCGCTATTTTAACAGGGGTCTATCAAACCATCATATCATAGCATCCATTTGGTCTTCAAGAAGGATAGTTGAGGATGAATAGACCAACAAAAAAATAGGAAATCGGGAATTTACCAACAATGAATCGGAAGATCACCAGCAAAAACAGAGATATACCCTCACTGGAAAATCATCAAATTGAATAGGTAAATAAACTAATATGTCCAATAGCTATGTATATACCAGAGTTACTACTAAAGTTTATTTAATACCAGAGTTTACCGCTAATTGGACATAGCAAATATATGTTTTTCAGTAGCTATGTCCAATTAGCGGTAAACCGATAAACTCTGGTGGATGGTTTGAAAAAAACACGTCCCAGGTGATTTGGTGTTTTTTTTTCGTAGTTGTACAGCAGGCACCAGACACGAAAGCCTCAACTTTGTTGGCTGAACGATATTTCTTCAATGGTTGTTGATGAAATCCATAGTCTGAATAAATCCCAAACATCATTGGGATGATTTAAAGGGAACATCTGCAGGAAAACACCTTGTTTTCCATGAAAAATGGGGTGGTTTCCGGCGGTTTCCGGTATTTGACGACCTCAACACGTCACTGCGTTGAAGCATAGGGTGGATCATCCCTAGATGATATCAGAGAAACCAGTGAACATTTCAGGTACCTAAACTGGAGGTTGTTTTTTCCATATTTTTGGCCATATGAATTGTGGTGATATTCCCTTAGCCCTGAAATTTATAGGCCTTCAGCTCCAATGAATCGGTGCCTGTCGGCCATTGATGGTTGAACTACTTTTAAATCAGCCAGTTTTTTTTGCATTATTTCCCTATTTTTGGGCTGGTTAAACCTCGATTTTCTTGGTGAAATGCCACACTTCTTGTTCTGGTGAAGTTACCAGCTAACCGGTGTCAGTTAACGCTCCGAGGCTGGACAATCCACCAGCCATAGTTCCAGAAAAATCATAGTTTCCAGAGAAACCCAATCATGTCCCATTGAATTAAAATTGAATATGTATGTTAATGTACGGTTAAATATTTCTGATTTTTTTGGATGATTGGGATTATTGATTTCCTACCCCATTGCCAGAGGAATTTCCAACAACGTCCCATTGAATTCCATTCCATGAACTTGCAATTCCCCTGGTTGAATCAGGTGAAATTCATTACTGCAAAAATCCCATTATATAATATCAATATCCCCATTATTGGTAAATGTTCCATCACCATCAAGCCTTAGAGCTAGCCATAGTTGTTATTTCTATGGGATTATACATAAACCATTTTATGGGGTGATTTCAGTACTTATATCATTGGATTGGTGGGACAATTTTAAGCGCAACCCCCCTTGATCTTAATGATAAAAAACATGCGATTTCCGGCTAAGAATTTCCCAGCAAAACAAATCCAATGATTATAGCTCGTCTTTTGGGCCATAATTATGGACAATACCCTCTGGTAAACATACAACAAAACTATGGAAAATCACCATGTTTAAGTTCGGCAAATCAACTATTTCTATGGCCATTTTCTGTGTCGCAAACTTTTTTAGTGTACCAGAGGGTATATCATTAAATTTCACCACATCCCATGAAACCCCATTAAACCACATTAAACTATCCCATTAATATATCTCATTAATATCCCATTTATCATGAACATGTATCCCATATTAATATCCCTATATCATGTTAAGTAAAAATTCCATTGAACCACATTAAACCCCATTAAACCCCACTAAACCCCATTAAACACCATTAAATGCCATTAAATCACATTAAACCTCTACCATTAACATATCCATTTTCATATCCCATGAAAATCCCAGAATGGCTTGATGTTCATCCCATCTCATCTATGAATAAGCATCTCATTAATATCCCATTGGTCATTTCGCCATCGTGTCATATCGTGCCATCCCGCCAGGCCCTGCAGTTGATGCGTGACATGCCTCGTTCGTCGCTTTGAAGCATGACCTAGGACACCGGTGCTGGGAGGAATCTCATGACTTAGGAAAACCTAGTAGGGAAAGCCTAGGAAAATGATGGGAAAACTGGGAAAAAACTAGGAAAACCTAGGAAAATGATGGGGAAAAACTAAGAAAATGATGATTTACCTGGTAAACATACAAAAACGATGGAAAATCACCATGCTATTAAATGGGTAAATCAACGAACTAAATGACAATTTTCAATAGCTATGTTAGTTTACCAGAGGGTATGGGAAATATTTGTGCGTTTATGGTAGATATAACGAACTAGTATTCATGGGCTTTATAAAACTTATAACTGGGGGGCACCATCCTGTAGGAACAGTGGATTTTTCATGGGATCTTATGGGAATTTAATGGGACATAGCCAATACTAGTGGAATATAAATGGATATAATTGATGTAATGTACCCTGTGGTAATCAAAAATCTCCGAACTCAATGGAGGTTTAGTTCGCTTGGAAAACCTTGGAAAAAGACGGCTGATTTTCCATCAAACCACGTTTGATTACCGGTAGGTAATCTGATTAAACCAGCAGAAACAGTATTTGTTCAAAGATAGAATAAATGATCTGGTTGGTGGGTTGGATCATTTTTCCATATATTGGGAATTTCATCATCCCAACTGACGAAGTCATATTTTTCAGAGGGGTCAGTATACCACCAACCGTGTCAAAAATTGGGGCACACCGTTCAGGTGCCCCATTTCCAGACATTTGCCCACTGAAAAATGTGGATGTGCGGTGTAGGTATCCTACATGCGATAAAAACTCTATCACATATGTGCATATGATGCAAGATAAGCTCTAGATAGATAGATGGATGGATGGATGGATAAATAGATAGATAGGCAGATAGATAGACAGATAGATAGATGGATAGATAAATAGGTTGATAGATAGGTAGATAGGTAGATAGACAGATGGATAATATTACATAATGTTATGTTATATTAATAGTATATTAGATTATGAATCCCCCTAAACGCTAGAAAAATAAAGATGCAACTAGGATTGTGATGGTTTGCTCTTCTATTTGTTTGGGGTTGCTCTATATGTCACCGATATATTATACAACCAGAGCACTTCATGATTTAAAAAAAACTATGATGCCTGTGTGCACCTTGATGTGTGTTTCACTAAGGCGAGTGATGCCGGATCTCATTGCTTGGAATGCTGCCATGACTGCTTGTGCCAAAGCTCGCCAGTGGGAGCAGGCAGGTTGGGAACATGAACGCCAGTGGTGAATTTGCTGCCGAAGTAGCCCATGAAAAATGGTGGTGTTTGGAAACTTGAAACGAATTCAAGCAAACGTCATGTTGAACAATGATCAGATCAGTTGAGTAGCTGTGTTCAAAATAGTAGACATTTACTAGTGGGCTAGCTCCACTTTATCAGAGACGCTGGTACTGAATGCTGGTGACACATGGGGACACATGGGGGAATTTGGCCTCCTATTCGTGGGATGAGGGCCAGTTTTGCGCAAGATTGGCCAGCAAGGGGGCCCGGCATGTTTCACTCTATCGGAATCGTTTGAAACCATCTTCTTAATCATATCAATGATATCCCACATGTTGATGGATGAAATCGACATAAATCATGAATCACTACATGAATTGGATAAAGGATAAATCATATCAATACATATCAAACATTGAATAAATATCATAAATATCATATTTCTAATTAAAGTATCTAATATGTGGATGGATAAATTGGATCAGCATCAGTCCCCGCAGGCCTTGTGGATCTTCGATCAAGGCATGCAGCCAGTGAGGCCGATTTTCATCCACCTCTCGGGGGTTTACCTTTGGGTAGCCAACGTGATGATGTATACCGGGGAAAACCTAGGAAAACTGGGGAAAACTGATGAAAATGATGGGAAAACTGGGGAAAACCTAGGAATTTGATGGGAAAATGATGGGAAAACTGAGGAAAATGATGGGAAAACTGAGGAAAACCTAGGAATTTGATGGGAAAATGATGGGAAAAGTGGGGAACACTTAGGAAAATGATGGGAAAAACTAAGAAAACAATGGGTACCCTGGGTTGAATCACCATGTTTAATGGGTAAATCAATGATTTCTATGGCTATTTTCAATAGCTATGTTAAATTACTAGAGGGTAAGATAGATATATGTAGAATAGGTATATAACAGGCATTATCATGATCTAATAAGCATATACCTATGTAAGCTGACATAATAGGCATAATAAGCCAACCTAATGATCTAGGAAGGTATACTTTTTAGCCAACATCGCCCTATACCAGGTATTTGAACATCTACTTATGAATATATGTAAATATATGTAAGATATTCATGAGATTTGATTTGATTTGATCAGAGAGAGAATATATATATATAGTTTACGTGTTTTATTTTGTGATCAATTTCCAATGATTCCAATGATGTTTCGCAGTTGACTACATCCAGCATGGCTGGATGTGTAGTCGGATCCTTTTGTAGGTAGCTAGGAAAAGGAAGGGAAAACTGCGGAACAACCTAGGAAAATGCTGGAAAAACTAGGAACGCCTAGGAAAATTATGGGAACAGACTAAGAAAATGATGATTTACCCTCTGGTAAACTAACAGTTTGCGATATGGAAAATCACAATTTTTAATGGGTAAATCAACTATAAATGGCAATTTTCAATAGCTATGTTAGTTTACCAGAGGGTATGATTCTAAAGTGACCTTCTTACCCTATTGATTTTAGTTGGTGGTTAATCTTTAATCTACACTTGATTTGCCGCCGTGCATTTTTGCTTGAAATTGAATTGTGTGTGTGGGTGTGTTGAATCAGATTAAATCCCCTTGACATAGAAATATCCAATTGGTTCTCGGTAGAATATCAACAGTTCTATCTTTATCTTCATTCTAAAAATGACATTTTCCTGGGTATCACAATTTTTAGTTCGTGTATGATTCCAGATGTTTTTTGGTTTTCTGGGGGGGTTCAATCTACCATTTACGGGTACATTTAGTGGGGATATAATAGTTGAAGTCATTTATCTCCAATGCTTCCTACTGCAAGGCCAGACCTGTTCAGCTTCAACACAGCCCTGCACTCCTTGCGCGGCAGCGATCGATGGCAGATGGCGCTGGAGATTTTTGGTGCCGAAGGGCAGCAAATTGAGAAGTGGTGTAAATTTGCATATTTAACTGCATGTGACGACAAAAATATAAACTAATGGACATACTCACTGGCCCAAAACAGGGGAGTCCTGCAAATTTGTTTTTGATTCACGTTGGGGAAAGGCGGCTGGTGGGGCCACATGTGAGTTTTTTTTTATCGGGGGGTACTTGAGGGACCACCGCAAGTTGCTGGATCGATGTGATCGATGTTTGCTTGCTTACACACACACAGTATTGACACAACCCCTAACAAGATAGAAAAGTTGGAAGCCCGGAAATCATGAAGAAAACATCGTCTATGCCATGTAAATGAGATACTTAAAATTCTTTTCGGGGCTTACCAGACGGTTTCAAGTTTCCATGCTACAAATCGAAAGTTGGATAGGCAAAAAAGTAACCCCAAGACGATTTTTCATTGGGGACATCTGACATCGGCCTCAGGTGCCCTGACCTCATTGCAGCCGGACACTGTGACCTTCAACACGCTGCTGCAGATGGTACCTGAGCCCACCCGTGCCCTACAGCTCCTGAGGGATATGCAGGTGGCATGGGGGATAGCGACGGACCAGTGACCGGGTGGGGCGGGGTTAAGCAAGTTTTTTAATGTGGGTTTCAGTGGGATTTTTGTATAGGATCAATGATATAAATTATGAAACCAACAATTAATTAATGATGTTTGGGATTTATAATATTAATGATCCCATATTACTGATGCTTAATATTAATTATTGGTGTTTTTTTTCTAACCATAGTTGTAAGGGCTATCTCCGAATTTATGGAGGTGAATGCGGCAAGATCTCGCAGCCGGCGCTCAATGCATGAAGATCAGACAATCTGAGGCCAGCAAAGACAGAGAACCAACCTGTGCAAATCCATGCTGACTACAGCTGGTATGCTAAACCAAGCATTTTTGCGCACGCTCTCGGACATGTTGATCCATGACGTCTCTGAGAAGGCGACCTTGTGAGGTGTACAAGATCTTCGCCTCACAGCTCAAAGTATCCATTTTTTGATAAACCCATGGAACTACCAAATTTGTCATTTTTGGGGGTCGAGTCAGAGTGGGATAAACCGTTGATGTTGGGGCAAATCAGTTTGGAATAACATCACTTGGAACTGCCAGAGAGATGGAGTGACATCTATAGCCCGGCCTCGGCCCAGCACAATTGCCATCAGTTGAAATCATAGATGTCGTTCTGCAATCATGGTTTTTGATGTCATTCTCATCCAAATGATCATGACTTGTACATCCTAATTTTGATTTTGGTAAACCCAGAACACGTGATAAATATTAGTTGATGTCTAGTTAGTTATCTCCACCGACTCTACGTGCCGTTTCCGTGCTGTTTCCGGCTCATGGCGGATGCAGGTCAAAATGCCACACCCCTAAAATCCGAAATTGATGATTGTATTTCACATCCAACTTTTAAAACTGCAACTTGTTGAAGAGTAATTTTCTAATATCTGGACATCCCACGTTTGAAAGGTTTTCTCTCGTTTGTTGCAGAACTTATATATGATTCCAGATGAATCTCATATTGACCATGACAAACCCAGAAAATTTGATGATATTTTTCCATGTGATTCCATATTAATCCCTGCAAAAAATGGAACAACTCTTGGGGCGCTCCGATTGTTGGCCCTGGTCTTTTCTTGACCTTCACGATATTCAGTCACCATAGTTTCAAATGCACTGACCCCACCACCAGAGTCCGGGGCTGTGTCATTATGGACCTCTGAGTTCATGCGAGAGTCGAGTCAGACATCGAACTGTATATTATTGGGGATGGTCATCACTCCATTCATAGGGGATTTATACAGTATATACCCTTTTTGTTTGGCCATTCCGGAACGGATGACCGTAAAGCACACACCATCTTTTAGCCAGGGCACATAAATGTTTTACCCTCTGATCAACATAACTATGGAAGATCACAATTATTTCATGGGTAAATCAACGATTTTTAATGGGCCATGTTCCATGTCGCAAACTGTTACCCTCTCTGGTAAACATAGAAAAAATGATGGAAAATCACCATGCTATCAATGGGGATATCAACTATTTCAATAGCCATGTTCCATAGCTATGTAACAAATTACCAGAGGGTAGATATCATTAAATCCCGTTAAATCCCATTAGATCCCATTAGATCCCATTAGATCCCATTAAATCCCACTAAATCCCATGAAATCCCACTAAATCCCATTAAATCCCATTAAATCCCACTAAATCCCATTAAATCCCATGAAATCCCACTAAATCCCATTAAATCCCATTAAATCCCACTAATTTCCCTTAAAAAAAAAAAATAAAAAAAAAAACAAAAAAAAAAAAAAAAAAACCCCCCACACAAACAACCCCCCCCTCCACCCCCCCCCCCCCCCCCCCCCCCCCCCCCCCCCCCCCACCCCCCCCTCCCCCTCCATCCCCTTCCCTCCCATTAAATCCCATTAAATCCCATTAAATCCCATTAAATCCCATTAAACCCCATTAAATCCCACTAAATCCCATTAAATCCCATGAAATCCCATTAAATCCCATTAAATCCCACTAAATCCCATTAAATCCCATTAAATCCCACTAAATCCCATTAAATCCCATTAAATCCCATCAAATCCCATCAAATCCCACTAAATCCCATTAAATCCCACTAAATCCCATTAAATCCCATTAAATCCCACTAAATCCCATTAAATCCCACTAAATCCCATGAAATCCCATTAAATCCCATTAAATCCCATTAAATCCCACTAAATCCCATGAAATCCCACTAAATCCCACTAAATCCCATTAAATCCCACTAAATCCAATGAAATCCCATTAAATCCCATTAAATCCCATTAAATCCCACTAAATCCCATGAAATCCCATTAAATCCCACTAAATCCCATTAAATCCCACTAAATCCCATGAAATCCTATTAAATCCCACTAAATCCCATTAAATCCCACTAAATCCCATGAAATCCCATTAAATAGCATTAAATCCCACTAAATCCCATGAAATCCCATTAAATCCCACTAAATCCCATGAAATCCCACTAAATCCCATGAAATCCCACTAAATCCCATTAAATCCCACTAAATCCCATGAAATCCCATTAAATCCCACTAAATCACATGAAATCCCATGAAATCCCACTAAATCCCATTAAATCCCATTAAATCCCATTAAATCCCATGAAATCCCACTAAATCCCATTAAATCCCACTAAATCCCATTAAATCCCATTAAATCCCATTAAATCCCATTAAATCCCATTAAATCCCACTAAATCCCATTAATCCCATTAAATCCCACTAAATCCCATTAAATCCCATTAAAGCCACTAAATCCCATTAAAATCCATTAAATCCCACTAAAATCCTTAAATCCAATACATCCCATTAAAATCCCATAAATTCCCTAAATCCCACTAAATCCCATTAAATCCCCTAAATCCCATTAAATCCCATTAATCCCCACTAAATATCCAGTGAAAGCCCATGACAACAACAATCCCATTAAATCCCATTAAATCCCATTAAATCCCACTAAATCCCATGAAATCCCATTAAATCCCACTAAATCCCATTAAATCCCACTAAATCCCATGAAATCCTATTAAATCCCACTAAATCCCATTAAATCCCACTAAATCCCATGAAATCCCATTAAATAGCATTAAATCCCACTAAATCCCATGAAATCCCATTAAATCCCACTAAATCCCATGAAATCCCACTAAATCCCATGAAATCCCACTAAATCCCATTAAATCCCACTAAATCCCATGAAATCCCATTAAATCCCACTAAATCACATGAAATCCCATGAAATCCCACTAAATCCCATTAAATCCCATTAAATCCCATTAAATCCCATGAAATCCCACTAAATCCCATTAAATCCCACTAAATCCCATTAAATCCCATTAAATCCCATTAAATCCCATTAAATCCCATTAAATCCCACTAAATCCCATTAACCAGAGGGATTGAATGTTTACCAGAGAGGCTATTGACCATAGCTCGTGCTCATCCACACCCAGCTCACGAGCCCAGGATGCCTCGGTGCCTCGCAACGATCGCAGCTATTCAGCCCTCATGGCCACACAGCCCTGGGAAGAAGCGCTGATGCTGCCGGGGAAACCCAGTGGCTTCATATAAATCCTATGGTTATTTAACATAGCCATGGAAAATCCCTCGTAAATGGAGGTTTTAAACGGAAAATCCACTACAACTGGTCATTTTCAATGGCTATGTTAAATTACCAGAGGGTAAATCCTATTATATTACCCTCTGGTAAATTAACATAGACCCTGAAAATCACCAATTTATAGTGGAAACTAATCTTCCAATTTCCAATCCCTGTCTGCCAGGGTCTATGTTAATTTACTGGAGATATAAATCCTATTTTACTATATCATATGATTCTAGGGATTTATAACCAATAAACAACAATAGGGATTTATTGGGATATAATTGATATACTGGTTGTTGGTTTGGAACATGACTTTTATTGTTCAATATTAGTGTTCAATATATTGGGAATAATACTCCCATTTGACTTTCATATTTTTCAGAGGGGTAGGTATACCACCAACCATAAATATGTTATTTAAGTATAAGCATAGGTGATATCACTTATCAACAATTAATTTCTGTGAGAAAGTATAACCTATATGTTTAGCCTGTCAACTTATACTTGTTGGTGGTTTCAAACATTTTTGATGTTCCGTAATATGGGATGTCATCCTTCCCATTGACGAACTCCATCATTTTCCAAGATGGTTATTGCACCACCAACCAGTTATGATATGTTATTGGGATTGATTGATTTTGGTGGGATATGTTGGATATTTATGGAATGTTGTGGTATTGTTTTTGTTTTCTTGGTGATCTTTATGGACCTGTATAGGATTTTTATGCGATACAGTGTGTATTTTTAGTTGTGTAGGAGTGTTATGTTTTTCTATAGATGTTATATGACATATGACCTATATTTTGCTAGGTATATCTGGATAAGATTGTGATTTAATCATATTTAATCATGAAAGATGGGGATTTCATGGGATATCTGGGTAAAATGGTGATTTACCCATTAAACGTGTGGATTGCACGGAATGTCAAATGGGAGTGGGGTAATTCAAAAACACGACCATTCACCAACCCGTTTTTTGGGATAACTCATCGGATTTTCTCAATGAATGGCAATATATGAACGATACAATGGCATTTTCCCGAAATGCGAACAAAATCCCTTCCCTCTAATCACAGCAAAACATCAGAAATCCTGCTGAAATGTGTTTTTTTTGTAATTGTTGGTATTTCTTGCAATGCAATGTGGGTAAAGCAACAATAAACCATCCCCCAGTCATCACCATGTTTATAGGTGGTATGTTTACCAGTCCCAGTCATGTGTGGTTATTGTTTTTCCCACATTAATGGATTTCTACATTACATTTTTTGCTAGGGGATCATCTCCATTGATAGTGGATAATAGTGGATAGTAGTGGAAAATCTACAGGAAACCATGGTTTTTACCACTAAGATTATGGGTTCTGAGGATGAGAGAAGGTTTCGTGGCCGCAGGGTTTCGGTTTCGTTCCCAGGTTTGATGAGTGCAAGGCAGAGGCACTGGGGCCGTGGGGCTGCCGTATATGGGGTTTCCATAGACGGGGGATCCCCAATAGCTGGTTGGTTTATAATTTGAAAAATCCTATTAAAATGGATGATTCCCAAATAGCTGGTTGGTTTCTTTCATGCAAAATCCGAAAATAACATGGATGAGACCTAGGGGTACCCCCATGACTTTGAAAACCTCCTAAACATGTTTCTCATCGTTTTTTGGAGGTGCATCCCAGGTAGGGAATTGTGGATTGTTTATGGGATCTCATGGGAATATAATGGGACATTGCAATGGGAAACCGGGTTTTTTAAATGCAGCGAGTGCGCCGGCACACTCGGCTCACTCGGCACACTTGACCTCTCCAAGAACCCGGGTTTTTAGACGTAGCAAGTGCGCCAGCACACTCGGCACACTCGGCACACTCGGCACACTCGGCACACTCGGCACACTTGACCTCGCCAAGAACCTGGGTTTTTAGATGCAGCAAGTGCGCCGGCACACTCGGCACACTCGGCACACTTGACCTCTCCAAGAACCCGGGCTTTTAGACGTAGCAAGTGCGCCAGCACACTCGGCACACTCGGCACACTCGGCACACTTGACCTCGCCAAGAACCTGGGTTTTTAGATGCAGCAAGTGCGCCGGCACACTCGGCACACTCGGCACACTCGGCACACTCGGCCAGGCGCGCCAAGCGCGCCAACACCCACGCTCGGCACGCTTGGCACGCTTGGAACGCTCAGAATGAATGAATGAATGAATGAATGAAATGAAATGAAGTGAAATAAGGAATGAATGAAATGAAAGGAAATGAACTTAAATGAAATCATGAATGAATGAAATGAAATAATGAATGAATGAAATGAATGAAATGAAATGAAATGAAATGAAACGAAATGAAATGAAATGAATGAAACGAAATGAAAGGAAATGCAACAAAACAAATGAAATGAAATGAATCGAAATGAAATGAAATGAAATGAAATGAATCGAAATGAAATGAAATGAAGCGAAATGAAATGAAACGAAATGAGTTGAAATGAAACGAAATGAAACGAAATGAAATGAAAGGAAATGAAACAAAACAAACTGAAAGGAAATGAATGAAATGAAATGAAAGGAAATGAAACGAAATGAAATGAATGTCATGAATGAAATTAAATGAAACGAAATGAAACGAAATGAAATGAATGTCATGAATGAAATTAAATGAAACGAAATGAAACGAAATGAATCGAAATGAAATGAAATGAATCGAAATGAAATGAAATGAAATGAAATGAAACAAAGCGAATGAAACGAAATGAATCGAAATGAAACGAAATGAAACGAAATGAAATGAAAGGAAATGCAACGAAATGAAATGAAAGGAAATGCAACGAAATGAAATGAAAGGAAATGAAACGAAATGAAATGAATGAAATGAATGAAATTAAATGAAACGAAATGAAACGACATGAAATGAAATGAAAGGAATGAATGCATGAATGAAAGAGCGAAACGAATCAATGAAAAAATCTGACACTCAAGACTATCCCTTTCCGTGGGTTTTTACATCATTGTCACAGACTATCCATGTGCCATTTGTTTGACTTGTTTGGATCCTAGCATTTGTGAGACGTCACCTCATGATAAGATAAACATCCAGACGATCCCTTGTGACATTGTTTGTGTTTTCTGCTAAGTGGCATTTAGAAAGAGGTCAGTTAAGGAAACGAGCCAAAAAGTGGCTTACCAGTGACACGCAAGTGACACGCAGGTGACACGCAGACAGCCAATCCTTAAATGACCTTTTCAGGGTCCATCTCAGTGACACGCAAGTAACACGCAGTGACACGCAGAAAGCATGTGATCAGCCAGGCAAAGAGGTCACTCAAAGATTTTGAAACGAGGTCACTTATGCATGATTGATCTTGTAAGTGACCGTTTGGCACTTTGGGTCTATATGGCTTCTATTAGAGGGCAGAAGTAACTGCCTGGATGTTGTGTCTTAGATGATTATTCCAACTATCTCTTCGTTGAACTTGGGCCATGTCGAGCGGCAAAGCCACCTCACAGGCTAGGGGGGTGGTTCGGTGCCGGAAGTTTGGTTCATGTTCCGGATGTTCCGCTTGGGATAGGTAGCAGGCCTTTGCACACAAAGAGAGCACAAGATTTCACAGGCAGTGGAGATGCTCTGGTGTGACCAGAATCCGAAGGCACAGAAGCATTCTATGCCTTCGGATTCCGGTCACACCAAAGCTGTGGGCTGCTCAGAAGCATCTTATTTGTTGATGAGTTTTCAAATATTCTCGTGTCTCATCAACGTGGTCCATCAGCATTTCATTTCATGATTAGTCCACAGGTATTCCACATTGGAAAGCCACAACCTTAGTACAAAACCATCGATGTTTCAACATTTGGAAGTCAAGTGGCTCACAAGAATTCATTAATATAATTTCATCATCCGAGGTATTTGCGGCTTCGGCGCGTTTCTGTCAGGCTTAAAGTTGCAGGGTGCCGTGTCCATGCAGCTCTGCAAGGCTTCCTGCCCCGGCTTCATTGTGACGCTTGGAAGACATGCTGACATGGGATCGAACGGAATTGAGGACATTGCAAGTACACCCACTGGATACCAGGAAGAGTAATCGGAGTGCTGAGTGCTTCACTGCTCATGTTTATATTTGTTTGACATTTATTCGAAACCAAACCTCATTGCCCTTCAATCCGTCAGTGAACCAACGGCTCATAGCCCAAGCTAACAGCTTAACAAAGCCACAGGGAGCAGGCCGTAGCTCTCATTGCGCGCAAGGGATAGTACCATTTGAAATGATAGTCAATTTATCTTTTCATGTAAGGTTCTTCATGTTCCTTCCGAGCCTTACTGTCTGCTGAGTCTATGGGCGCCAGCGTCTTCCGTGCTTGCCATGTCTTTAAGCGACGATCCAAGCTCATGCACACGAGCTTTCACTGTGCAGGGGCCAAGGATGGCCGAAGCAATGGTGAAAGGCTTGAAGCGGGTCGAATCTCGCCCAAGACCGCTTTTTGCACCGGGGTGGTATTTTTTGCACAAGGGCAAAAAGACAGGCTTCGATGAAGATTATGCTCAGGAGTTACAGAGCCTCTTGCCAGAGCATAGCTCAGGATTGATGTCCGAAGCTGCGGCAGAAGATGGCTGCAGTACAGGGGCCATTGTTGGCATGGTGTGTATTGGAAAGCAGTTGAGATACTCCGACCTTCCTAACCATCAGTGGGTGCAGGAAAGCCGACCCGTGGTGTACGAGATCACACAGTGCATGCAGTTCACCGCTGGGGTGTCACTGCCAGGTCAGCAAGGTGTTTGGCATGTTCGGGCGCCTGAGGTCCAGGACAGCCTTCGCAAGGCCATTGGCAAAGGTACGCTGCACACCTGGTCGGATCAGTTTCCAGCTTTGTCTGACACGCGGAAAAGATCGCCGACCCAGAAAGCAAAGACACGAGCTTCAAGACCTTGGCCAAAACCGTTGCCTAGAAAGCGACGCTCTGATGCCGGTACACATCAGTGCGCCCCGGACCTTGTGAGTTCCAGCAAGCGCCAGCGCCTCCATCTTGGAGATCCTGCGGTTGGCGCGAAGCGCCCGGCCAATCTTCCTGTGGATGCATCATCTTCGTCCTCGGCACCGACAAGACACGAAGAGCAAAGCTTGGTGCAGCGAATCTCAGCCGGTCGGACGCTGCCACGGCTGCTCGAACTCATGGACATGACATTCTTCAACATCAAATGTCCACAAAAGGCCGGGCGGGCTGTAATGCACGTTTTCAGACCAGTTCCATGCGAAACGTTTTCTTCTCAGATACTTTTAACATCGCTTTCCAGGTGGGTCCTTTGGAACCTCGAAGTGGATTGTTTGCGCAGGTGGCTGGTGACAGCGTGTTTATTTTGAATGTCTTTCGAAGGCGAGATCTTGATCTCGCAGATGTCATTCCTCTGTGCGCTTCTGAGCACAAAGGGAAAGCGGTACACAAGGCACGTGGAATCAGCAAGGAGTGTCATGTTGGAAATGGTGGGCGTTCAGAGATTGCCATGCTGGAATTTTCCTCTTCCATAACTTTTTTCTTGAATACCACAATAGTTCAAACATACGGCTTTAGAGGCGCAATTTTTATTATCAGCGACTTTTGTCCCAGCACCCTGAGGCAAGATTGGCTGAGTGTCGGACTGTCGCCAAGAGCGCTCTGTCTTCTATTTCTTTGAGCTTCCGCGCGTTGCAGGGCACACAACGCCGAGGCGCAAGCCTTCTTTTTGAGAAGAGAGACAACTCCCCGGACGAAGAGGCCAGTGTTTCCACGACGAGAGTACAAAGTTTCAGAGGGTGCTTGTTTTTTTGAATGTCAAGAGTTTGGACGTAGGACGATATGTTCTTACTCCGCCACTATCATTATCAGTTTGCAGCTGCCAAGGGTTGGCCGTTTTTGTTCCGTAGGTGTTGCAAGAGTCTTCTGCTCTGGCTTGCGACCTCGCCGAGCGCTGGCGTGAACCACCCGAAGGCAGTGTAGTGTACGCAGACTTGACCGTTCGCAAAGTGATGCCAGCTGCTTTGGAGAAACATCTTTCAGAGCAACCTTGTCATTTTCCTTCACAGATGTCAGATGAGCGACGGAGCATCTGGGTATGGGATCTGCCCTTTCCAATACAAATTGATGGGCGCAGATATCGGTGCCGCACCTGCGCGGCAAACGGGGCGTCCATGCGGTATTATGTCATCACAGTGTCAGACTTGCAAGCGGCATTCCCTGATCTTTTGACATGGCGGGATCGTCGCCACGGCACAGTTTTCTTCACCAAGAAATTTCTGCTTTATCTGGTGCAAGTTTTTTACAGAGGCCTCAATGTTAGAGCCACTAAAAGGGCCATCGTGGAGCAAATCGGGGCTTCTGCTTTGGCTCTCGGCTGCATGACTCGCCTGCGCACACTGTGCACAGCAATTCCTTCCAATGTCTCCTTGCGGAAGATCCTTCTCAACGCCCTAGAGGGTTACACATCTTCGGCAGTGAAACGGCTCCGACAACACATCAACTTGTACGCGGGCACATTGCTCAGACATGACGGAAACTACGACATCCCTGAGAGAGTAGTCGAATTTTCTGGTGGTGTTCGCCGGCGGCCTCACGGGTGCCTCGTTGCCTTTCTAGGCGTGGATGGCAGCTTGCTTGCTCCGCCAGAGCTATTGCGGAGCGAAGCTCTTCCAGACCTTCTTCCTGCCTTAGAAGACGTGGTGGATTCTTTGAAGGCAGACCGCCTTCAGGCTGGTATGGCTTTGCAGCAATCGTGCCCGATTGCGCACGCAACTGACTCCTACCAGAAGCAACGTTTGGCTTTGCAAGCTTTCTACCGGCAGAAGTTTCCAGAGCTACACACAGAGGTATTAGCAACAAGCCCAAAAGCCGATGCGGCTGGCGCCGCACGCGGCGCAGGTGATTGCTGCGTTCGCATCGTGGGCGACCCTGTCCATGCTTGCTTGGCACTTCAAAGGTGTGTTTCTGCGGCGTCCCCAGACGCGAGGAATTTGATCGCAGACCACAAGGCATTATGTTATCTTGACATTCTTCTCGCATTCTTTCCGGTATATGTTTTCACATTGTCTCTGTGTTTTTTCGCATTCTTTGACATATAACCTGCGACATTTTCTGTGACATCCTATTATTTGGCAGTCCTCTTGCTTTTTCTTGCTGCCACAGGCTTGCCTATTCAAGCTTTCTCTCCCTGCAGTGCCGCCTAGTCACAAGAAATCGGATAAGCCCATTGCAGCGCAGCCCCTGCCAGAAGACTTTCAGAACCTTCTGTTGCAACTCGTGCAAGGCAACAAGACGGAGAATCAGCGGCTGACGTCCCAAAATGCGGATGGGGTGGCAGCTCTGCGAGATTTCCTTGTGCAGACAGACGTGGCCACTGCGAGGACATGGATAGATGTGTTCGGCGCCAAGCCAACAGCTGGAGTCATCAGGCGGCTTTGCAAGTGTGTTGGAGCCAAGCTGCCGTCAGAACTTTGCGGATATACCACTGTGGCAGAGTTCAAGCCGCTCGTAATCCATTTATTTGTCGTTTAACCTTTTCAAGAACTTGCGACAAATTTTGTGATTCCCACTGTAGCTCAACATGTTCCAGGCGTGAGATCAGTGTCTTGGTGAAGTGGTACTCGGTTGGTCGCAAAGGGAGCCGGCGGAAGCGAGGCGTGCGAAAGGCAACTAACGATCCAGGCCAAGTTCATGGGACCCGCTCGGCCATGACCCAGAGTGTCTCGGACTATTTCGATCGCCTCCAGAAGCCATTGAAGGTGGAAGGGCTGTGGGCATGGAGAGACATAGCCGTTGCCATTCACCATGCCCAAATCAAATTACAGTCAGGGACTGTCTGCGTAGAAAGAGCTTGGCAGTCAGTGAAGGACATGCTGCCACCTTCTGGGAGGCACATGTCACGGCCATGGCTTGAGATGCTTCTCCGGATTGCATTCCTGCGACACAACTTTCGGCTCTACAAGTCTGGCTCCAATCCAGCCGTGTCGGAGGGGGACAGCTTGATCACAGAGAGCCTGCAGTTCTATGAGCAGTGCGAGCAAAGCATTGGTTTTCAAGGACTAGATGAGCTCTTTGCAGCGTTTGAAGAGAAGGTTGATGACGCCTACGATAATTAGTCGCCAAGGTGCTGCGCAGAGCATAGCTCAGCCGGTGCGCATGGCATAATTCAGGCACTAGTGCACTAGACGCATGTTATTCGGCTCAAGAAAAATCACGTTCCTTCATCATCAGCTATGAGTTGTCAGCCAGGTTGAGGTTCAGTTGTCCTCTAGGTTTGTTACACTATACCTGTCTCGCTCTATGATTAACTGTCAGGAGCTGCTCCTTTGATACACAATGACATTGAAATAATTCAATCCTTCAGAGCATTCCTTTTCTTCCGATCTTGCCTTTGCCCTAACACTGACAGAAAGTTGAAAAGCAGTTTGGTTCCAAGGGAGGTGGGGCAACAGTCGCTCGCGGCGACCGCTTCATGTGGCTGGTTCTTTTGGGTCGAACCATCAATGACAACAACAGCTCACGCCTTTTCTACGTTCAATTTCGCAAAGCCAGAGATGCGCGAAGGTTCGCGCAAGCGTTGGCGTTGGTGCTGATGCGGCATGTGTTGCGACCCTGGAAGGTGGCAGTGTATCGCGTGCAGCCGGACTGCTGGCCAGACGACTTTGGCTCTCCTATCGTCCAATGGTCGTGCCAATGAGTCTACCAACTCTTTCCTGGAAAAAAAAGGCTGTCGCATTCTTAACGGTAGACATGGCTTATTGAGTTTCAACAAGTCGAAGACTATCTACACCATGCCTTTGCTTGAGTGCTCGCGTGCGCCAGGTACATCGCTTCGGGATGCTGCAGAGGTGCGAAGATCTTCTGATTGCTCTTCTTTCATACTTTCAAGATATTTGTCTTCATGGTCGAAGCCACACTTTAAGATACTTGTCTTCACTGCGTTTCTGCCCAAGTAGAAATTCCGAGCAATCGACCCATGCGAACGCGTGCCAGAAAACAACGCGCCATGGCCCGCACGGCACGGCAAGTGGGTTGAGTGCCCGGGATCAGCAAACTCCCTGTAGTTGTCAACGCTCGTCGGTGCGCATATGGCGGCCACTACGGAGCCAGCCGCAATGCATTTTTTGCCGCCGACACTCGGCAAGGGGGCTTCGGCCGCGGATGGCTGCATGCCATGCAGCCATCCGCGGCCGGAGCCTGGACGAAAGAGGAGGTTGAACTCCCTCCAGGAGGTTGGGTGGTGGGGAGACCCCGAGCGGGGTATCTTAGCAGGGTCGCAAATCCTTGCGCTGGGACCTGAAGCGTTCCTGGAAGTACAGCTGCGCGTTCGTGAACTTCGAGCACGCCGCCGTCGTTCAAAGCAACAACGACGGGAGATGCCACCAGTTCCGCACTGCGTCGTACAGGACGGAACCCTGGTCCACGGAAATGCCTTGCCGTGTCTGCGGCTGCGACGACTCAGCCGGAGATACGACGAGAAGCTGATGTGAAACGGCACAAAACTCCTGGGGCTCCGTGAGGACAAAGGAGCGTCAGGAAGGCGTCAGCAACAAGTTCGTCCAGATGAGCGCAGATTCTGAAGCACCAGCGCTCATCTGGACGACCTTGTTTCTCACGCCAGAGAAACGGCCTTGGGGCGTACACAGACATGCGTCATCAAACTCTCTGGATTTGGCCACGCTCGTTTGTGCAAATATGGCGGACAATACGGCGCCAGGCCAGAGCATAGCTCAGGCATACGGTGTGACCTGGTGATGAGATGGAAGTGAGGTAGATACCGACGTGTGGGCTAACAGTCTCCGGAGTGAACTTGCATGAAGTGCGGAGGCAAATGCACTGCTTGCCGCCACCAGGCCAAATCAAGTCCAATGGCACCAGCAGCTTTAATGCCAGGCCAGACGCACTGGACACGGACAACATGCTGTCAGGATGCTTGATTCGGATGTTTGACACCTGCATTTTGCCATGGAAGCGGACCACTGGGATCCGGTAGCGTGGGCCCACACTGTCCAGACTGGCCATTGACCATGCCGAAGTGCAGCAAAGAGCGCCGCAGGGAAAAAAAAAACCTTGTGTCATCCACTTTTCACACAGTTGCGGACTAAACCAAGTGCAGGCAAGCTAACTTCAAAGAGTCGGACGCCCCAGCAGTCAGAAACTTCTTTTCAACAGACAGCGGTTAGTCAGAAGTGTCTGACAAGTATTGCCTCAACAAGGATGTTTAATAAGAATCAATTCTAGAAAAGAAGTCGCATCTTGAACTTGGCCGCTGCCCGCGAAACAGACCAGGTGCTGGGATATGGGTACCTACCGCATCAAGCGGTCACAGGATGGCTCAGACCTCAGATTCCAGACATGCTGGATTCGTGTCTTTCGACACTGTCTGGCACATTTTGGACACTGATCACTCCACAACCATTTTGGACATGATGGATTCTCCGCAGCACATTTTCTAACACTCCCTAATGTCAACCTAGCTCAGACGGAACATTGCTTCTGACAGTTTTTGCAGGAGTTTTTCCAGAAGGTTTAAAGATAACACAAAATACACTTTCGCTGCTGAACTGATCAGAAAAGTTGATACCTATCACAGAAGGGATTCCAAAGAACATCCCGCAGGTCCGGGACAGAAGAGGCCATGGACGCTACTGCGCAAACGATCGTTGGCTTCCATCATCATCTACGATATACAGTTCAGAGGGAAATTGAAAGGGCCATAAATTCAGACACCTCGATCGTAATTGTTACACGGGGAAGAGATTTGATCAAGACTCGTTGGATCCTCAGGGCCGCAAGCACTTCGTCATCGATGTAGCGCATTTGTACGACCCGGCACGGGATCCCGCGATGGCAATGCACGTGGGTTGGGTGCCCGGGATCAGCCAGTCCCTCATCAAACTCTCTGGATTTCTCAACGCCCTCAAAAGCATCAAGGACGCCGTTGACGCCTGCGACTGTCCTCGCGGGATTCTGGTGGAAGTGCGGTGTAAATCTGGCAGACACCGAAGCGTGTGCGTCGGCTTCTGCTCATACCATCAAATGCTTCGATATGGGCATTCAGCTCTGTTGATCCACTACCAATCTCCCGAGTGGGCTCGCATGAAATGCGGAGCAACATGCAGCGCTTGCCGCAACTATGACAAATGTTTGCAAGAAATCGGAAGCATTTTGCCGCAAGGTCAGAGCATAGCTCAGACCCACGGTGTGCAGAGCATAGCTCAGACACCGTATATAGAGAGATCTAAGTCGAGGAGACGTTCTAGCTCGAAATCAACAAGACGCTCCCGCAGTCCTTTGCCCCGTCGCCCACGGAATTTGCCACCGCCTCCACGGCGACGACGCCGCAGCTCCAGATCTGAATCTTTCTCAAGGAAACGAGATACAAGCAGCCCTGTGAGGACAGCTGTCAGAAACACTTGGCCGCCCGTGAAGGCACCTCCAGTGCGACCTCCCCCAAGGGCAGAGAGTCCAGGCACCGGCGCAAACAAATCTTCAAGCTCGAAAGTAACTTTGCTATCGCCTCCACTTCATCGTCATCAACGCGGACAGCCAGCAGACCACGTGGAGCTCGACGCTTTGCTTCGAGATGATTTGGCGCAGGGAGTGCCGTTCCATGGCACGACTGCCAGGCCAGACTTACTGGACAAAGAAACTTTGAGTGCAGTGATCAAGCTGTGCTCCCGGGACGGACCCCGTGCCAGAACTTTCTGGATTACAGACCCTTTGCTTGATCAGAGGGATGGTGTCAGGATGTTTTGCTTGCTCAGAGGCCGTGCGAACATGATCAAGACACCTAACATTTGCAAGTCATGGAAACGCACCACTTGGATGCGGAAGCATCCGGAGAATTGGCGTTTGCTGGAGGAGAGAGCTTCGGCAGAGACAGATCCGCAGTGTTCCCTCCGAAGCATGGATCTGGTATCATTCCTCCAACCTCCGTGACATGCAAAGTTTTTGGACCCAATACCTCCACGGAAAACGTCAGAGCATAGCTCAGACACACCGCCACGGAAAACGTCAGAGCATAGCTCAGACATAAATCAAAAGCGAGGACCGCTGTCAAAAGAAACGACGAATGGGAAAAAGTCGTGCGCCAAATTGTTAGCAGCGCATTCTTCATTTTGTGCTGTCTAAGCTTACTACAAGTGACACCCGAAGAATCCAATTGCTGGTGACCACCAATGTTCACAATGAAAATTGATTGCATCAAAGGATAACATTCCATTTACATTGCAGTCAGAAATGGTCTACCAAAAAAATTTCGGCGTTGCCCGACCGCCGCCGAGGTTCTTTCTTGTGAACTTGGCCTTCAAGAGGCGTCACTGTGAATGATGCACTCTGACTTTGAATCTTGCACTCACATGTTGACTGCCAAAACGTCATGAATGATGATTTTGTGCTTGCGATGATGATGATCATGAATGTGCTGCTAATGAATGTGATGAGGGTGATGAGGAAGTCATGATGTGGTTGACTGATGAGGATGAGGGTGATGATGAGGTGATGATGTGGTTGACATAATGGTGAGCATGCTGCCCAGGACACTTCTTAACTTCCTTTTGCCAAATGCAAGTATGCAAGACATATCCACATTGATGCCACTTGCTGAGGTCCACTCAAATTCTTTTCGTTATTTCAGTTCCATTCGCTAAAACATTTGCATGAACAAACTTTTCTCCACAAAACTCTTGCTGGTCCACATTTGCCAGGAAAACGAAGAGATGGTATGCCAGACGCTGACCGTTCTCTGTTCCTAGACAGGATGCAGAAAGCAAGCGCAGTTTTCATCGGTTGCTGTTCTACCTTTTATCGAAGGAAGTTCAGAAGTCAAACTTCCGACAATCTGGACAGATGAAAAGCAGAGTAGGGCAGAGGCAGAGAGAAGAGAAAGATTAGAAGAGAAAGAGTCAGAAGAAAGAAGATGCAGCTGCGCGAAAAGGTAGGAAAGTTGCGAAACACTGTGTTTTTCCAATGATTTCTGGCTCTGGAGAGTCGAAAAGTAGGCTCGCTAAAGCGGCGGGTGCGGAGCCAGCTGGCCAGATGAGAGATGAAAAGTTGCACGCTGTTGTGGCGCGAAGCACATTTCCAAGTCAAAATGTACAAAACACACCAGGTCCGGACCACTTTTGGAAGTCGAGATGTCGAAAAAGTGCATGCCGTTGTGGCGCGAAGTACAATTCGAAGTCATAAGTGTCAAAAAACGGCGGTCTCGGACCACTTTTGGAAGTTGAGATGTCAAAAAAGTGCATGCGGTTGTGGCGCGAAGCACATTTCCAAGTCAAAATGTACAAAACACACCAGGTCCGGACCACTTTTGGCGGTTCCGATGTTGCTTCGCTTCACTACACTACACTACTAGGTTGTCATTTCGGATATTTTTTATTTTTTTGCATTTTGTGCCTTCCTGCCGTTTCTCGCCTGCTTCTCAAGTGACACCTCCTTGTCATCGTCCTGCTCCACCCTTAGCCGCGGCCTCAAAACCCTTCAGCCAGTGTTTTTAAAGTAATTAGGTACCCAAAGGTTCATAGCATGTCTTGAAGGGTCCCAGCTGTCCCATCATTTCAGCTGTCCCATCATTCAAGCCATTATGGCTATGAGGCCCGAACTTGCCTTCTTCGCATCATCTTTCTCATTGACCTCGGAGAGGCGAGCCTCTGTGGGAGGGATGCGTGGCAAGATGACTTGGGGTTGGATTGGCATGGGTGACTTAGCAAGCATGGCTGACAAGCTTTTTCCTCGAGCATCAACTCCAATCATTTCATTTTGTAAGATCTAGCTGTTCAAGCTGTTCCAGCTGTCCTCGCTGCTTGCTGCATGGACGTCGCTGAAGCACTTGCTGAAGCACTGGAACTGATGGAACAAGCAGATGCCCCTCAAGGTCCAGCGGATGGTGCTCCTATCATTGAGCCTGAGTCTGAAGAAGGGGAGGGGCAGGAGGCTGAGCCTGAGCCAGTGGTCCCAGCTGTCCCAGCTGTCCCAGCTGTCCCAGACAATGCAGCTGATCCAGCTGTCCCAGCTGACCTGGTGCCAGCTACTGCAGTTACTGAGCAGCAGCGCACGATGAGGATTCAGATAGCTCAAGCTGTGAGGGCGTCGCTCAGTGGCAGATTTGGGCTTCGCATGGAGGGCCTGATTCTAGCCCAAGATGAAATACAGAGGCATGCAGTGGCTGTCCAGCACGCGCCCCAGATATTTTCAGACACGTACAACACGCAGCAAGATTTTTCGTGGGCCATGTTTGGGTTCAACACGCTGGCCAGGTCCTTCTATGAGGGCGGCATCAAGACCGTGGACTCCCAGATGAAGATTTGCTTCAGTGTCTTGGCTGAGTTGTGTATTCATTCAACTTTTCCGATTTTTATTTTGTGCTGGGTCCTGGGTTTGGGCCATGCCATGGCAGCCATGCTCAAGACGATGGTCCCAGTGAAGCATGCATGGAGCACTCACATGAACTCATTTAATCATGATGAAGTTCCAGCTCTGCAGGCCAGTTTTTGGACCCTTCAGAATCTGGCATTGTGGAGCAAGCCCGGGACTTGCTTGCGAAGCTGCCTGCGCGCCATGCTATCCCAAATCGCTTTGTGGTTGCAACTCGGCTGTGCTGAGATAGCAGTAGGTAGTCTTAGAAGAAGAAGTAGTAGGAGTAGTTGCCTGTTGGATGCTGCAATGAGGTGGGTGTTTCTGACATTTGACAAGTTGAGACATATCACTGGTTACCATGTTTAATTTTTGATAATTTTTGATCACGTGGTCCATCTTCCACAGCCTTGCTGAGTTGTCTGCGATTGTGCGCGAGCTGCTTGAGCAGTTTACGGACGTCACCGTGCAAACTGAAGGATCCCTTTGCAATGTGATTCTCTTCCCCTACCAGATGAACGGTGCTGCCAGGGGCTACACGCTGCTCGAACCGGCTCAGGACCAAACCAGAAAAATGGGTTGGAACATGTTGAAGGTTTTCCATGTTTGGAGTAGTTGGAAATGTGTTTTCAGTCATGTCTGGTCCCTGCAGTCCGTGGTGTGGGCTGGCTGGGCTTTGCCAACGGGGCGCGATGGTGCGATCATGCCCTTGGCTTTGTATGCCCAGGATGTGTTGAAAATGGCAGCATCGTTTCTGGAACTTGCTGGGTTGGGGCAGCCCCGAGCTGCCGTTCGCAGGTTGGATGCCATTGCAGGTGTAAGACCTGTCCAGTCATTGGAGGAGCGGAACAGATCGATCCTGGAGGCAAGCTTCTTTCCAGGTGCCTTTGAAGAGAAGCGAGAAGCTCATGCTGCTTCGGGCACACGGTATGCCATCACCACCAACCAGTTCTTGCGCAACGTTGACTTCGCATTGGTGGAGAAGCTGGATGTAGGCTTCGGACAGTTTCTGGATTTCGCAGAAGAACCTGGCCCATCTGCACAATCCTTTTGGGTCAGCGCAGAGGGGTTTTTCTACGTCTTGTCCTTCAAGCCGGTGGCAGTCTCGCAGAAATCATTTGTCACGCCAATCTGGATGCTGCAGGCAACTTGGGCTGGTTTTTTGAATAATGTGTCAGATGATGTGGCGCAGGCGAGGCAGGCTTTGAGGTGATTTTTTTCATATTTTTTCAGGGCCAAGGCATGGCATCTTTTGAAGATCAGTTCCCTTTTTACTACTAAGCTTTGTATAATTACGTTTATACATCAAATAAATATAACACATGCACAATAAAGACTATATACTGCACATACATTTTATACAGTATATCATACTTAATACATACCAGTATTATATATATATATATTATTTACACATATACACATACATATATATAAGCACATATGTATACATACACATAGATACTATATATATATACATACACATGTATATACACACACACATATATATATACACATGTATACATATATATATACATATACATATATTCATATATCCATACATACATATATATATATATATAGGTATATACATATATACACATATATATATAGGTACATATATACATATTTTTATTTATTTAGACATGTGTGCATATATATATATACATATACATATACATGTATTTATATATGTTTATATGTTTTACATGTATACATATATATATATACATATACATAGACATATATACATATATATATATACATATATACACATATCTATATATATACATCTATATACATATTAAAATTATACATACATATATATATATTAAATATATGCATATTGAAATGTATATATATATATAGATATGTATATATGCGTATATAGACATGTTAGAGCAGGCAAGTCGTTGACTGCAGGCAGAATGCTTCAAGGGCGACTTCGACGATTAGAGTTGGATCTACCGCGCTGGATCCCGGGCTGATGTGAGCATTCTCTTCAACGGGGTGGGCCCGGATGATTTCACACTCGTGTGGGATGGAATGACAGTCGCTTCTGGGCTTCAAATTGGGGCTTTGATGCGCTCACTAAAAGGTTTGGGGTGAGCGCATCCTTTTTTTATTTGTTTGGTCTGTTTGGGTTTAGGTTTGGTGCATTTCCATGATGACTTTCATGTCTTCCGGGTATATGTTGAACGTGGGGCTTGGTGCTAGTGTTGGCCGCCAGAGTCAGTTTCACAATGGCTCCACATCACTGCTCAGGAGCGAGCCATTGTGGCCAAAAAGACGAGCTCTTCAGTTGTGCTGGCAATGCGCTTGGTGCGGCAGGCAGATGCCCAAGGTCGGCCATGGGATGTCACTGTGGCAAGATGCAGCCAGGTGCCCGATTCATTGAGGCGCAGCATCTACCAGCCCAACGTGCAAGCCGACAAGTACTGCAGGCAGACATACAAAAACACTGGCAACTTGGAGTTGGCCAAGTTCGCACACCAGACGCGCCAAGTTTTTGAAGCCGTCCCGCAGAACGTGCCCAAGAGGAAGGGTGGTGGCAAAAGCAGTGGTGGTTGGCGTGATGATCCTTGGGCCGAGGAAGGCGGCCCACAGTCTTGGGGTGCGTACAATGCTGGGCCAGGCACTTACAATGCTGGGCCAGGCACTTATGGATGGGGGATGCCCCATCCTCACCCGGCAGCTGGCTTCCCACCGCCGCCTCCATTCCAGCCATCCCAGCCATCCCAGCCGTCCCAGCCTCAGCCATCTGGGTCATCGCAGGGAGCCTGGTGGCAGTGAGGTGGCAGAGTGTGCTTGCCTGTGGCACGAATGCTGGTGCCATTTTGATTCCTAGGAGTCCAGCTGTCCCAGCAACCCAGCTGTTCTAGCAGCTGCAGTTTTTGCCATAGGCATCTTCCACTGCGGAAAGGATTGCAGTCCTGCGCAGCGAAAAAAATGTGGGTGTGAGGGCACACTGTGTTGAGACGATTTAGTGGCTTTCAAGTTCATTGCCAGAGTCATGCGGTGCCATTGAATCATTGCAGATAGATGCCCAATCAGTGATACACCATCCGTGCCAGGCGTGCTTGTGTGACTGACTTCTGTCCTGGAGGCATGGGTGGAGTTTGGCTCTTGAGACCAATGATGTTGACAAGAAATGAATGTTGACATGTTGGTCCTTCGTTCATTACCAACTTGGTTCAACTCATGTGGGCATGCAATCATTCATCATCAATGATGTTCCTGTATGGCCAAAGCTGTTGTCCAGGTGCTCCTGGTCTGGCGTATCTTTTCTGTGCTTCGACTGCAGCTGCCAGGCTTGGGTGGGCTGTTGGGTGGTTTTTTGCAAGATATTCGCTAGTCTGGACTTTGCGATGAGATGATAAATTTCGCAAAGGTACTTTGAGTTTGGCGCTGTACTTCGAAATTGTGATTACCATGTTTAGCCATTGTCCCGATGCAGGTGTTGCTCCAGCTCCGTCCGCTACCAGCAGAGTGGTCAGGCGCATGTGTGCCAGAGGTGTTTAGTCTTGCCACTACCTACTGGTTTAATTTAGCCTTGACAGTTTACATGATGGCTTTGCAGACTGACTTCATTATTTGGAGCCGTTGAAGATTGGCTGTGTGCCGCAATTGCCAGGCCAGTGCGTTTGCTGCAGTCCTTTCTGTGCTCCATACCGAACAATTTCTCAGGCTTCGGGTTGGTTATGATGTGGCAAGATGTGTCATACCCTGCCATCATGCATGCAGCTTGGGGTTGGCCTGTTGAAGGAAAGTGCTGAGTTTTGATTTTTCATGATTGCTGCATGGCCAGGTTCTTGCTGACCAAGCCGTCCAAGCCGTCCAAGCCGTTTCAGCTCCAAGCGATTGCAGAGGCCTGCTCAGAGTGGACAGGGAGGTGCAGGCTTTGAAAGTTGTTTTGGGCTTTTGCTTTTAGCAGCAAAGCCAAAGCTGTATGGGCCATGTTTGCTTCCATGCAATAAGCAAGGATTTGTTTCTACAAGCCTTCAATCTGACTCTGATCATTGTCCCTCATGTCATCTAGTCCATCGTTTGCTTTTACAAACATTTCAACGGAAGCAGCTCGATTCTGTCATGTGCCCAATGGTTGTTCGAAGTGGCCCTGGAAGGTTCACAGCGACCTTGGGAGTTGCCTTCGAATTCAAGGTGCTCATGGGATCCCTCGGTTTTGGGAAGACCTGACCGGTGTTGGCCGATGGACTTTTGACAGTGTGAGACACGGGTGTGGGAGTTGCATTGACCATGGTTCAAGCGCCGGCAAATGGGCTGGAGCACATGGCAACCATGTAACAAGGCTATCTTATTAATTATACAAGTAAAAGCATGGAATGACCACAGTTTGTTTGAAAAGACTGCAGTTGGACAGCGAAATATTTCATGTTGTTGTAGGATTGCATGCCGAGCTTGGCGTCGCGATGGGGTCTGAAAACACCTACTAGTTTGAAACCACCTGTGAAGCGTAAGCAGTGTGCAAAGCCTGGACAGCGTGTGGAAGCCCGTTCTAACCAGCTTGCCAACCGTTGGGGGTTGCCACAGCCGTCCCAGCCGTCCCAGCCGCCAGCTTCATCCAGCAGCAGGCCCAAGCCGTCCCAGCCACGCAAACGTCAGTGTCAGGCAGCCTTGGAGGTGGGAGACTTGGAGGCGACAGTTGGGTTGGCCGACGAGTCAGAGGCTCACCATGTGGCAAGACATTCTCAGCCGAGTGCCAAGCGTCGTTGTGCGCGCTGCAGGTTGCTGTGTTGATTTTTGCGTTTAATTTCTTTTCTTTTCATGTGAGACCCCGAGTTTTCATGTGGGGCTTTGAGTGAAGAGGAGATTTTCCCATATTTGGGTGGGTTGGTTTGTGTGGTTTCTTCATAGTTTCATTTGATTATTTACCAGTAGTACCGCACAAGGCGGTGGCGGAAGTTTCAAAAATAGGAAACCTATAGGAGAGATTGGTTGTTGTGAATCAGGGATGGCAGAGCGAAGCCACTGATGGACTGAAAGGCGATTGATCTCTCTCACTCTTGTCGACCTGTCTATCTATCTATCTATCTGTCTGTCTGTCTGTCTATCTGTCTATCTGTCTACCTGTCTATCTGTCTAACTTTCTATCTTTGGTGCAGTGTCATTCAGTGTAATGTAGTGCAGTGTAATGTAGTGTAATGTAGTGTAGTGTAGCGAAGTGTAGTGGAATGTAGCATAGTGTAGTGTAATGTAGTGTAGTGGAGTGTAGTGGAGTGTATTCGTGTAGTCGTAGGTGTAGTTTCTAGTGTAGTGGAGTGTGGTGTAGTGTAATGTAGTGTAGTGTGATGTAGTGTAGTGTAACATAGTGAAGTGTAGTGTAATTTACTGTAGCGGAGTGTAGTGTAATGTAGTGTAGTGTAGTGGAATTTAATGTAGTGGAGTGTAGCGGAGTGTAGTTGTAGTTGTAGGTGTAGTGTAGTGGAGTGTAGTGTAGAGTAATGTCGTGAAGTCTAGTGGAAGGTAGTGTAGTCTAGTGTAATGTAGTGTAGTGGAGTCTAGTGTAGTGTAATGTAGCGTAGTGTAATGTAATTTAGTGTAGTGGAGTGTAGCTGCCTATCTGTCTATCTATCTGTCTACCTGTCTATCTGTGGTGCAGCGTCATTCAGTGTAATGTAGTGTAGTGTAATGTAGTGTAGTGTAACGTAGTGAAGTGTAGTGTAATTTACTGTAGCGGAGTGTAGTGTAGTGTAATGTAGTGTGGTGGAATGTAGTTGTGCAGTTGTAGTTGTAGTGGGGTGTAGTGTAGTGTAATGTAGTGGAAGGTAGTGTAGTTGTAGTTGTAGTGTAGTGTAATGTAGTGAACTGTAGTGGAAGGTACTGTAGTGTAGTGTAATGTAGTGTAGTGTAGTGGAGTGTAGTGTAGTGTAATGTAGTGTAGTGTAATTTAGTGTAGTGGAGTGTAGTGGAGTGTAGTTGTGTAGTTGTAGTTGTAGTGTTGTGGAGTGTAGTGTAGTGTAATGTAGCGTAGTGTAGTGTAATTTAGTGTAGTGGAGTGTAGTGGAGTGTAGTTGTGTAATGGAATGTAGTGTAGTGTAATGTAGTGTAGTGTAATGTAGTGTAGTCAAGGGAAGCGAAGGGAAGCACATCTGAACCTCCGAAAGTGGTCCGAAACCCTAGTGTTTTTAACATTTTGACTTGCAAATGTGCTTCGCGCCACAACAGCGTGCACTTTTTCGACATCTGAACGTCAAAAAGTGGTCCGAGACCCTCAGTTTTTAACACTTTTGACTTCGAAATGTGCTTCGCACCACAGCGGCGTGCACTTTTTCCACTTCTCAACTTCCAAAAGTGGTCCGGAGCTGGTGTGTTTTGTGCATTTTGACTTGCAAATGTGCTTCGCGCCACAACAGCGTGCACTTTTTCGACATCTGAACGTCAAAAAGTGGTCCGAGACCCTCAGTTTTTAACACTTTTGACTTCGAAATGTGCTTCGCACCACAGCGGCGTGCACTTTTTCCACTTCTCAACTTCCAAAAGTGGTCCGGAGCTGGTGTGTTTTGTGCATTTTGACTTGCAAATGTGCTTCGCGCCACAACGGCGTGCACTTTTTCGACATCTCAACTTCCAAAAGTGGTCCGACATTGGTGTGTTTTGTACATTTTGACTTCGAAATGTGCTTCGCGCCACAACGGCGTGCACTTTTTCATCTCTCATCTGGCCAGCTGGCTCCGCACCCGCCGCTTTAGCAAGCCTACTTTTCGACCCTCCGGGGCCACACATCATTGGAAAAACACAGTGAATCGCGACTTTCCTACCTTTTCGCGCATCTGCATCTTCTTTCTTCTTACTCTTTCTTCTGATCTTCTTTCTTCTGATCTTTTCTCTTCTGACTCTTCTCACCTCTGCTTTTCAACTGTCCATATTGTCGGAAGTTTGACTTCTAAACTTCCTTCGATTATAATATTCCTGACAGCATGTTTTAACCACCTTCCACGTAATGTGCTGCGACAGTGTGGCTGAAGCTTTTTGTCGCCCTATTGTGTTGTTCATTTAGAAGATACCGTTGAGGGGGCAGAAGTCAAACGATTTTTCTTCAGTGAGGGGGCCGGGCTGCTGATTGGGTCCTAGGTTGGCCCAATTTCAATTTTAGCAAACCTAATTTTTTAGTGAATATGTATATCTAGTTTCTTTACACGCGCCGGGCAAGGCCATGGCAGAAGTTGAAAAGCGCAAATGGCAGGGTGATTGGCTGATGCCCCAACTGGCTGTTGGAGCTCTGATGTTTGACTGCCTCGTTGACTAAGCTGCGCAAGTTTGCAAGCAAGTTTGTTTAAAATAATTAAAGGTTTTCTTTTCGTGTCACTTTTTTCTCACACCGTCTATCTCCTATTGTCTGTCTTGTTTACGTTCTGTTGACTAGTTTCTGACTAAATAGTGTCTACCCTGTAGCCAATTGACCCAACTGTTGACCTGTTCATCTCTCATCTTTCGGTCTGTCTTGCCATTTGGCCTCCCATCCTGTCAAGGTGTCCTTCTGTTTGCTTAGATTGTTTTGTTTGTGCCTGATCTATTTACCCCCGTCACTGCATCCATGAAAACTAACCTCTGTAATACAATTACATCGCATCTACTCATTCAACCTTTCTGTTTGCTTGTTAAACGCTAGGCCATTGCAATTTCTACTAGCTTCACACTCGCTTCTATGTTTGTCCGCATGTCAATGAGGTTTCCAATCTAACCCTGTCGTCCGACCCAGTATACTGGCAGGACCTATGTTTGCACCTGCCTATCTGTCTGTTTGTCTGCTGCTGTATTTTTAGTTTCTCATCTTGGAACGCTTTTAGCCACACTTCAATCTACCTACCTATCGATCTGGCTGTCTGTCTGTCGGTTGGTCCCTGGGTTAGGTTGTGTCTCTTACAACCTGGACAACTAGAAAGGTTATGGCTTTCTTTGTTTTGTCTATCTTTGAACTGATTTTTCTGTATGAACTTATGCACTATACTTGTTTTTCTGTCTATCTGTTGTGCGCTCCCTCTCTCTCTCTCTCATCTATTCCTATGTTCTACTTTTATATTTATTAAATTATATGTTGTCTGTGCCCTTCCTCTCTGTGGCCTTTTCTCTCTTGAGGTGTCTACTATTTATTCACATCTCTGCGTCTACCCAGTTTCCGTTTTTCCATCATCTTTCTGTCTATCATTATCCGTTTGTTTTTCTATCCTTCTATTTCCACCTGTCCGTTTACCTACCTATTTATTATTAATGTACCAATCAATTCATCTATCTATTTGTCTATCTTTGTGCCCCTTTAGTTAGCTCTGCCTGTAGGCTCTGAATCTGTCTCTCCATTCGAGAACGTGATCTTTATGTCACAATAATCAGTTTGGTCATCGGTCTTGGTTTGTTCCCTTGATTTGTGCTTAGTCCTGTTCTTCTTATATGTCCTCTTTCTTGCGGAGAATCGCTGGCGATTTGCAAATTGATCGGCAGAAATGGCAGAAATTGTGATTTTTCTTGCTGTCGCAACTTCTGAAAGTGGCTCGATTTTGGCATTTCACACACTGTTGCCTTGCAAAGCTGCTGCCCGGCGCATTTTCTGGTTGCGCATGCCAGTGTGAGCTCTTTGAGCCAGCTGCTTTAGCAAGCTAACCTTCTTCATGCCCTCCCTCCCTCTCATGCGCCGAATAATGCGCAATAAACATGCTTCGTAAATGGTTGTATGCCATTTCTTGAGCCAATTATATTACTACAGCTTTTCACACAAGCTGTGGGAACTAAAGAGGGTAGAGTGCCAGGATGCCACTGTTTGTTTTGTGTTGCCAGCTAGAGGCTTACTGTCTGAAGCGGTTGAAGTTGAAGAACTCATATCATTTTTTAAGAATGGGTGGACATTGGAACCTTAGTCCTTACGCCCGGTTCCGTTGAATATGACCATCCCATGCAACTACTTGGCAACCATCTGTTTTTTCAGTTCTTTTCGCCAGGGTGCTTGAGGATCTTCCCAGCAGCCTCAGCTGTCCCAGCACCAGAGCCGAGGTTCGTGCGCTTCAAGCAGAAGTGGCAGAAACTTGGGAGTTTGTCGCATGCTGCGTGGGGCAAGCCTTGCCGCACAGTTTGGCTTTCTGAAAGACCAGCTCGGCGGGGCGGAGCGTGGGCGATTGGCTGCACATTTTGCGCTCATTTGGTGGATCATTTGGCGAAATTCCCAGAGGAGAGAAAGCGATTGTATTTGGGCCATGCCACTTCTGGTTTTTTGCAAGTTTTTTTTTGCAGATATCTTTAAAGAGGGTTTGTAGATTTGATGCCAGTGCTCCTTCTCTTGCTCCATTGTTCCTTCACTTGCTTCGCGTTGCGTGCGTGCATGCGTAGTACGGAATAAACAGTTTAGCCATTTAGCCGACGTGCGAGTTTGCCGGGCCCCCACATGAAATGCGCAGTTCAAATCATGTGGTGCTGATCGGAGCCGAAGACCATGAGTGCTTCTGCCGCTGTGTTGTGCCAGACCGGAACGCGTTTTGCTAAGCTTTGAAGCTTTGCCAGACTCAAACACAACCACTTTGCTGCTCTGAAACTGCTTACTCACGCGGTGCGGCAATGATTTTTTCCTTGCTTTGATGAGGTGCGCGTGCCCATGCTGGATGTAAAGTAGCAGAAGTGACATACTCAAGACAAGTGGCAATCATGTTGGTGACTCACCGTCACTACCTAAATAGAACCGCGTGGTGCACCACATATGCCAGCAGATTGCTAAGGCTGCAAAGGTTTGCCACAGGATGAGACACACCCCAGTGGCCGACCATCAATAAAAATATTGTTTGAGGTCTGGTAGGCTTTGGGTGAACAGTAGCCACTTCCAGGAAAGCGACCTTGATCCAAACTGGCCCTTTGGTTTTTTGTCTTTTATAGATTGTATTTATTTGCCCACACTCAATGCAATACATCATAAGTATGTCCAAGGCGCTAGATGGATACTATGTGCTTTTGCTTTTAATACTATGTCGACCACTCGCACACTGCTAAAGTGGCTCTGTCCTGTCATAGTCCTGCTCTACCCTTGGCTGCGCTTTCAACACCCTTCAATCACTTGGGTTGCCACATATGTGTTAACCAAGGGTCACAAGTATGCCTTGAAAGGTCCTGAGCCATCCCCAGCTGACCCAGCAGACTGTGAAAACACATGCGAAACAGACGCTGTGCTAGAGCCCTCAGATAGACCGAAAGCGGAAACATAGCGTAAAGCGCAAACGATATTTTTCTATCTAGTTTGTCATTGCAGGGATGGAATCACACAATGCAAAGACACTGTGAAGATGTTGGGGGCCACCAAGCCTATTGTCCCGGGCATACTTCCAAGGCTTGGCAGTCGTTTGTCAACGAAGTGGGGGACATACTCGGTGAACTCTTCAAAGTGCATGCAGGCAGCTTGCATACGTCAACATGCAGATGGCACAGTGCACCGGGTGGCCCAAAATCTTTTCTTGTCGCCAGACAAGGCTATCAGTGAGTTGCTGCCATATGATCTGCATAGTCAAGATCTCTTTCGCGGAAACGTACCCCAGGCAAGAGACTGGTTACGGGCTTGGAGTGCGTGCTTGAGCCCGATCGCATTCACCAATGCTGAGAAGCATTATGAGACAGAGGACTTTGCGTCTGGGAGGCGTTGCAGTGTTTCACGGCGAGGTTTCTCGACTCAAGATTTTTCATGTTTTTTTGGGGGGCGCCATGCCATTGTAGTCTGAATTTGGTTTTCCCCCTGCCCTTCAGGCTTGGACCAGATGATTCAGGTCATGCACTGGGTGGTCCGGTCGCAGAGAAAGAAATTATTGCTGAACGCTCAGAGCGTGTCAGTTTCTGTGGATGACCGGGCCGACTTTCGCTTGGTTCGCTACAGGTGTAGCTATCGGTCCTGGGAAGATTTCACAATGGCAACAGCAGCCACAGCTGTTCCAGCCGTCCCAGCATTGTCTAAGTCTTCAACATTGGAGGAATGGTGTTCGATGCAGCCACTCATTGCAGAAGGTGTTCTTGGCGTTATCCGCTTGGGGCGGAATGTGCCAGACAACACTGTGGCACAGCATGACATGGACAAGAGTGAGAAGATGGCAGACAGTGTGATGGCAGCTTTGCGTGATGTATGTGCTGACGTCGATGGGAATGTGGATGAGGAGATGCTTCAGAAGCTTTGTTCCCGGCTCCAGCATTATGCGTCTGACCAAGGTAGTTCTGCTGCGAAGTGTGGTCAGGTTCTAACCCAGCGGCCCGAGCTGCCCAATTTGGTTTGGCTGAGTGCGGACATGGCCCACCAAGTTCGCATTGCAAGCAAGGACCCATTGTCAGCGCAGGAAGGGTTCAAGCAACAGTGGGATAGACTTTTTGCTGCCAAGCATGCATTGGTGCCTGACATCCAAAACTCAGAAGTCTGGCGATCTCGCTTGATAGCTGCGCAAAAGCAAGTGCTGAAATCCTGCCAGACTCAAGGCGCCGATGTGGACAAGGTGATGCAGACCTTTTCCTTTGCCAAGCAGCGCTTCGATTCAACTGCAACTCCAATGCTCAAGTACTGCTGCATGATCCGTGCAGTCGCTTTGGTGTGTGCGTTGCAAGCTGGTGACGACACTTGGCATGCTGGGCAGGTTTGAAGATGAAGTGTTTTTGGGCCGTTTCTTTTCAACCTTTTTCCTTTTTAGACATGTTGGACTCCTGGCTTGTGAGTGGGGATGCTGCAGGAACGTGGCTCCCGAGAAGTGCGCTTCAGAGCCCAAACAGCTTTGGAAGAGATGACTCCTGCAAAGCTGTTTCGCTGTGGCATCACATGTGACTATGCGATGGAATGCTTAGCCTTCTTGCGGGAGTGCTTTGACGTGGATGATCCTGATCCTGCAACCACCCCATCTGCTGTTCAAGCCTTTTGTTCCCGCATGAAGATGTTGTTTTGTCAGGGCTACATCCTGGGGCAAACTTCTCCCAGACCAGCCGTCCCAGCAGACCAAGCAGACCTAGCAGCCGCTGTTGACCCTTCCCCTGCCAAGACTGTTTCCCAGATCGTGTTTGAGCAGGTGGATTTTCCTGAGCCGAGTCTTGGCTCACTGTTGAACGGTTGGCAAAGTTTTGTGGGAAAGTAAGTCAAAGTTTTGTGGAAAGTAAGTCTTTCAACAGTATGTCGGGTTGCGAAACCTGGGTTTGCTTGCTTCAAAAGCTCAGGATCTATTTTGGAAAAAAGGTGCATTACCTTTGCACCAGGGCGGGCGTGCAAGACATTCGGGCAATTATGTCTGAAATGGGAAATGTTGTGACCGACATGCTCGACAGAGTTCAGGTTGACCTAACTGGGGATATGATTGCAATGTGCCTGGAGGTTTTCAATGTGCGGCTGTGGGCTGATAAGCCAAAAGCCAGTGCATTCCAGGTGCGGCTCCGGGAGCTTGCCAAGGTTTTGCACCTCAATCCAGGCGTGTGTGGAGACTTTGCAGCTGTGGCCAGACTCTTGCGCAAAGTTGTTCAAGCCGCTTCTGCCAACAAGCTGCAAACCTCAAACAGGCAGGTTTGGAGCTGGTTCTTGTGCTCTGAATGGAGGCTGCGGTTCATGCCACCATCCTGCCACATCAAGTTCATGGTTGACATGGAGAAGCTCATTGGCTTCTACCTTGCTTTGAAGGTAAACACCACCACCCTTGAAAGAAACCTTGGCCAGCTGTGCCACCAGCTGCATTCCCATTCTGGCCCATGTGGAGATGATGGGCGCTTGCTGTCAGCTGTGCTGCTTGTGGCTTTGGATGGGCCCAAGGCTCCAGAGCAGCTTTTCCACGTCCAGAAGTCGACTGAGAGTGGCGATGTTCAGGCAAACCCCACTGACTTCAGTGTTGCTTGTGCGAAACTCTGGCTGGCCACCTATGGCCGACGCTTTCGGTACAAGTATGAGAAAGTTGTGGGGTCATGTAGACAGACCAAGCCTGGCAATCGCAAGCGCAAGGCTGCCTGCAAGAGAGGCACATTTGAGTGGGTGAAGAAGCAACGAAAGCTTGCCACAAGCTCTCTTTGCAAAGCAGCTCAAGATTCCGATGGCAAGCCATTGTCTGTCAACTCATATGTTCCAGATCTTCAACTTCCACTGCCGAGTGTGGATGGTAAAGCTTTGGCTTCAGCCCAGGCAATGTCCGGGACTCGGTGGCAAAGCTCAGCTACCGGAGGGCATGGCCTGAATAGCTCCAAGAAGGACCCTGCCCAACTATTCAGGGAGCACACAGAGCGAAAGCGAGCTAGACTCTTGAGGTTGGAATGGTCGATTTTTGTTCGCTCGCTTGAATTTCATTATTAGGTTTTTGTTTTCACTGCGGTCTTGATCTCAACTTTACTTTTTCCATCCTTTTCATTGCCATGCCGCTCAAAGGACACAAAGCTACAGCTGTGCGACGACGAGCAGGTGAGCAGCCATACATTCCCACTGAGCCTAGGACTGGTGGCCTTGCTCCTCCTGCCGAGAAGCTCCTGCCAACTCATTTGCAGTCAGGGGGTACTGTGCGGCTTTCGCCCATCCACCGGATCCTTTGCAAAGATACTCCGGTCTTTTCCTGCCCGAGCGGATGCTCATTTGCTTCCACTTTGGCCCCTGTGGAGGCGGACCTTCTCGTTGTTGAGGAGCTCAGCGATATGGACTTGAAAGTGGAGCAGGACCCGAAGTTTGTTGCTTGGCAAGTAGAAAGTTAGGGAAGAAGGTCAAAGTGAAACATATGAGCTTGCTCACGGAGGGGCAAGTTGGGCTGAACTTGATTCATGCATTACTGAAATCTGAAAGTATTTTTGTATCAAACAGCATGTCAGCTTCCATTCACCTGCCGCCGCACTTGCGCGCATGGCTTGATGGCTGGGGGCAAGAGCTTCGGACTGACCTGGAACAAGCCTTCCATGCAGTGGCCTCGCCCATAGCGTGGCCGGACTTCATCTTTGATGCGAAGCCATTGCAAGGCTCTCGGCCTTGCTGCTCAAGCCGTCCAAGCCGTCCAAGCCGTCCAAGCCGTCCAAGCCATCCCAGTGCCGCATGTGGTCTTAGAGTTGGCACTGACTGCAGCGGGGTGGAAAGTCCCATCCATGCTCTGAAGTCTTTGGGGGTTTGCCATCGGCATTTATTCAGCAGTGAATGCGCAACTGCGCCCAGAAAAGTCATTGAGGCAAACACTTTGCCAACTCACAGGTTTTTGGAAGATGTTCATTGCCCCAGCAATGTGCTCCCACATGTGGATCTTTATGTCAGCGGCTTCTCCTGCAAACCGTTCAGCATGCTCCATTGGGGCACAGCGTTGCTTGACGAAGAGGAGGCCAAAGTTTTCTACTCTGTTTTGCAGCGGATTCAGGCACTGCGACCTGCTGTGTTCGTGCTGGAGAATGTACGAGGGATCTCCCGATGCATGACCGCTGTGTTGTCTTTGCTGGAGGGTGCAGGATACAAGGTCGTGGTTGAGAACTTCAACCCCATTGACTTGGGTGAGCCGCTGAACCGGCCCCGTTTCTACTTCTTGGGGATCCGAGCTGACCTTGCTAGGGCCACACAGGCAGAAGCCCAAAGCTTTTGCAAACAAGTGTGGTCCAAGCTGTCCCAGCAGAGGCTGCAACGAAACAAAGCTCTTCATGGCACGCCTGTTGTTCCATTGTGGGAGAGGCTCCTGTCGGATGACAGTGAGCTGGTGATCGCTCATCGAGAACGTTGCTTGCAAAGATGGAATGAAGCCAAGCAGGCTGGATTTCCGGAAAGCCGGGGCAAGTGCAAGTGGAAGCAGACTCACCGTGAATGGGAAGAAGGTCGCGAGCTCAAGCTTGCTGAGGGGAATCTTCAGTTGGCAGAGCTTACCCCCGACAAATTGCATTTGCACCTGCCCCGCGAAAGAGATGCATGGTGGAAATTGATCCACACTTTTGGTGAGCCTGTGCAAGTTATAGCTGACATCTCCCAAAGCTTAGGCAGAATGCCATGCCGCACCGATGGTGTGCTGCCAACAATCACCCCTGGCTCACACATAGTCGTTGGTGCGTTTGGGCGAACTTTGATTTCGCACGAGAAGCTCCTCTTGCACGGCTTGCCTCTGCACCGAATGGTCCTCCCCAAGGAGATCTCTGACTCTGAGTTGGAGTCCATGGGTGGCAACATGATGCACCTCCAGACTGTGGCTGTGGCCATGGTGGTTGCTTTGAGCCTGGTGGATTGGTCGCAGCCGCATGCACATTCCTTTGTGCCTGCTCCAGTCTTCCCAGCCGTCCCAGCCATCCCAGCCGTCCCAGCCGTCCCAGCTTCAGCTGCCACAAAGCCTAGAGGCAGGAAAGCCAAACGCAAGAAGCCGAGTGCTGCAGGCACCAAGCTTGAATGCCAGCTCAAGGCTCGCTTTGGCATAGGGGCGAGAACGGCGCCAAGTGCAAAAGTGAGAAGAGCAACGAAACGCGTGGCAAAGACCAAGCAGTGTCCAAAGGCTGTGGAATGCTTGTGTGGAACACGCTGGGCATCCAAGCGCCTTTAGATGTGGGCTGTGCAATGCTTCCAATTCGTAATTTGTTTTTTGCTTGGTGGCTAGACAGTTACCTCGCATCGTAAATCTTTTAATTTAGGAAAGCTCCATGTTTCAAATCAAACAAGATAAGCCGGAGCAATGCTGCAAATTAACAAAGAGGGGCTGGACATGATTGCGTTGCATTCTTGCCACATTGGTAAGCCATGTGGCAAGACAACCTAACTAATAAAGATGCAATTATTCATGCACTCTGAGGCTGCTGCCCTCCTGGTGTGCTTTGCAAGAGGCTTGTGCGTGGCCAGACGGGGCGACATCTCAACTGCATCCCGTGGCTTGTGGAATCTTGAGAAGATTTTGTGGTTTCGCCCAGCAGTTCGTGTGAAGAGCTTGCGTATCCATTTGCTTGGCAGCGTTGCAAGGCTTCTTGGTTGGGCTCGGACGACTGCGCTGAGTCTGTTGATTGACAGGTTTTTTCAAGCTTTTTGCATCGGAAAGCTCAATATTCTTAGACGTGTTTCTTTGGTAAGTTTGGGGCTGGCGAGCGGGCAAACTCAGGTGTCCTGCGCTGACGTCAGCTTTTAAGTCTTGCATCCGCAGCAGCGAAAAGCGTTGGTCATTGACAATTGGTGAAGGGAATAGTGAGGCTTCAGCATCTAAGAAGCTGAAGAGATTCCAAGTGAAGCGAATCGGGTCCATGGCAGACATGTCTTCATTTTTGAAATTCATTAGGTTGTTCCGCCAAACTCGAGGTGTTTGTGGCAAATTTGGCCGATCGAGCAAAAGCTGATACAGTGTTGGAATTTGAATCTCAGCAGCTCCAGCGTCCCAGCGAAGAAAAGGAGGAGCTGAGTGAAATTTGGGAAACATTGTTTTGCAACTGCCCCAGAGCCCTTTGCAATACACTCAAGAATCTTGCAATGTTGGGGTGTATTGCCAAGTGCTTTGCACTTTGACTTTCGCTTTTCCTAGAGAAGTGTATTCAGAAGAGTTTTCCTCATACTCAATAGGGTACCTGGGTCGTAAGATTTCAGGGCTTATTGCCAGGTGCTTTGCACTTGCCATTACACCCGGTCGCAAGACCTAGGTTTTGGTTCTTACTCTGTATGCAACCAAAGGTTGGTTTGCTGCATCCAAGGGTTGAATCTTAAGCCTGTAGGCCCCAAGGGTCGAACCTTGCAATGAAGGGTTGGAACATGCATCCAAGGGTGAAAGGAATGCATCCAAGGGTTTATGGTTCATGTGGCTATTCAAGTGTTATGGTTAAAGTGCAATGGCGCTTTTTCATTTTGATTGCTGCTGTATGTGATGCACTATGAATATATATATATCATATATGTCATATATTTTATATAGATGGCCTAATGCTATCTTACGAAATTTCCTTACATGTCGATACATATAACAGACAGTTGTTTGGGTTTGAGTGATATATGCGTACTCCTCTTTTATTTTATGTTAGGTTTCCCTTTCTAGTTGGTTGATCCCCAAGCAAAACACAAAGTATTATGGAACTATCTGCATATACCGATGCAGGGTTTTTCTGGATTTTACCCCATACCAAAGCCGAACCCCAAGGAGAGAATTGAATCGCGAACACATCATGCTTGTTTGAAGGAATCGGTTTTTGTTGAGAGACTTTGGGTGGTTCTCTGCACTGTAGGATTGCTAGCTTTTCGTTGTGTTAAAAACATTAATGTTTTTGCGGGGGTCTGGGTGCTTGTTGTTAAACTATCACTTTGCCAAGGAACAAGTTCTAAGTGAGAGGTTTCTTGGCTTTGACAACTTGATAATTAAATATCGTTTTCCAAAACCCTAGAGATAAAGCATTCCAAAGAGCATGAGCAACCATAACTCTCAAGGTCACAACCCTCTATCCGTTTCGGGAAAGCTGATTCTGAACGCTTGCGGATACAGTTTCTGAATCCTCAATATCCATTTTGTATACAACAATGTTCACTTGGGCTTTGCCTTCTTTTGCACACCTTCTTTTGCACAACATGTTTCGGATATTGGCCTGGGCAAACATCATTGTGGATGTGGGCTTTGGAATGTGCCACGGTGACCACTTTTGTGTTTTGCGTCTTCAAAAGACGTCCCGGATAAACACGTCCCAAATTCACTTGGAGTTGCCTGGCGCCGCTGGCCAGGTGCTTGCTGATGCCTCCAGTGCCAGAGTCTGCCAGCAAAGCAGTCAAGATTTGGTTGCAGAGTGTGGAGAGTGGTTGTGAGCTGAAGCACATGAACCGAGTTGACCGTATTGCTCACCAGGTTACTTATCCTGCACCCGATTTCGTGCGGATTGAAGTTTGTTTGTGAATGGGAGAGCAGTGGATGGGTGTCATGTGCCTGTATGCGCTCAGGCTGCCCGAGCATTCTGGAATGGGAGCGACAAAGACTTACCATTTTTGCTTGATTTTTTGCTACGTGATTTGCCCCAGCAACACACAGCCAGTGTAACTAGACTGCAGTCTTTGTCAGTAAATTTGAGAAAAATGGTTTATCGCATGTCATCTTGGGTTTGTTTTTTCGGCACCCTTCCCCCAAGAAGCCTTGGAATGATCCCAGGCCCTGTTGACTGCCTACTTGCTCTATCGTGCAAAGTGCACAATCCCACCGTTGGCTTCGGACCCTTGATGTTGTTTCGAATGAACAGTTGGTAGCAGTGTATGTCATATAGCTGTCCCAGCCGTGCCAGCCAGAGAGATCCTCAATGCCAGGACCCATCCAATGTGGTTCTGCGCATTCTCAACGCACCGAACCCTTTCCTAACTATGGATGGCCAAAAGCTTACCTTCAGACAAGCTTGTCAAGGGTGTTTTTT